AGCATTCCGCAGTATCACATGGAATGGCGCGATGATGTCGACAAGAGCGGCTTTTTGCCATCCACCCGTGTGACGACCATTGCCATTCACGCCAATGGGGCCAACATCTTGGGCAAGGAACCCATGGAACGCGTCTTTACCGCCTTGGATACCGTTCGCAATATTAGTGGCTACAAGGATATTTGTGCCGATGGCGATTACTACGACACGCTCCACGATGAATTCACTTGTCGGATCATTGGGGCCACGCGTTTTTGGTATCACGATACGCAACTCTTTTATGAACAAGCCAAGACGGAAGACGATGTCATTCAAACACTCTCCCAGACCGAATATCCTCCCGGTATTCCGGCCGATCACGAATACGTCTTGGGGACACTGCAACGACAAGAGAATAATGGACACGGCAATGGCACTATTACGTATGTACCCGCCTACTTTGTGTACATTCTCCTCAGTATCAAAGAGGACAAAACGGAGCTCTTTGAACTGGATGGTTGAACGGAGCGTAAATTTCGGTTTCTTCGACATTAATGTGAAAATTGGTAAAGAGACCGGTCCCGACCAACGCCAAACTCATCAAAATCACGGCAGAAATGACTGTGCGAGGACGGGAGGCTGCCGTGACAGCGAGTGTCACGACAAAGCGCGTAATGTAGTGATGCATGGAATCCGTCATGCGGGTCCAAATGGGAAAGACACCTTCGGTTTTACGGTGTTGAGTATGCGTCGAAGGAGTGTGGTCGATCATTTGGAGAATGCCATCGGACGTGGTCGGAGCCTGATGATAGCCACTACCACCATTGTGACTGTTGCTGCTGCTGACTTCGCTGCTGCAATAGTCATCGCCATCCACACTGGCCTTGGTCGAACGGGGTTTGGACGTCACTGTCGAGTCTTCGGTCGGCTGTGACATTATCCTCTGCTGTGGATGATCAGCGGGAGGCGTGGGAACCAACTCGACGGATTCTGTAGTAGCACATGTCTCCAGCTCTGGTGGGGTATCATTATTGTTAGAACTCTCCATCATCATTATACCCTCCACCAACAATGGTTTGTCAGAAATGGACAAGAACTGTTGTTATCTGTCTTTCTTGCTAGCTAGACCAGCATGTAGATAACAGAATAAGGAACAAGATGGATGGAAAGGTCAGCAAGTACATACGATGATGAATGATGATACTCCCACCAAAAGAAGTGCTCTGTCATTTCTTTCGCAGTAAAACCAGCAAACAGCTCATTCGTTGTCACTTACTTTTGCTGGTGGGAGAGGACAAATTTCTCGTTTTAGAGATTTATGCACCACAAACCTGGACGTTATTGCAAAATTTCATAAATAGATCCAATTGGACTATTTTAACCCGCCAAGAACGCAAGCCATCCGTCACACTCCTCTCGATGTTACATCGTCCCACAGTGGATGCCTCCTTGGCCAATGATTGGAGCATAAATTTGTCTACGCTAGCTAGCTACTACATGCACCTGGTAGCTAGCCAGTAGCAGACGTGTTGTGAGCCAAGAAAGATCCTTCAAGATACTTCACGGGGTTGTAAACATACATGTATGTACATGTACAATGTACCGGTACAGCCCAGGAAGGCCTTGTAATATCACCGCACCCTTACGCTACGATGTTGTACCGGCATGGCCCTCTATTACTAGCTAGTACGGTAAACTAACATTGCTAAGTACGGTCCAGCCAGCGGTCAAGCTACCGGTAGAATCTGATAGCGAGACCAAGCAAAGGCCGTCTCATGGTAGCTACAGTTGATTCAGGCATCTTTTGCTTTGCTTTGCTACGGTATGCTATGTGTATGCGTGAGTTTCACAAAAGCGAGGGGAAGTTTTGCAATGGTTGTCAAATTTAGAAGGGCCAACAGAAAGTGGAAAAGTGGTCAACTGCTATTGCTGGTGGGATGATGCTTTGTGGATCTGGCTTTTCCTGGAGGTTGCATGCACCAACACGAACACTTCATCCTCAACGCGAAGAATGGGTTGCCAATTTGGATCTATGTATGGCCAATGGAGCGAATGCTGATGCGCAAGAGAACAACAAAGGTACAGGAGTCTACTACTATTCTAGTAGGGTTGGTACATGGCTGGTAGGTCATCACGGGTTTGCTGTCGATAGTGCGATACCACTAATCATAAAATATGGAATTCATACATTGCTTCCATCAAGCCAATTACACTGAGCAAGGCAGCTCTCACGCGTTTTAATACAGGCTATCAAGACTCAAGACCACCAATTGGCACCTACTAGCCTCTTCTGGTGCCTGTGGCCTGTGGCAAGCACAAAGGCGACTTCAGAAATCTTTGATGTTCCGGATTGGATCTGTCGCTGCAAGATTGGCTGACTTTTGGGACTCGGTCACATTTTTCGCAATCTTCGTGGTCTTGTTTTCGTGAACAGTACAGTCGGCACGAACAACCCTCGTTCCTTCCTTGTCAACAGTATTTTTTAGTTTCGGCTGCAGCATTCAGCTACAACTTAGTAGTACACACAATCTATTCTTGATTTCACCAAAATGGCAAACGTTTCTCAGGAGACCGAGAAGTTAGTGTTGAGCTCGAGAGCCAGTCATGCATCAGCTCGAAAGGTTGTGTGCAAGAAATGGAGCTCCATCACCGACGTGGTCCATCAAGCGATATCTTGGTTCGTGATCACTGTATCCCTCATTTCGGCACGCAATCCCAAACAAACCATTGGGATCACAACCGTGGCTGCCTTTACGTTGATTGCAACCGGTTTCTTTACCAACTTCAACCTGCAAGTGGACTACGAAGTTGTGTACGCCCCGTTTGGTAGCCAACCCATTTCGCATAAGGATTGGATTGACAACGAGTCGGGATTTCCAGAAAGCCCACGACCAATGACCTTCGTCATTCACAATCAAGGGGAAAATGTCTTGGGTCGAGAGCAAGTGGATTTGCTCTTTGAAGCCCTGGATACTGTGCGGGACACACCAGGATATCATGAGATTTGTCAAGCAAGTAACTACAAGAATACAAACGGAGAGCCTGACTGTAAACTTTTTGGTGCAACACGCTTTTGGGGACACTCGCACGAAAGGTTTCAGCAAGAGATCCACTCCGATGAAGAAGCCATTCAGGCCCTGTCAGCAGCAACGTACCCAGGAGGAACACCGGCGTACACAGAGTTTCTCTTTGGATATTCCAAGCGAGAAGGACTTCTTGTGGATGAAGGGGGAAATCACAACGGGGCCAGGCTCGAATCAGCCAAGTCTTTCTACCTAAGAATCGATATTCCAGATGCCGACGGGGCGGATGAATTTGAAATCGAGGTGCTGGATAGACTGATGGCGCTGCAACAAAAGTGGGAAAACGACCCTGATATCCCTCTTCACCTCTCTTATTTTACTCTTCTCTCCTACGAGCTTGAGTTCGAGCGAGCCATAAACAAGGACCTCATTCTAGTGCCACTTGTGGTCATCATTATGTCGACGTTCACATGTCTTGTCTTCTACAAGGGCGACCGTGTACAATCTCGAAGCCTCTTGGGACTGTGTTCGGTTGCAGCGGTGGGGCTCAGCTTGATGTGCGGCTATGGACTTATGTTTCTTTGCGGTAAGTCCTTCTTTTTTTTTAAAGCTTGGGATGCTGATTGACATCCGTCTCAACCAAGTTGGTCATCGGAATCGGATGGTCAGGGGTTCCTTTCACTTCAATGTCGCAGATACTGCCGTTCGTTGTATTTGGTACGTGTTGCAATCAATCTTACGTCGATATGCGTGTGGTTGGTCCACTCTCTCATGAATGCCCTTTTTTCTATTCACTCATGCAGGTGTTGGGTATGTCTATGCAGTCTCTATTCGATTTGGTTCCGTTGATCGCACTCCGAGCTCACCTGAATATGTTCTTGTGTCCACAATACCTAAAACACGCACAGGCTAGATGACACGTTTATTATAACAGGTGCATATTTCCGAACGAACCCCCAAAAGGATACCGTTCTTCGAATTGAAGAGACTATGAGAGCTGTTGGGGGCAGTATCAGTTTGACCACTATTACGACAATGAGTGCCTTCATGCTGGGCTGCATGTCGAGTATTCCTGCCATCCGCTGGGTCTGTATCTATGCATTCCCTACCATGTTCATTGTCTTCATCTACCAGATCACTTTCTTCATTGGTTGTCTAGTTCTTGATGAGAAAAGGGTCAAGGCAAACAGGACAGACATCTGTTTTAGCTTTGTAGTGATTGAGGAGAACAGCGAAGCTGACCCTGAAGATTGCCAGGACAACGACGGAAGCCGCCCGAACCAAGCCTCGGAGGGATGCGGCGACGTCGAAGCAAAGGGTCTTGGCTTAGCAGAACGCTTCATGCATTGGTACTCGGGGAAACTCATGCAACCTCGCGTGAAGGCTCTCGTGCTTGGGACCTTCCTCGCTTATTTTGGGTTCTGTGCTTATCGCACGACCCTTCTATCCCAAAGGTTTCGGAATCAAGACTTTGTCCCGAAGGACTCCTATGTAAGCGACTTCCTGGATGCCCTCGACACCTATAGCGAGCAGGTTATGGGTATCAACGTCTATTTCACAGGTGTAAATCAGTCTGACCCAGACGTTCAATGGGAGATGATCGAGTACATGCAAGACCTGATAGCAATGCCAGCTGTGAATCGGACGCCCTCGCCATTCTGTTGGATTATTGATTTTGAAGCACGAAAGAACACCCCAGAATTCCAGCTAATCAACGACATGTCGTTCTCTGATCAAGTTTCGCTCGCCCTGAACCATCCTGTAATCAAAGAAGCATACGGAGATGATATTGTACAGGATGAGAACGGAACAATTATCGCATCCAGATGCTGGCTGAACCCGAAGTACTTGGATCTGGATTCTGTTAGCCAGCAGATTGATCTCCTCAATGATCAAAGAGCTGTTTCCTCCGCACAACCAGCGAACAAAGGAAGTTTGGACAACATGAAATTCTTCACTTATAGCAACTTATACTTCATCTGGGAGCTCTACTCAGTTGCTGTGAATGAGCTTGTGTTCACCACAATCTCAGGAATAGTTGCAGTCTCTGTCATTGGTTTCTTCCTAATTGAGCACTGGTCAGCCACAGCATTTGTGCTGCCAATGATATTGATGCTCTATGTGGACCTTCTTGGTAAGCACCTTTGGCCCTGTTCTGGCTCCAGGTAGATCTGATGATATCCTCACAGGCTGAATCTCCTTTGCTCTTCAGGTACACTGCAACTAGCAGGTCTCTACATCAATGTTGTCACGTATGTCTGCATGGTTATCTCCATTGGTCTACTCGTGGACTTCCTAATGCACATAGTGCTGAAATTCTATGAATCTGATGGGGCAAGCCGTGAAGCAAAGGTCAAAGAAACCCTCCACACCATGGGAGCAAGCATTCTGGTGGGAGGTCTCTCTACATCCCTCGGTGTGTTGCCATTGGCATTCAGCACTAGTGCCATCTTGAGGACGGTTTTCACTGCTTTCTTTGCCATGGTGGCACTTGGTCTTACCCATGGCCTGATCTTTCTGCCAGTTGTGCTTTCAATGTGGGGACCCACTGTTTGCATTGTGCCACACACTGCAGATAACGCCAGTGCCAATTCTGAAGCTGTTCATGTGGAGTTTGATGCTGACATTGAGAAGAACTTTGATGACATGGACCTGAAAAAGAAAAAGGCTGACCTTGCGTCTTGTGCTGAAAGTATCACTTCTGATATTGTTTCAATCTCAGAGAACAGTGAAAGTGCTGAGATTGAAATGGCGGATAGTGAGACTTGTACTGCACTAGCCTCTGACAACACAAATCCTCATTACAGTGATGAGAGCAAGGTAGACGCATCATCAGAAAGCAACGGTGATGAGAACAATGCATGCGCAACACTATCTGATGCTGAAAACGACAATAGCCATGGTGAAGAATTGGGAGAAACTCAAGCAACTCTTTCGTCAATCCCCACTAAAAGCAACGAGGCAGACCCTGCAACATCGGAACTTGAAACCAACATGTCAGAGGCTCCTGTTATTGAATCCACCAACAGCAGTGAAGAAACAAACATGGACCTTGCAACACCTGTTCCTGAAAGGATTGATGTCGATGCCAACTCCCTCACTGTACATGACAGCAAGATTAGTAGTTTTGAAGGAACTGTTGACCTTGAATCACCTGCAGCTCAACCTGACTCTTCTGATACCACGCTCCATCCCCAGACTATGGCTGAAGAAGACAAACTGAGTGGCACACCATCCACCACCGAAAACACCACATCTAGTACTGCTCCACATTCCCAATCTGCTGTCACTGGCAGCAAGGATGAGGAGGACATAATGAATGACACATCATCTGCACCTGAAGACAACTCTGATATCTCCCCTCCCTCCCAGAGTGCTGCCACAAGCAGCAAACGTGAGGAGAAGACGAATGATACATCTTTGGCTGAAGACTCCTCCTCTGCTCCTCCACCTTCCCATTCCATCAGCAGCAGCAGCAATAATGAGGAGAATAAGATGAATGACAATTGCTTGGCTGCAGACAACTCAAGTATTGTACCTTCATCCCAAAACACTATGGCCAGTAACAAGGATGAGGCATACAAGATCAATGAAACATCCTCCATGTCATTGGCCCACAAAGACTCCACTGATACAACTGCAACCATCACAGATCCGAGCAATGAAGAGAACCAGACCAATTGCGCAGAATCTGTAGCTGGCAGCAACACTGGTAATGCCACTGCTCCTCCGAATAACACTACCGCAACAACCAACAAAGATCAAGATCAGATGACCAGCACAGCAGCTCTAGCTGACAGCAACACTGGTGATGCCACTTCCCCTCTGCATGCCACTACCACATCAACCAACAACGATGAAGCTCAGATGAACAACACAGAATCTGGAGCAGACAGCAACACTTCAGATACCACCTCTCACGACCAAACCAGGGACAACAATGAGGACAAGCTAGACCTTGCACCAAACATGACTGAAAGCAGCACTTTGGACATGACCTCACCCACACAACCCGGCAGCAACACTGGTGAAGATCAACATGAGATGGCCCTGACATTATCACCTCCAAATGACACCAATATTGCTTCCAAAGATTCTGTCTCCTCCAATAATAGCACCGACGACAACATGGAATAGTTTCCAGGATGCAAGCTCAACTTTCCACCATCCTTGTCTGAACAAGACACTTCCTTCCACTCAACTTGACATCATCTGAGAAGGACACTGAAACCGAAACTGTAGCTATTGCCGATGGAAGCTGGACTCCTTCCGTTCCTTGCTAGCTAGGAAACAGCACTGGAGACGAAACACGGGCACAAGCAAACTAGACAAACATGACTATGGGGAAAGTGATGGCAAGTAACAAGGATGTTGCGAACACTTGGGGGGGGGAGGCAACATTCACTAGATTGAGATGCTAGCAAGATCATGGCGCCTGCTTTGCTTTCTTGCTTCCTCGTACATAAGATTATTTCATGTTGTATCACAACAATAATGCATAATAATCTATCTATATCATTTTCATGTGTTGCTTCATGTACTGCGTCACCAATGGCTTGACAATCTCGGCAGTGGCGACCGAGTCTCGACTTTCTTGATACCGATCAAAGTCTAGCACGGGGATGGAGAGTGCCTGTGCAACGGGCAAGAGTGACGACAAGAAATCGACCATGGCATCATTGACTCCTTCGGCCAAGAAGGAAATGTGATTGGGAGCATCCGCTCTATCAAAGACCAGTGCCGCGCGGTTGGGTAACACCGACGATGCAGCTTCTTCCTGCAACAGCGTGTAGTCGGAAGGAATATTAATACCTCGTCGCGCCACCACTCCGTCATTGGTGGACGAGAGAATCAAGACATTGCCCGGTACGGGTTGTTGTCCATTGTACCCCGAGATAAAGACTCGTGTCCACGTGTCATCGCCCGTCCGCATGGCGGTTCCACAACCGAGGGAATGCCCGACAATGCCGTAAGACGTGGCCGTGACGGGCAATTTGCTCAATAGTTGTTGGGTAATGACGGCCCGGTCCAATCCTTCGACGGGATCGTACGACGCCGCCAACGATTCGGGATATTCCGGTGCGACGCAGACGAATCCTTCGGCCGCCAAGGCTTCGGCATAGTGAGATAGATCGAATCGACTGCCCAAATAGCCATGCGCAAATACCACGACGGGGGCTTTGGATGGTAAATTGTTGTTGTTGTTGTTGACACATTCCATGTTGGGAGAGAGGGCAAAGTCTCGTGACACAAACTCGGGGATAAAATTCCATCCCACCAGCATTTGTCCAATGCGTCGAACGGAAATGCGATGGGGATAAGATGAAACAGGTGTTGTCGTGGTTGTTTCCTCTGTACTGCTACTACCAGTAGTAGTGGGATACCAGCACGCCACGGGCACCGTCACACCTCCATACTGATCCCCCATGGGAAGCGACAAGGCTTGGTAGCCCACCGTTGCAGCGCCAGGAATGGCTGTTGCAGCAGCAACTTTTGCGTCTGGATTGCTCATGGAGAATGCTTGGGTGGGATTCGTCAGCATGGCGCCTGCCCCCACCAAGATACTTTGAAGGAAGGATTTTCGGTGGACCATTTTGTTGTGGTTGTTCTTCCTGTTGGGTTGCAAGCTCAAGGCACAAGTGTGGGACGGAAGCAGCAACAGCAGTAGAACGACAGCAGCCAAGGCGCTCTTGGGAAACCGAAATGGATGGGTCCGCTGAGATGATGAGCAAGTCTTGCAATAATAGACCATGGCACCACACAAGATAGCAACAAAAGTAGACTAAGAGAAAGAACGAGCCGTGAATGACACAACAAAGAAGAAAAAGCAAAAAGCAAGAACGGACGTGGCGCGTTGTTTCAAGTTCCAAAGGATCCGTCAGACACGAGTCTAAGAAGTCCCGTCATTGCTTTGTAGAATTAGAGTTACAGTAGAGCTGAAGGAATGAGAATCTTCATCAACCAGAAGCCGTGACATGAAAATTCGCAAAGATACCCTTCCGCTTGGAAGCCCCAAAAGATACTGTTGAAATAACCAGCAATTGAATGATGGCAAAAGGTTCCAGCAAACACATCATCATACCCCCTACCGGTACCATTCGATAGACAGAGAGACCAGTTAGTCGGAAGCAAGAAACAAGTTGCCGTTGCTTGCTTTAGCCAATTGCTGGTACAGTACCGGTACATGTAGTTGGCTCGGGTCTCATCAAGAGTGCAAAGCAAGGAGCTCATAGAATCAGAATCCTTTACCAAAAACAGAATCCCCTCATAAAAAACAGAACAACAACTGCTACCCCTAAGAAAGTCGTTTCCACCATGTCCTCGTGAGTTTCCCACCTTGCATCTCTATGGATCTAGCTAGCCACTAGCTAGATAGAACAGTGTATGTCATGTGCTCAATCCTTGGTTTCTATTCTGTTTCTTTTTCAGGCAATACAAAGGCGGGTTAAGCCGCTTTCAGTCGAGTATCGACATTACCAAGACACAGTTGGCCGTACTCTTTGTCACTACCATGTTGGCGGTAGATGCCCTCAAGTGAGTTAGTTGTATGGAGTTATCCCCACAAGCATAGAGGGTATCTGATCCTTATGTTCTTGTCTCATTATTTCTTTCTTCTTTCTTTCGCAGTCCGGTCAAGATTGTCTTGCACGTGTTCCCATTTGTCATGCCCTGGCACATTGCCACCATTTCGGCACTCCTCGGCTGCTACGTGTTTATCAAGGACATGAAAGATTTGCTCTACTTTTCCGTCAAGGTCTTTTTCCATTCCATTCTCTCCATTTTCTTTCGCGATGTCGAAATTGTCGGCGTCCAGAATATACCCACATTTGGTCCCTGCATCTTTTCCGTCAATCACGCCAATCAATTCGTCGATGCCGTCATGTTGGTCTGCACGGCACAAAGACCCGCATCGTATTTGATGGCCGAAGTGTCCTACAAACGACGGGTGATTGGTGATCTGGCATGGGCGCTGGGAGTGGTACCCGTCAAACGAGCTCAGGATTCCGCCATTAAAGGAATTGGAACCATCACCATTGCCCACACCAGCAATCAAGGAGACGAAGAAGAAACATTGGAAGCCGATGTCGGACCACTGGCACCTACGTATATGGTAAATGGATTTGATACGCAATTCATTCAACAACTCAATGTCGGGGACAAGGTCCGACCACTGGGGACACCCGTGGCACTCAAAATTACCGAAATACTCAACGATTCCACTCTCATTGTGGATGAGGTAGGAGTGCCGGAAGATTTTGAAACCTTTGATACACCCAAATCCTTTGATATTCTCAAACGAGTCGATCAAAAACAAGTGTACGAAAAAGTACTGGAACGCATTGCCAGTGGAGGTGCAATTGGTGAGTTTAAAAGACACGAAACAGTGGACAGGACGGGTCGAACAAAACTGTGGATTGGAGAATGATGATTTCCTAATGGTTTTGGATTCTCATGCTCTCCTCATTATTTGCACTGTTCAGGCATATTCCCAGAAGGAGGTTCCCATGATCGAACCGATCTGCTACCCCTCAAGGTGGGTGTGGCTCTGATTGCCTATTCGGCGCTGGAAAAAGATGGAATCAATGTCCCCATTGTACCGGTGGGTCTCAATTACTTTCAAGCACATCGTTGGAGGGGGCGTGCCGTGGTGGAATTTGGAAGACCCATTCGAATCAATCCATCCACGCTCAAAGCCTACAAACAGGGCGGCACCGAACGACGCAAGGTTTGTAGCGAGCTGCTCGATCGCGTACAGGATAGTATGAAGAGTGTCATTGTGTCCGCACCCGATTACGATACCCTACAGGTCATCCATACGGCCAGACGATTGTACCAGCGCAAAGGACAAATGGAACCATCGGCAAAACAAGATCTCAATCGACGATTCGCGGAGGGATACAAACGATTACTCCTCATGACAGACGGCAATCCACCGAAAGAATGGCTCGACTTGCAGGATCGACTCGTTGCGTACCATCATGAATTGGGGCACTTGGGAATTCGAGATTATCACGTACCCACACTCAATCATGGATTGAAGGACGAAGGGTTGGATGGGGATAAAGTTCTGAGTTACATGGACACATTCTACCAGATTCTGCATCTCTTATTCTTGCTGCTGTTGGCAGCCGTGCCGACAATACTCATCAATATGCCCATTGGAGTACTGGCAGGCATGTACTCCGAGTCGAGGAGAAAGACGCTTCTCGCGCGTTCCAAAGTCAAAGTCAGAGCGTACGATGTTGTGTTGACGGAGAAAATCCTCTTTTGTATCGTCATGATTCCCATTCTTTGGACATCCTACGGCTTGATTCTGTACTGTTTCACCGACATGGATGGCCCCACATTGACGCTGACAATATTTTCCATGCCATTGTGCGCCTATGTTGGTATCATTGTGACAGAGGCCGGAATGGTCGATGCCAAAGATCTCCGACCCTGGGTCATGAAACTCTTCCCATCGTCGCGCAAACGGCTTGCGGCACTGCCGGAAACACGCCTCGGATTGCAACGAGATTTGCGAAAATTCATCAAGAAGCTGGGACCAGTTCTGGGCGAGATCTACTACAAGAAGGATCTCGACTGGGGCGCCATTCAGGAGAAGGCCAGAATCGCCAGTGAGAAAGCTGCCGCCAGTGCCGAGGCTGCCGAGTTGGAAGATTCCAATCATATTCGCCGCCGAGGCTCGGAAGCTTCGCTGACGCTGGAAATCCCTACAAGCGAGTTTCGCCCTTCGGAGGTCCTAATCTCGGAGTTACCACCGACGATTGATGGTCTACACTCGTCTTTCATGGAGCAACCTCAAGGAGGAGAAGAAGAAGGAACAGCGGACAAAGGAACCGAAGAAGTACAAAATGAAACGGAAGGCGAAGAGCAAAAGAAAGAAAATTAAAGCGTGGATGCCTAGCTGGCAGGGTTTTGTGGAATTTACAATACGTTGTCGTCAATCTTGCATGAAAACGTTCGTATCTTCAGCTCGACTAGAGCTCTTGGCCTGGCATGAGTCAAGCCCCAAGTTGGCGCCCCCAACACTAATGCTCTCTGCACAGTCGCCGATGTCAACACTCACTATGTCCTGGCTAGCTATAGTTGTGGATTGAAAGTGCCTCCTTGCATTGCATCTTTCCCATGACTAAACTACCGGTGCTGTAGTAACAGAAGAAGGGAAACAATGCAATGAAGTTGCTGTCAGTGAGCGCTTCATACTTTGTAATTCTTAAGTTAACATAGTTAGTTGCTTGTCACGAAGAAACAAGCCTCCACTTCTATGATTGTAGTTAACTTAGGAATTACAAAGTCCACTTCTATGATTGTAGCACTGGGGCCAAGGTACAGAGCAGGGCCCACGAAACCTTCTTCACAACTCGGCACATACAATTGTGTCTGATCTGCCTCACTATCCCCGAAAACAGAAAACGACGACATGCACAGGATTGATGCTATGACGCATTCCAGGGGTCCGTACCACACCGGTTGTCATGGAAAGAATCTTAGACTGGCTAGATAGCAAGCACCTGATGCTTGTGAGGAGCTTGTTGGTCTAAGTGAGCAACGAAGCAAGCCCAATACTATCCAACTCAAAACCCAGCAAACTCAATCCTTCAATATTAGCTCTACTATGAATTATTTGATTTCGTCTTCTCTGAAGTAGTACGTGTAGTGCTTTCTCCCTTGTAGAAGTCTCGTGTCCTCCCCGAAAAGCCCAACAAGGCGATCGCACCAGAGAGCTTCTTCTCATCTTGTAGGCATCCCGAAACAATGCGACCAAGCTCGTCGAGAACAGGTCCATATCCACCCCTACACCAGGCATTTGGCGCCGGAAACGATTCCAAAATTTGCACATGCTCCCCGGCTGCTTGCTTCATGCGGTTGGGTGTGATTGCTTGCTCAACTTCCTTTCCAATGGGTATCAAGAGCTTGAGAGACGATGAGGCTTCTCGAATCACATGCTTGGTGTAAAGCTCCCAAGACAACACCAATGTTGGCCTCTTTAAACATTTTGGAGGTCGCTGCAGCTGAAGCCTATGGACAGCGAAGGACTTTCGAGAGATGACGTATTCTCTTTCTTGCTGAATGTACCAACCAACAATGCTGGCATCAATCAACCATATCCCTTTGTCTTTGAGTTCCTGTAGGACACCCAACTTTCTCCGCAGACGAGCGATCATGGCTTCTCTTTCAGAGTCGGGGTTGGCCTCGTTTCCGCTTGAGGGGTGTCTTCTCCGTTTGCCAGTTCTGTCTGGCGAGCATGGTCTTTTCTTGAGATCGTTTCCATCCTGCCCCAAGCATGCCGCCAACAAAGACCAGAATTGTGGGGTTCCAGTTCTGGCTGCTGTGTACATTGGACACTCAGTCAAATCTGTAGCATTGTCCAACGAAAGGCACTCTCTTTCTCCATAGGCCAAGCAGTACACGATCGAGATGAATTCGCGAGGGCCTGTATAGTTGAGTTCTTTGGCAATCGAAGCGCACATTTTGTGGTTGCAGCATGTAGAATGCTCGGTGTATACATGCGATTCGGCCATGACGATCACTTTGGGGTGCGCAGGTTTCCAGTATTCATAGAACGACTGAGCTATGGAAATGGTCTCGAAAGTCTCGCAATCCCCATCCGGGAGCAGATGCCAAATAGCATCATGTGCCACATTGAGCAAGCGACGGCTCGGAGGGACGAACATGGGAAGCTGAAGGTTGCGCAGCGACGAACCCCTGATATCGGCCAGGTTTCGTTCCGCGTTCGGCGGCTCGGTCTTCAACCTCATACAAAGTCTGCTCAATCTGTGATGCGCTAGGGCCATTATTTGCAGAAACTGTTGGATATGGAAGAATCGTCGTGGAGGCAAGGACGAGTCGCCTACTATATTCGATGATCGAAAATCCGGTATATCAGACGGCTCGACGTCTTGCTGTCCAATCTCCAAGAATCCATCTGGCCTTACACGTACTCTTCGCAAGTCCAACTGCTGTCCTTTTTGCCGATAAAAGACCTGCCCCAAATCTTTCATTGTTGTTTCATGTGTGATAATCTTAAAAATCTGCCTGGTAGAGCGGTCGACGTATGCCAGCATCGGTGTACCTCTGTCATGGTTGTAACTCATTATCATGGCCTTATTAGCTGTCCTTCATCCATTTGCATAGAACAATTACAATTCAGCTCATCCGGATCAAGGTAAGAGAAGAGCACAAAGATACAGATTTTGATGGGAAGCAAAGATCGAAATTTCCCACGACGATGACGTGGTTTTTGTTCACGAATACACCAATCCCGTAGAGCGCCCGAAAGTGATCATCTTACGGACAAGCACAGCATACTAGCATTGTGCCGGTGGACTGAGTGGTTCTCGGTTCCTGCTACTAATACGATCAAGGGGCTCTGGATCTCTTCGGCTAGTCTTCGTCCTTTGATCCTCCCAGCCCTCCTCCCTTGCCACCCTTTCCTTCTTTGGTTGTGCCGTTGATCTGCTCACCCAGTTGTTCGGCTCGGGCTCTTGCATCCTGCCCTCCTCCTCTGAAACCCATCCTCAACACGTGCAGTCCACTCTAACCCATAGTAACTTCTCGATATAGACATGCACTGGCAAATGTGGAAACAAGATGCATCTGCTGATTGTGAGTTTAACTTCCCATTGGCAACCAACTCTACAACAATCTCAACATCAGACTCACTCCTCGTCCTTCGGTGGATTATCAAGCCATCACTGGCAACGGTACTTTGGCCTGCATTTTGCCCACCTTTTTATCCGCGAGTTGGAGTTGAGCTTGAGCAGGAAATTTCTGATGTAGGACTTCCGCAGGACACGTCAGCCAACGCAAACCGCAAGAGATGCTGGAGGTCAACGCCATTGAACGAGGTCCAAACATGAATGAATTGAATCGAACCGAATCTCAAACAACAAAGATTCCTGGCCCAAATCAGCATCATGTGTCCAAAGCACCCCGTTGGTCATGCTGCTTGGGCTCTGGCTGCCCACCATTATAAGAATGCTGGATAATAAGTTGCCACATTCCGCAAAAAGATGACCACATGCACTTCCTCCCCTCTGGCCTGCCGAAGAAAGCCTCCTGGAGCCGCAACCAGCAGTCTGAGCACCGCTAGCGATAGTGACGATGACATTTATCTGACGACTACATGCTGTGCCGTCAAGGATGAGATTGAAGCGTGGTTCAAGTTACCACGATTAAGCTTGGCTCTCACCCTCCGCAGTCTCTTGTGCGCCGCTGCGGTGGCTCTGTTGGCTGTTGTTTTGCCGCAAAAGAGTATTGTAGACAATAAGAATGATCACGAAATACCCCGCTTGGGACCTCTCAGTCCCTCTTTGATTCACAGCGGCATCTCTTCCCAATCAGTCTTGTTGGCGGGTCCACCGCTCGAAAGTCAATGCATGTCAGAACCGCTGTTGTCCAAGAGAGAAGGTGATGATTCTTCCTTGCTAAGAAACGTTACTACCGCCATCGGAGGCTATGATCCTCTTGCGTCGCACACAGAAGCAGAACGATTCATTCCTGTTTTGGAAGCCACTGGGTACAACGACAACGATAAGGATGAATATGGTCATCGAAGAGATACTATTCCCATTGCCCAGGCAGTTGCAGACCACCAGGAAGGAACATTAAGGATCCACACAGCCATCTTTCAATTCCTCGAGGAAGACTCGCAAGATGCCACCAAGACCAACCATGCACTCTATTCCTTCTTGTCCCGAAAGGCACAAGGAATCATAGTGAGAAACAATCCAGGAACACTTTCAGCTGCTTCTCAGAGGATATTCGATGACATGATGAGGCAACTTGCTAATGATGGCTTGGTGATTATGACTCACCCCGATGTCACGAGTACGTTGGGGGCCAAAGATGCAAGTTCCTTTGTCCGTAAAACCCATTTTCCATCCTTGCGAACCTAACACCCTCTTCCAATTTGTGTTCTCAGTCTCTTGTCCAGATCAAGGATCTCAAGTGCGGTTTGGACGACACTCAAGTTTACTATGATCCAGAGTCCTTTCGAGAAGGATTCCGCAGAAGCATCGCCATGCAACCAAGAGTGATCAAACAGAACCGCGGTTCGCAAGGCGAAGGCATTTGGATCGTCCACATGAAGGATTCAAGCGAGTACTGTGCAGAAAACTCCGGCAGCGAATGCATGGCTGCTCTAGACACGGAACTGGTCCTCATGGAGGCTTGGGACAACCACGTGGAACACCACACTGTGGAAGAGTTTCTAGAGTTTTGCATTCATGGACGCACCGATCAATCAGGCGAATGGAATTCGACTGGAAAGGGACAATACTTTGACGGTGGTCTTGAGGCGGGATCGCTTATGGTGGACATGAGGTTTCTTCCCCGCATCTCCGAAGGCGAGGTCCGATGTCTCTTTGTGGGATCAGAACTGGTAGAGATTGTGCACAAGAAACCGAAAGAGGGTGGTCTCTCGGCAACGCTAGCGAGTGGGGCGGTGTACACGAAATACACTCCCGACGACCCCAAATTTGCTCGCTTTCAGCAGCATTTGCAAAAGGATGTTCCCCTCATTATGGAGAGTATGGAAATGAAGGATCGTCATCTCCCGTTGCTATGGACTGCAGACTACATCTTTGGAGACACAGACGATGACTTGTACATTAGCGAGATCAACTGCAGTTGCCCAGGCATTACGCAGCAACTGGAAATCGTCCCAATCATTGCGAAGGTGGCGTTTGAAACAACTTTCCCGCATGCAGTTTGACATTGATCTGGAAACTTGAGAAGCACACAAGGCGAGATTCCGGTCACCGAACGAAATCCAGCAAGCCTTTTGCTGGGGAAGCAATGCAAAACACCTAGGGAGTTGTGCACTCGAGGTGCAAAGGCCATCAATAAGGTGTCAGCCGAACTCGTGCCAGGGGAGCATTGCTTCAACCAGCCACGTCTTGGTATATCGAACTCTTCATCCCTGCAAAGATTGAAATTAAATAGTCATAATCTACTTGTAGAATTCTGTCATAGTTGTGATTAGGGCAAGCTCAGAAGGAAGAGTTCCAGTGACATAGCCATATTCAATGTCAAAATACTCCATAGAAGAGAACTGACCCACTTCACTTGGAATGGTGCCACTTTTGCTGTTGCCAAAAGCAGCAAATATCTGGGCATTACCTAGCAAGCCAATTTCAGTGGGAAGGGTTCCAGAGAACTGATTCAAGCCATATCTCTTCCAACAAGGGTACCTTCATCAAGGACCCTGGGATTGTACCTGTCAACGAGTTTTGTGACAGGATAATCCATTCCAAGCCGGATGCATTGCCCAACTCTGGAGGCAAGAAGCCAGAAATACTGTTTTGATCCAGCAAGAGGCATGCAGGAGGCATAGCCAGCTCCGATGGAAGAGTTCCATCCAATTTAGCGTTAAGAATTAAAATGCTGAACATTGAGTCTATGACCCCCAGGTCCCGTAGGATCGAGCTTTTTTCTGGTACTCAGAAGTCATCTACGCGCTTCGCGCGTGGACTTGGTACATCTTCTGACACCCAGAAAAAACAACGGCGGAGGGTCACCCATTTCGACAGCCTCAACAAGAGAGCAACCAACATGCCATGGCAGTGAAGATGGTAACAGTTTGCTATTAGCATGATACCGTAGAGGTGCCTACTACTTGGCTAGGCCTTCTATACCCACTTAGGATCAGTCGCCCTGAAAAAGATTGAATGTGTTAGCAGTGGAAAGAAGAGAAACAAGCAGTTGAAGTAACAGAATGAGGGTGTCGGCACTCACCAGAAAAGAGGAATTCGTGCTGTCGCGGAAGACACCTTGGCTGCTTCCCATAAGAGATTGGGTAGAAAACTCGTTTGTACATGAGCAGAGGGATCTCTCTATTCCTTCAAGCTGTCGAAGGGAGCAGAAGACAGTCTTTGGAAGCCTTTTTGGCTTGTGTCGAGAGCTATCTTTCTTGTCTGCTCATCCCAATTTTCCTCCATGCTCTTCTTTTTGACCATGTCATGCTCGAGAGACTTGAGCTTGTTCTTCCTCTGGGTATAATTCATTGCCTTGATTGCTTCTGCGTCTTCAGTGCCACCAAGCCGATGGAGTATTTCAGTGAGAACGTCTTGCGCATGCAGCTTGGCAACCATACGTGAGTATTGAATTAGACCTTGCATCTGCACAGTCCTGTGTACTCCGGTGTTCCTTTGTCGCTCATTCTCCTTTCTGTTGGTCCCGCTTTTCTCCACAATGTTGTTCTGCAGCTGGCCAATCCGTTCGTGCTTGAAGTGTTGCTTTTTCATGGAAAGTTCTAGGTCGGCAATCACCTGCTTGTACTGTTTTGGAGGAAGGGGATCATGAGCAATCCGACAAGAGTGGTCCTCGCCACTTTTGATAAGCAAGCGAATTCTTTCATTGGCAGGGAGTGTACTGATCTTGCCCATGGAATAGACATTCGCATCCATGTTGATAGCATAGGCACTCCGGAGCTGTTCACATCTGTCTGTAGTTGAGACGTTCTTAGCCAGCTTGACCCCTGCTTCAACAAAGTGAGTGTGGGATGCAAGAGGTAGATAAGACGTTAGCAGATACTGTTTGAAGGCATTGTCCATGTGTTCCTCATCTCTGTAGTCAAGACCACTGAGACGCAACTCTGCGGCATGTACTCCCAATGGATGGTAGACAGCCGCATGATAAGTAATAGCCTTGGTCTTTTTGTCTTTTGTGTAGTTGGCAGTTGCAACTTCCTGTTGCACAAACGAAAAGAAGTCAGACAAAGCAAAGGTTCTTTCGTGAACTTCAGACTGAAACAGTGGAGCTTCCAGTACTGGTGCCCCTTCCTTCTTCAAAAGAACATGGGCAATGATATCAGCGAGTGGTTCCTCTGCAAGTAGTCCGGCTGGAAGGAGGTCTTGACAACATGTTCTGTTGAAGTGTTTCTTGGCCATCTTCAAGCCCAAATCCATAAACATGTTTGCCTTCTTCTCCTGGTGCGCCTTTTCCTCTGGCGACAGAATACTCATGGATGCTCTGAAGCTCTCGAATGCTGCATGAGTTGTGGACCAATCCTTCCTCATTGATTCGAGGTCGTGCACAATGAGAAAGTAGCGACCCACCATGTTGTGGCTCTGAAATCCACAGATGTGTGACATGTCATCACTCTTCTGCATCCAATCGAAGTGTGGGCAAAGGTATCCTGTGTGGTATTCTACCAAGAGACAAAGGTCTGAGTACAACAACTTCTCACAAAGCAATGGCTGAAGACCTGACGCTGTTTTGCCAGCCTTGTCTGTTCCTTGTACATTCACCACCAACTGGCACAGTCGGACAAGGAGAAGGTACACAGCCAGAACAGTTCTTCCACAAGCGCCAACACTCCACCATCTTGTAAGAACGGGAGCTTGAAGCCTATGCATGAGGACATTCTTTATTTCGTCATCCAGTTTCTTGAAGTTGCCGAAGGCCTTAACCGCTTCCCACTTCTTTGCGAACGCTTTGTCTGGCTGCGTCTCACCCACGTAAGCTGTAGTAAGGTAGCTCTCATAGAATTGGATGGACTCTTCAACGTATGTTCTCCAGACGTCTATCTCCATGTTGTCTTGGAGATCTGTCACGGAATGGAGCAACTGCAAGAGGTTCTTTCTCTCTAATCCACCTTCGCCCATGAAATTCTTGACACTGTTTCCCATCGTCAGCTGCAAGTTATGCAAAGAACTGGAAGCGATCCAGTAAGGCTGATGACACTTATTCCGGTTTTGAAGTGAAGTTGCCAATCCGTCCAACACACCGCCTCCACCACTGTCAGTTGTCTGCCCTTTGATCTTTGGCGATCCAACCTTCGTCAAGGAGGCCACAACTGCATCAGCACAGTGCTCGGTTGTTCCTTCGCTTGCATCAATGTCAAGCAGACGTCTCACCACTCGCATTGATTGAATGTCATAGTAGTGGACGAATTTCACAAAATGTCCAACACCTTTCTTGTTTCCTTTGTCACATGATAGAAAGATTGTCTTTCCTTTCAGCTTATCCCCAAGTTGATGGACGTTTTCAGCTGCCATGGTAAACATCAAGTCACGCAGATATGTCTCTGAGGGAAAAGAACTCGAGAACAAATCCAAGTTGGACTTCTCCAAAATGCCGAAATCAATCAGAAAAGAAGCAACGATTGATGGAATAATAATTGCCGCCTGTGTCAGTGGAAGGGCGGGGCAGCTGGCAATTGCCACACCAAGCAGTGAACGCATAAGGGTAGATCCACCTTGGAATATCTGGTAGCAAAAGCCTTTCTGTAGACGTTTCATTTGGGCTTCCACATTCCTAAGTCGCTCAACTTGACACTTTGGTAGAACTGTGTGTGTGTGTGGAACCTCTTGGATGGCGAAGGAGCTTCCTTGGCTGTTGATTGAAACACTTCCAACTTGGATTTCTTCCTTTTCTTTCTTCCTCTTTCTATTGTCCACGATCGGCGCGGCAATTTCCGGTGTGGTCGCATCTTCTTCCAAACTGCTGGGAGTGTCATTATCCAATGCTCTCTTTGTTGCCGAATGCGCGATAGATGCCGGTGTGCTCATGCGATCTCGATTGCCATTCAAATAGAAGTGCGACTTCAGATAGACATCCAGCTTCTTGTACCAATCCGCAGTCATGTTGAATTTCTCAGGAACATAACCATCATCCGGTAGGCTGTGCTTCCAAGGCTGGCGACATGCAAACTTGTCTCCTGTATGAGTGGTGCTGCGAATTCCATCCTTCTTGGTCCTTGGTTGCGAGTCAATATAGAAGACACAACCACTACAACAAAATTCATGGTCAAGTGGCCATTCTGTGCAATACATAATTCTGCGAATGGACTTGAGGGGATACATCTTCTGAATTGGGCCGTCAGCATCATTGCCATTGCGTTTGCGACCACTGCGTCTAGCTCCACAAAGCGAGGACTGCAATGCCATTGTTGCCTCTCTTCTTTTGGTTAAACTGCTTATTCATTGCTTCGTTCGACATTCCACGGAAACGAAACGCAAACCAAAGGTCGCCATCCAACAAGAGCATTCCGTTGGCTCTCTCTCATTCCGATGTGTTTCGATACTCAAGAAAATGTGAGGGTTTGCATCTCATGATGTCATGGTACGACAGCCCTCTAAGTCTTCTTAGAAAATAGCACATTTACTCGATGGTTTAGAGTTCAGGTTGTCCGGTGAAGGTGCCCAAAAACGCCCTTGCTAAGATGACACCTATCTCAGTCAAAACTTCTCCTCGCGACACCACTCAGGCGGGGTCAGCAACTACATAGTTATCTACAGCTGAACCTGCCCTTGCCGTGTCGCGGGGACACATTTTAAAAATAATTGGATCATGCTTAGCTAGACTTGATGTTCGGGCCAAAACCGTTGCTATTTATTTAGCGAGCGGGCCAGCCGCGATTGCTGGCTGCGTTCAGTCCTGGGGGTCCTAGAGTCAGACAAGTTCCGAAGGTACCGGTGGTACCGGTAGCGCTCCACCAAGGGAAGATGCATCCAAGTAAGTTGATTGACTCCAGCTTTTGGAGCTTTGAAGAAATGGAACCAGTCAGACCATGGTTGTTGTACATGGATACCAAAATTGTTGGAATGCCAACACTCAAGGAGCACGGAATAACACTGATAGTGAGTTTCCGTTGCCAGTCCCATGGAGCAACGACTGAAGACACAGTCGTGAATCCAAACGGCAAACCAAGCAGAGAGCCGCCAAGGGTGACAGTCACAGACAACGATCTCATCCCTTCCTCTTTGAGATCAACACGAAGCAAAGCAAAACGAAGCAAGACGCTACTGTACCGTACAGCCATGACAAGCGAAGCAAAACGCGAAATGGTCTTGCTCCGATCTGCCGAGGGCTCGGAATTTTTCTTGCCGATTGAAGCGGCCGAAGTGGCGGAACTGGTGCGAGATTCGTTGGATGAGAATGAAGACGACGACGACGACGACCAACGCAATAAGGAACAACGAGAAGTCGATGTCATTCGAGTCTCGTGCGATTGTTTGGCCAAAGTGGTCGATTTCCTCAAACATCACGATGAAGAACCCATGACGGAAATTCCAACGCCGTTGGGAGGAAATTCGTTTGAGGAGGTAAGAGAGATGATGGATGGTCCAGAGGCTTGCCTTTATGTTTGTGGGATTTGATTCAGATGATTTTCTCACTGTGTCGTGAATTTGCATTGTTTTATTTTGTGTGCAGGTCATGCCCCAACAATGGTACCAAAACTTTGTGGCAGATGACAATATGAGTCAAGAAATGCTGTTTGAACTCTTGACAGCAGCCAATTACATGGGGATCAAGCCTCTCTTGGACTTGGCATGCCTCAAAGTGACATTTCAATTGAATGGAAAATCCGCCGAAGAAATTCGACTCATCCTCAATCTACCGGAACTCACACCGGAAGAAGAACGGTTGGCACGAGAAGAACATCGCTGGATTTTTGAAGACAATTATCCGTAAGATAGGTACAGTACCGCATAGACAGAACAACGACAACATCGGTGACAACAATGGATAAAGCAAAATAAAACGAAATGACAATACACTGACTAAGGAGCAGGAGGGTTCTACGACCTAAGACAGGTTTTGGTCTTGAAGCAAAACCCCGGTTTTGTGCTTGCTTCTGCTTCTTGGGTTCCCCGTTTTTGGGAAATTTGAAAAATGATGGTGCACCATTTTGCAGATCCTAACTAGCCAATGATGCAACGTCCCTCCTAATAAAATTCCTCCCAACTAAGATCGATGGCGGGTCATCTTCAGCACCGCGTTCGTTGTATCGTGTCCTTTGGACCCCCCTTGTAGTGTTTGTCATGTTTGTCCCGTCTTGGCTTATTCCGCCCAAGCCCGGCTCAGACCGCCCACACTTTCGCGATCTCCTCAAAGTTCGCTTGTTGCGTTGTTTTCGGCACTTGTCAGGAATCGAATCACCAGCACGTCGCCTGACGCCTGACTGAGTGGAGGATGGTGGCTCTTTGCGGGGATCGTACTGTACCGTAGCGGAAAAAGCCAGCAACTCCACAGCCCGCTGCAAAGGCCAACAAACCACTTTTTCGTTTGTGCTCGGAGTCAGTCCTTTGATTCACCTATCCTTTTGGGGTCTTTCTCAAAGAGCCAACGATTTATTTTTGGATATCGAATGCTCAGTACCAACGTTGAGAATGGGTCTCAGACGGGAGAAATGATGAAGGCCAACAGCCGATGTTTCCCTTGCCTAATCACAGAGTGAGGTCTAGCTAGCTAGTAGGTGGCTCTAATATAAGCCCAGCGGGGCTCAGTCAAATAGATAACCTCCATACTTTAATTAATGAACCCCCTAAAACATTTATTTGTTTACGTGTTCAAGCAAGGAATACGAGTATGATCATAGTCTAGCTAGCTCTAGAGGTTGGACCAACTTGACTGACTGTCACTCACTCAACTCGATTCGACTCCCGCAGCGACGGCGCCACTCCCGCGCAGTGTGGGAACCGGTTAGAGTCTTGAAATGGGACTGAGCGATGATCGCCTTCAAAGCACGAACGACCGGATACGGTATGACAGATGCAAGTCTGGACGGAAGAAGGCACCGATCCACCCCTCAACTGCTGCCACAAATCTGTTGAAACTAACGAACCAGCAACAGAACCAACAAAGAAAAATGACAGCAAACCAATCCACAGCACCAAGGGTACTTACAATCTATCATGCAATCATTTGCAATGCCATGAGAATAGGATATGCTGGCAGGCTTGCTACAGGGGCTGACTTTGATGAAATTGATTACCTGCCAATGCAGGAAATCTGCTGGTCCGCTTATTGTGATGTCTTCCCAAACAACAGCTTCATAGCAATTTCAGATGCCAATTTGAAACAAGCCATCAAGCATATGCTTCTTCGTTCTCATCCTGATAAGGTTGCAAAGCATGGTGATGACTACAGAGTCCACTATGCAAGTCTTGCTGTGACGTCCCTTCTCAACCACGTGTCTGCGTGGATCAAAACAACAAACACCAATGCAAGCAGTGTCAATACAGGAGTGGATGTATTGGAGATGCCACCACTGCTTCTCACAAGCTTTGGGCCAGCCAAATCTAAGTGTTCTCTGCCATCTGCTTTTGAAGCCTTGGCATCGATACAGTTTGCTTCAGCCTCCAAGCCATCCTCAGAAGTCCATCGATTGAACCTAGAAAGGACAAAAGATCTTGCAAAGAAAGCACAATATGCGGAAGCCATCTTCTGGGAAAAGGCCAACCTAGTTTCGACGACTCTTTGCCAAACTCACTTGACATATATTTCCAAACCCGACACTAGCTACATCCCTGACACGAGCAATACAGGGAGTGTCTTTGCAGGCAGTACATCGCTGGCTGAAGACCAGAAAGTGATTCAGGAAGTCATTGGCCGTCTCAAGACCAATGACAAAGCATTATCTCATATTCATCTGGAGAATCAGGATCTGGCTTCCAGTGATAATTTGAGTAAGATGGTGGATGCCATGAAGCACTCACACTGTCATGTCAAGAGCATCTACATCGATTCAATCTTGGTGACTACATCAGGTTTGTCTCAGCTGTTTCAGTTTCTGGCAACTGAGAACAAAACTGTCACATCGTTTACGCTAAAGGGGGTGGTTGGTTGGGACGTATATCGATACATCTCAAAAGTGGCCGATATGATTCGCAACAACAAGACCATGACAGAATTGACCCTTGTGAACTGTAATTTCCCATCCGCCTACAACGCCGATGGCATTGCCGAGGCCCTCCAGCACAACTCCACCTTGAAGAAGGTGGATTTTAGAAGATGCGGAGAGCTTTATTCCGAAGGAGCTTCAGACCTTGCCAATGGGCTGGTGGTCCCAACTAGCAACTCAGCACTGGAATTGCTCAGCCTGTATCGGACAGGACTGACCAACAAGACAGCCCCTTCTTTGGTCAATCTCATTGTCAATCACCCCACATTGAAGTGTTTGGACCTTCGTGAAAATCACTTCTCCGAGACTGTGCTGGACAAACTAAGGGATGCCATGAGCAAAAGTGGTTGCCTCAAGGAACTTCTCGTGGATCCACCTACATTGAAGGCATAGGCCAATGAAAAGTGTCGTCTCTTATCCCCACAAAATAAAATAAGAATAAACAAAAGGCTTATTCACGAAACAGTACATACTAGCCCAGTGATGGAAAGGCGTCTCCGTCTTCTATCATATTCTATGGCTGGACCGGTGTCCGTACTTCCCGTTGCGACCCAAGCGGAAGTCATCAATAGGTTGCTGTTTTCCTAATGATAGCGACAAGGCGCTTCAGCGAATCGCATCAGGGGCATTTCAACGCGACAGGATCTGCATCGCGTAAAGGGAGTCATTTCCGCTTGTCCATGACGGAGTCCACTTTGGTTAGCTTCAACAATACAAGATCATTTACATGGTCGACCACACTTTTGGGGCCGCTTGTTTGGATCGTTCCAAATCTAAATCCTGTGGATTGGGTACACGGAAAACTTCCTTCAGTGCCTTTTGGGCAGCCTCGGTTGTTTCCAGATCTTGTACTGTGACAGTCGCGTCAGGTCCAAATCGAGGAGACGTTCGTTTCAATCGACTTCCCGCCAAGGAAACCTTCTCGTTTCGGTCTATCCGACAGACAATGAGTTTCTTGTGAAAAATGCTGGACTCATCCAGCACAATATCCAGCCCACTTTGAAATGCTTCTAATGGTTGACCAGGATGTTCAAAATCCCATTTGAGCCGTGGCAACCATTCCCCATCCTTCTTCCATTCCAAATTGACGACATTTCCCTCGTCTTGAACGATGCGAGACGTCATTCCTTCGGGAGTTGTTTGCTCGGTATCCAACTCGTAGCGCAAGGAATGAATGGCGGGTTCTCCAAAGCCAACATCGGCAAACCATTTTTCGTCCGGGTCACTAGTAGTACTGACGACCAAAATGACGTGACTGGGGGGATGATTAAATTTCCTCTCATCGGAATGGACAATGGCCGGCAATCGTTGGACGGTATAACCAAGTTCTTCTAGAAATGCTGCCAACAATCCATTCAATTCAAAGCAGAATCCACCACGTCCATGATCCAAAATTTTGGTGGCTGTTTGGTGCACATCAATACTGGCAGTCAGGGGCAATCCATGCTGCGAAAGGTTGTCAAAAGTGATTTTTCTCAAGTTCGCCTCGACAATCTGATCGAGATGGTCCTTGCAGTGCTTGGAAGATATAACTTTGGCTTGCTCCGGAGTGAATCCGAGACGTTGAAAGTACTTGTCAGCCAACATCATGTTGCAGCATGTAGTGGTAGTAGCAGTTTTGGAAGCGGATCGACGATGGGGAGATGGGTGGGATGAAGAGAAGGCGTGGCTGGTACATGTGTGATCAAGCCGAGCGAGAAAGAAACAGAGTACAGAGGCCACAGCGGCAAAGCTAAAGGATACCGGTAGCCTCATGAGTTTGGGTTGAAAAGCACGAAGCTCGCGGTGTGGAGGGTTGTCAGGTTGTTGGTTCCAGTTGGTGGTTTTCGGTTTGTGGTTCGAAGTTCTAAGTTCGAAGAGGAAACAGAGTTCTACGTTGGAGCAAGTGTGAGTCTACATATACCGGTACTAGCAGACTTACTGTTTTAAATAAGTCAGCGGGAGCTGCGATACCTCGGCAGAAAGACAGATAGAAGAAGGAGGATCATGTTCGAGATTGCACCCATCTTTCAAGCTAGCTAGCCAAGTCGGGTGTTGTCGCCAGGTATCATTCATTCCCTTATTGCAACCTTCTTTTTATTCAGCTAGCCCTGGCGACAACACCCGGCACAACACCCAGCTACTCTATAATTTACCAGCTGCCATTCCCTTATTGTAACTCTAACCTTTACAGCTCCTGCTGGCTTATTGTGCTGTTGTGCTGATTGCACTAACCTTATTAAATATTAATGATTTATTCCTACCCCTAACTTGTATTGAACCATCAATGTTCAGTTTTATTGGCTTATGACTATCTCTATCCTTATACTTTGGCTTCACCGGAATAGGAAATAGGAAATAGGAAATAGCATTAAAGGGGTTGAGAACTCAGGCAGTTTACCTGCCGAGGTAAATCCCTGCTATTGGTACCAGGAATTAATAGCGAGTTTCCTGCCGAAAGTGGCCCAACGAGAGTTGAGTCCAAGGAAGTGGCCAAGGGGCCAGGGTGGCGATCTTCATCGCGCTACTATAACCGATGTAGTCTTTGTACTCTTGACTCGTCCATGGGCTTCACGCACCTACGGTACTTATGATCCCCACTGAACCCAATGCCATCACCGAAGCCGTGTGGGCTACGATTGCTATAGCTACAGTAGCATCTCGTAGCATCAGTTTTCGGCATCATAATGCTATTCTTGAACGACAACACGAGCGCAGTTGAACGACAAGATAGATGGCACTGACGCGACACTACCGGTTACGCTCCATTTCATAGTTGGCTACCTCTAGCTAGCTCTGCAACCTGTACGGTAGGTTGGAAAACATGTCATTGATAGAAGAAAACAAAAAAGTGGTTTTATACACTAGACGCTGACATGTACTACATCTATACATGGATTTCGAACTCAATGCCAGTAAGATGGTGTCTTGATTCATCCATGCACGTGTTCGATAGTTGGGTGCTCTTGCTCGATTCATCCCCCGCAAGTGAATTCTCCTCATCAGCCTCTTGGTTGTCAGCGCAGATGCATTTCGACCGCAACGTCCACAAGATTTGGCTTGAGTATACCTGAGCACCAAAGAGGACAATCACCAAAGGAATGAAGCAGATCTTCCAGAACCATTTCCAATTGGTTGGTTGATCATCAGCTTCTCCCTGAATATAAAAGGTCACACAAAAGTACACCAAGGAAACGATGGCAATGGTAGACTTGAAAATGAAGGACTGGATAGCAGCAATTGTGAACAGGTTGTATTGAACCCTCTTGGAGAACAGATCCAAACGGTAGCAGAGAAGTGCCACAAAGGAAGATTGCTCAGTGGTAGCATAGCATGTGAGGATGACTGCAAGTCGAGCATACACCATATCATATGCATCAAAGATTGACAATGCAAAGAGCTGAGCCATAACACAAGTCATGATATGATGGATGAGCAGAGGAGTTCCAATACTGATTCGGTAGATAAGTTCCCACATGTACAGTACAAATATGACCTGTGAGGAAACCATAAGCATGTTGAAGCGGAGTTCAGATGTGGTGTCCTCCAATCGGAAGATCACATCAATGCCCCCTGCTAATTGCAGGGCCAACGACAGTGCTGTGAGAATGATCTGAAGGATATAGATCACGACATTGCGCCTCTTTTCAAGTGACAGGGCTTGGAACTTGGAGGATATGCCAAAGGACTTGGTTTTCACCAGGAGGAAGTCAGTGAGGCAACCCAAACACCAGATCAAGGCAAGGAAATTGAAACACCAGAAAGGATACTGAGGAGCATAGATGTTGTAGTAGAGCAGTGCAGAAGGGAATTCAGTGTTGTTGTTGGCTCTGTCATCATGCTTTGTGATTGTGGTAATCAAGAACTTGTATGAGCAACTTTTATGGAAGGATTCATTTGATATCGTTTGGGCTTCGAGCTTCCAGGTATGTACCGGTATGCAAGCAACCCAGCAGATTGTGTACACTGTAATGCGCATGTACCGGGTAGGTGACAGATGGTTAGTGTCAATATTCAGTACTCAAGGTGGTTCGTGGAATGAGAATCGTGCACAGGACTTCAAGATTACTCGGTACTCTTCGAGCCAGTCCATTTTTCGTGGGGTGGAGCGACATGGGTTCGACGTTTTTGATTCAGGATTTAAAATTGCCCCAACCAACCCAGAAGGTGTAAGGGATTGTTTAAGGGATTGTTTGTTAAGGGATTGTTTAAGGGATTGTTTCAGATTTAAAAAATTGTTTGTTAATAAAAGGGACTGTTTGATAAGGGAAAGTTTGCTCCTGATAAGGGATTGTGTCATGGCATATGGCGATAGGCTTAAAGGATTGTTTCGAAGGCTTAGGGGAGTTTTTCTTAAGGGATTGTTTGATAAGGGATTGTTTGATAAGGGATTGTTTAAGGGATTTTGAAGATTTAGGAGATAGTTAAGGGATTGTTTCAAACCGTTTCCAGTCATGCGAAATTTCAATACGGACGGTCCAGCACCTCCAGGTAAACAGGTCTCGCAAAAGCTTGAAATGGGTTGGTAAAATAAATTTCAAAACAAATAATTTTGCTGAAACTAATTATGACTTGGAACAGAAAGGATCTCTGGTTTAGGATCACTGGCTTTAAAGCCCGGATGCCAGTGTTCCTAGGAACAGAAGCCAGTGATCCAAGGGGTTAAAGCCAGCATTCATTTCTGTTCCACAATGACTTTACTATACAGTAATCAGTACAACCAATGTTCCAGTCAAAGTAGATTGCTGGCTTGTTCCCAATTAAAGGAAAGCCAGGCTTTTAAAAAGCCATTGGAACATTGGAACCCGTCTCGAAGAAATTAGTGCAGTCTGTGTAGCTTCTAGTAGTGAGTCTACGTGAAGTTGAAGTTTGGAGACATGTCTCGAGTCAAGAAAGGGAATGTCGCGAGTGACTTGTTAACGGTCACATTTTCTTTTTTTAACCGCCACATGTTTTTACTTAAGCGCGCTTCTCGACGGGTTCCAACAGAACACGTCTCCGCTGGTTGAGTCTCGCTGTCACTTAAGTCTCGCCTGGCCGGTCTCGCGCGTTCCGAGCCGTTGGCTCTCCTTTTCGCTCTCGCCCGGCCAGTCTCGCCTTAAGTGCCGTCTCGCCTCTAAACCAGAGGAGACGTGTTCCTATCGTTTTGCCTTGGCTGAAAAAATCGACTGCTCAGCAGTCGGCGCTTCTTGGAAGTTCTGTGCCATCAAGGTGCAAATCACTACTAGGATTTAGGTAGACAAGTAACTGTTAACTCAAACCGACTGCTAGAAATAGACTTCGACTGCCATGCAGTGCTTCCAGGAATACTGCCACGCAGTCAAAGCACGCGGCCCCAGTCGACACCATCGTCTTCATCATTGTTGCCGTCATTTTGGTTGTTGCCATTTTGGTTATTTTGAATGCCGCCATGGTTGTTGTTGCTGCTAAGAGCCCTGAATTGCTCATGGACTCTCTTCATTTCCTTCTCATTATCCTGGAACTCCACTTTGGTTGGCATTTTCCAGTCTTTCTGCCGCTTGCCGGTGATGCGCCAATCTGCTCTTGCCAATCCAAATGCGCCAGTGTTGTGCCAGTGGAAGAAACAAGATGACTCCTCGCCATCTTGTGGGTATTTGTGGAGTGCCTTGTCGCAGAGTTTGCAGTACTGGTATGTGAGCTTGCCACAGAAGTGACAGGCTAGCTTCTTCTTGCCAGTTCCCATCTTTTGGGTAGCTTCATAGTGTTCCATCAATGGAGTGATAAATCCACAAAGTCGAGTTGCGGATTCGTCCTGGAGGGTGTTGACACCAATACCGGACGCAGTTGTGAATTCCCCATCATCATGACGATAGCGTGGGGGAGTTCTGCTTCGCGATTCGGAGCGAGGACGCTTCGCCTTTGGCACCATTGTGCACTCTCGAAACTTTTCATCTCCTAAATAATGGTGGTTGGTTGGCGAATACATCAGCATTTGTTTTGCCAGCTTCTCTCGAAAGCGATAGAAGTCCACTGGCTTCTCTTGCCGCCACCGCTGGTCAAGCTTTCCTTCACAGAGCTCTTGATAAATATCGAAAGCCACAACAACCGCCATTGCCTTTGCATGCGTCATCGGAGAGTGCCAGTACTTCCAAGACCTGTAAAGGGAACAAGCAATTGGTATGAGTACACGACAATTAACAAAGGTGGAAGATAACGGCCCACAAACCTGTAAGAGATTGAACAGTTCTGGATTAGATGATCCAACCGATCGATGCCTCCATATGTGCGAAGGTACAAGTCTCTTGCTTCATTCATCTCGATACCCCATCGCCTTTTGAATTTTCCTCTTCCACGCTCCTTGGTGGTTGCATACAATTCACAGCTGTTAATGGCATTGACACTTGTGAAATTGCAAGATGAGGTTGACTGAAAGGAAGTGTGTTGAATGAGAGCGGCGCCATGCTGTTTGACAGCGAAGATTGGTTGCTCAAATCTGGCGGCTTTCGGACGGGCTGTGGAGTTTGTCTTCTCTTTGTGAAAGTACTTTCCAGGCACTCCTCTTGGCAGTCGGTCTCTTCGGCAGGTCATTGTCAATCCATAGCCATTGTCAGCAGCATATTGGAAGATCTCTTCTCCACTGAAGAAATTGTCCCAAGTGATGTGCGGTTTGGACTTAAGAATTCCAGGTCTTCGAATTCCATTGTTCTCTTGTTCGAGCATCAATAGGTCCAGCTTGTCCATTATCATTTTCACTTCGCTGGGACCTTTCTGCGTGAAGGCTTGATCATGGAGCTTGTGGCGATGGACATATGCCCTTGGACGGATCCGGTCGACATCCGTAACAATGACTGTTTGACCACCACGAGAGATTCCAGGTTTTCCGAGGATCTGTGACACAACACCAGAAGCCGGTTCACCGAAACCTTGATGTCCCCAGCTTGTTTCATCACCCGACATGTCCAAGCCACAGGATTCTGTAATGGCATTGACATTGTGAGTAATCACCTTAAAAATAAAGTCAAACTTGTAAGCAGGATCATAGCCTTGTTGTCCCTTCTTTGGTTGTCGGAGGTTGTTGCAAAGCTTGTAAATTCGCTTGATTTCCAACCATCGAGACTTGGTGAAAGCAGCTGTCATCAAGGAATCGAAAGCTTGGTTCCCTTCTCTTGTGTCGAAGCGACGGATAATAGCCCCGTTGCTTCCTCCACGGACTCCATCTTGAACCAAAGATCCATCCCAGCGTACAAATTCTGGAATGGTAACAGCATGGAATCGGTGTCCATATCCACAGCCCAATCCAAGTTCAGCCACGGCATAAGAATTGCTGTTGCTGGAGACGTCCAAGTAGTAAGACATTCTTGGATCATTCTCATTTCGCTTTGTGTCGCAAATAGGAAGCAACAATTGGAAGAAGAACAAAGCGTCAGGTGCCTTGTCCTCTTGAAGCATCCGTTCTTCCTTCATTCCAAGTTGCAGGAGAACTTCATTGCTCAAACTGCCGCGTCTTGATTCGGGAAACATGTTCCCACGCACTGCTCCACTTCTGAAAGATTGAAGTGATAAGTCTCGCGACCAGCCGTCGTAATGGAAACTCCATCCATTAACTTTGCGTTCTCCCTGTTCATTCGGTGGCACAGGAGTCGCTCCGGTTGGAAGACAATGATACAAATACTTCTTGGGTCCTTTGCTTTCAAACTTGGGGCGAAAGGTAAAGTTGCTCCAACCACCTGGATTGTCCACATCTTTGAACTCTGGCTCTCCCCTGGCGCTCTGCCTTGCCGCTGGTGTCCAATCTTCAGGAGCGCTTGGTACCTTCCATCCCACTGGCGCTCCAATGATTTCCACAGTTTGCAAGGATGGGTCAATTGACTGGAGCAGGGCATCATCCGGAATGGCTGCTTGATTGTCTTCAAGTGCTGTCAATCGGTCTATCATCACATTGTCAGTGGCGGAGTCTGTAACTGTAATAACAATGTTTTCATCGCCTTCGTCTTCTGAATCAGATGCACCAGCATTCTCCTCGTGACACCTTGCATCATATGCCGCCTCAAACTCCACCGGTGATACTTCATCGCTGGATTCAGATGTGGAATGAGTGTTCGGCGTTGTTGGTGAACGGGCTCTTGATGAAGCATTGCCTCTGCGCCTTGCTTGTGGCGTCCTTGTAGAAGTGCTTGCAAGAGTTTCGACCATGGAGCGTGGATCATGATTTCTTGATCTGGACGAACGACCTCTTCTTTGGCTTGAATTCGTCAATGTTGAAGCATTAGATCGAGCTGACTGCCTTGTCGCTACCTCATCGGGCACACTGGACGTGTTCCCACCAGCACTGGACGCCATGATGGCTCATAATGAGTCGAAAACAGGGCATATTGATCGTCATTGTCGAAGTTTTCGTTCGAAGTTTCTTTTCCGAAGAAAAGAAAAGTGGCCAGTGCAATCAGTACCGGATGCCACGGGACCTAACCGACTGCACGGCAGTCGGTCGACACTGGCGCCTGCGCATAGTGCCATACAAACATCCAGATATGAAGATCGACCTAATACTCGAACACAAGCAGGGTCTAATGTTGTTGTACAAGTACATCATATACCTATAAGAGCGTTAGCAATCTATTGGCTAACACAGGCGGTGCGCATGCCAGATCGACTGCCTGGCAGTCGATTCACGAGTCAGCCAGGACTAAACGCTATCATAGAACACTGGCTTCTGATGCATTATTTTAAAAATTAATAGCAGCCAATACGGTAGCAGAGCATCCGGATGGACGTCGAGCAGACGAGGAGAGTTTTTGGAACAAGTGTGAGTCTGGGCTGACGTCCCGACCGGACCGTGTTTTCCGTGTTTCGGTCTGAGAGACACCCAAAAGATATCTCGCGGATTTCCGTGCCTGAAGGGATGCGACGACATCACCTTGGAAGCAAGGACGCCACCGCGGCTCATGCGATGAACCCAGCTGTTGTATTCTCTGAGATGATCCAATGGGAAGAAGAAAAGGAACAATGATGGGTGCTGCTGCCGAGAAGAAAGAAGGCTCAATACCGGATCGTCCAAACTGACTCAACAGCCACCTGGTTCTGGAAGAAATCCAAGACGCAATGATGCAAAACGTCAAACAAGCTGGCACCAGGCTCTTGACGCATCGGATCTTGGAGAGCAGACTAAATTTTGAAGCCTTCTCAAGAATCAGCACGCTCTTTTCCATCGATGCGCAACAGCGATACATGAAATCCCAACCTCGTTCAACTGCTGTTTGGGGCCTGCTGCCTGACTGCCTGAGGAACACTCCGCAAGAGTCTAGCTAGCTCTGTCCTGGTCCCAGTAGAACCGAGCCACATGCAAAATACCTCGGAATGCTTTGACTGGCTAGTCAATTTCATTTTCGTTCCCCACGCCAAAAACTCAAGCCAACAATCACACCAATCGTTCATTCATGCTCAGATAACACCCGCCTCTACTGCTACAACTACAACTACTACAAGATACAAGATGAAGCTCACGAGAACCTCCCCTCTTATCAGCATTGCTGAGAACCCCGATAAGAGGTCCATTGCCTCGGCGGTCAGCCAAACGTCTCTGACAGCATCGGATTCCGGCAGCAATCACGACGAGGAGGATTATGTCATGTCCCCCCAGTTTGCGCAAACCTTGGTCTCCCGCACCGAACGCAAAGTCAAGGCATTTCTGGAGGCATCCCAATGGGTCCGCGATCATATCTCCAATCTGGACCAAATCCCTCGTTTGAGTGCCGCGACGGATTTTGTGGCGGGCCGTGTCATTGCCGAAGGAGGCTTTTCCAATATTCATGAAATCACCTCCTTTTGCGACACGGCTGCCTTTGACAACAACAGCAACAACAATACAAAGAAGAAGAAGAGCTATGTCGTCAAACGATTAAAACCACAATTGGCATTGAATCCACCCAAATTGCGGGCCGCCGCCAAGGATATTTGCAATGAAATTCATGTCCTGAGCAGTTTGGATCATCCCAATATCGTCCGGGTTCAGGCATTGTCGACAACCGGAATTGAAGCCATTGCCGAAACCTGTCGTGTGGATTCGTTCTTTCTCATTTTGGAACGACTTGATCAGACACTGTTGCACAAGATTTCGCAGTGGCGGCAAGAAGGCATCCGGGCGAATGCCCTTGCGTTGAACAAACTGCACAAGTGCCCGCACACTCAACGACTCTTTCGAGAACGCATGGGAGTGGCACACCAAGTGGCCAGTGCCTTGGCCTATTTGCATCAACATCGGATACTGCATAATGACATCAAGCCCGGCAATATTGGATTCGATGATACTGGAGTTGTCAAGATGTTTGATTTTGGATTGGCGGTGGAACTACCCAATGACACCGATACGTTTGATCTCGGCAATGCCGGGACCCCGCGCTATCAGGCCAATGAAGTGTTGAAGAAACAACCCTACAATATGAAGGCGGAATCCTACAGTCTGGCCATGCTGCTGTGGGAAATCACGTCCCTGACCAAACCCTTTGCGTGCCTCGATGAAAATGAAGTGAAACAGTCCGTGACACAAATCAACTATCGTCCCGGCATTCCTCGTTCGTGGCCTCGAGCGTTGCGCCGATTGGTCGCCAAGGGATGGTCCAAACGCATGACACAACGACCCACCATGGCCGAAATGAAAGCGAGTTTGGAACAGATTGCGTCGCACGATTACAGTCGCAGCAGCAGTGGAACAATGGCCAGTTTGTTGTTTCGCTAATCAGTCAGCCATTCAGGCGAAAGGCAACCCACAGTTTTGAAAAAGTCTCTGCGCATAATCTATAGATCACAGGAGTACACCAACTGGACTAGTTCCGCATTGTTTGCTCTCTGCGTGCGTGTAATGTGCGTGTGGTTGTGTTGATAACATTCCGATTGTTCTCTGCATGTCTGTACCGCGAGTGTGGTTGTTTTGATTTCGTTCCGTTGTGCTCTCCATGTATCGCATATACTGTGTGTTTTCGTTTGCCGTGTTCATGATCTAATGGTACGGTACCGCTCGTCTTCCTAATCCTTCAAGGTGGGTGGGTCCACAAGAAGCTCCTTGAGGCAAGCACTTTTGTCCACGGCATCTTCAAGCTTCTCCACCCCGAGTTCCGTGAAGTGGTTTCGGCGAACGTCCAGGCTCTTCAATGTTGGGTGATTGGCAATCAGGTTGACAAGAGTATCCACAGCCTTGTCTGTCATTCCTGTGCAATTCAAGCTCAATGATTCCAGTGCAGAAATGCTGCCAGGGGCCACCAACCCATTGGAAAGGTCAACAGCTCTTTCCGAATACAGTTCTCCACAACCTGTTGGTCTTGTTGTTGCGAACCATTTTGGCTAGTGTGGGGACGTAAAGATACACTTCAAAACCGTAGACGAGCAGACTTGACTGTGGGAATACCCGGGCCTCGGCTCGTGGGTCGTCCTCAAGCACATCTTGTCTGAATCGGTTATTAGACGTTCAGTTTTTCCCCTTTCCACTAAATTTGACTGATGTTACTGTTGTGTCCTGTTACAAAAGGAAATCAAACCTGATGTCGAGACATAGATGCAACGTGAGATGCTGATGCTCTTGATATGGCATTGTGATTGCTTCATGCTTCTACGACCCTGCTGAGATTGTCATGTGCTTGCAGATCCTGATTGTCTAGATCAATTTGATACAACATCTTGTCGTTTGTCTTAAGACGACGGATGACTTCTCGCACCATCTTTTCTTGCTCAGGAACAGCAGGAACTGGGAAACTCGAGAAGAATGCTCCTGTATCACTGATATCAGGTATATCACTGGTACCAGGTTTGGGAATGTATGTCAAGTTGCTCTTGCAAAGCCTCACGGGATCTGGGTTGGCTCTTTCCCAATAGATGGTCTCTGCATACCTTGCATTCTCTGCCAATTCTCTAGCTCTTTCCAGATTCCTTCGATGATTCTTTGAAGATGGCTTGGAAGCGGCTGCAAACTGTGAACTTGCCAACATCTCAAAGTGGCTTGGAAGGGAGCATATGGGTTTTGTTGGCTCAAAGTTGGTGATCAACATAGGAGGCATCTCCAGTACATCAACGCCTGTGTTGGCACTGCTTGCATTGATATTTGTTGTTTTTATCCAGGCAGACATGTGGTTGAGGAGGGATGTTACAGCAAGACTTGCATAGTGGACTCTGTAGTCATCAACATGTTTTGCAACTTTATCAGGATGGGAACATAGAAGCATCTCCGTGATGGCTTGCTTAATGTTTGCCTGGCTTACATCTGCTGCACTGTTGTTTGGATGTTTGGAAAACATCACAAAATGTAGACCAGCAGACTCCATGGGCAAATAGTCGGCCTCATCAAAAACAGCCCCCATTGCAAGCTTTCGGGCGTACCCAATTCTTATGGCATTTACTGTCCACATGTAAAATAAATGACATGGTACCAGTACACTGTACCGTACGTGTACTAGTACTTCAAAGCCCAACCCTTGACTCGGCTACACCATCAAGCCTAGCTAGCAGTAGCAGTATGGGCTGTCCCAAGCTGTGTGATGTGTGTCACTGAGTAGTGTTGCTTGGCCCGCAAATTGGAGTCCGTAACTCGTGTGGAGGTCTCACAATCTGCATTGAAGGACGAGGCATGCGCCCGAGTACAAACATCGAAGTGGCTGGGAGGTTCAAATTGGGCAGCTCATAGCTGGCAAGCAATCACCCCAATGTGCTGGTGACTTTCAAGCAAACCGTACTAGTACTCATAAATAAGCTGCTTCAAAGCCCAAGCACCTTTTAGCTACATGTACCGGTAGGATCCGCTTTCCTCGTCTTGCTGGCTTCTGCTGAATCATCTGCTTAATTAATAATAATATATATAAGGGGGTTTAGAGTAGGGAAATTATCTATGGAAGCCAGCCGGTTAATTAATTATAAGAACGTGGCAAACCCCACCCCACCCCTGACGGGGAACAGTAAGTCAACCATCCAGACACCCACCATGGTGCCCTTGATCTCTTCTGCTAGTCTTACTCCCTTGATCCTCCTTGCCCCCCACCTTGCATCCCCTCCCTCTTTGGTTTTGCTGCTGCTCTGCTCCCTCAATCCATTGCTCGCTCGGCTCGCGTTTGTGCATCCTGCTCTCTCCCTGAAGCCCCTCCTCACCATAGTTCCCTCTCTAAGCCATAGCAACCACAACATTGATAGGGCAGGTCGGAGGCAAATTTGAAGGTCAAACATGCTATAGTTTGCCGCTTGTCCTATGGACGTGGCTGATTTTCCTAAAGGATTCCAGTCACGCCTAGAGTAAAATGACTAGCTCATCATTAACCGAGGTGAGCCCAGTCGCTGCCTCAGCATAGAAAACCAACAAGGCCATCACTCTAGTATTACACGAAGTTCGGTTCATCAGTTGTAGGCAACCAGCTTGCTTCTGTATCGCTTGGCTCCATTGGGGTCACGTCCCCCCATCTACGCCTGCCCCCCCAGCATCAAATCGCCACCATCTTCGAAATCGAAAGAGGATGGGTAGGAGCAAGTGGGATGGTCTTCTCTTGTCCAAGTCTAGGAGTCCTGGACAGCAGGCAGCACGCACGGTCCCTATGTCCTCCCTCTTCTGCTCCTACCTTCTCTATTGCTGTGCAACCATGACGGCCATGCATGCATGAAGACGAGAAGCATGATGCCGACACCCTGGTGGCGAGTTAAGGTGATCGATTGACTTTGCCAGGTCTTTTGGTGTACCACCTGAGATGGTGGCTAAGATGCATCTACGCACGGTAACAAACGTGAGGTTGCCTCTTTCTCGGTTTTAGCGTGTGATCTCCGGATGAATCAGTGGCTGCTTTGTAAATTGTTTTGTCAAAGAGTAGCGAACTCGAAGCGAAGCGGGAAAGAGAAGCGAATTAAAGAAGAAAGTGTTCCATATGCTTTTCATTACGCAAGCTGAGCTGCTGCATCAAGGTTGCTGGGACATTCAAGACAAAAGGAAGGTCGGTGGGCAATCTGGCATCTAATACTTGCACGACTGCTGAGCGCTCCTGTACTGTAAGAAGACTATGAAAGCACATTCAAATTGTTTATGACTTATAGTATCAGTTCACCGGACACTGACTGCTTGATTTTGCCACGATTTGGGGATAATGGTTTAAAGTCGTCCAAAACAGCAACAGATGGACTTTCGTTTGGAGTGTTCTCCTAAACCACAGAACAGATACATCAACAAAGGCTTAATCATATGACAAAGTCCGTTTACCTTCAAGTGACATAAAGATTAGTTCTGGAAAGAGCATCTTAAGTTACTCGTACAGTAAACTTGGACATCTTCACTTGAAGCCCTAAGGATACTTTGGTAGCCTGATCGTAACTAGCAATTCTCTTTGCCAAATTCATTGTGCGGAATGCTCCTCGAATTAAGACCCAGTTGTGCTTGAATTCAATCGGCAGGATCATGTCCGACGGACACTGAGAATTCGTTTCGCCATGTAATCGCCATCAGTTTTTCCGACTTACGATTTGTCTCGACTAGCTTCAAGGCTTCGCGACATAATAGCGGAAGCTTGGGCACCTAGTGTCGATAGATCTTGCAGTGAAGTGCCTGTGCATTCTTGACTTCTCATTCTAATTAATAGGCAAGACTCCTAGAAATGTCAGTGCAACCTTTGTTTAGACTGAGTTGCCTTTACTAAACGTAGGATTGTGCCAGTTACTGTTCGTTCCTCATTGTCACTGATATCCCGCTATCCCGATTAGAGTAACCAGTTACCGCTTCGGAAAGTTCCACTCCATTCCCACCAAAACCGCAAACGGCATTGTGCTTGGATGCAACTTGCTTGCCGATACTGTACCCAAAGCAAGCAAAGAAGCAAGGTCTTACTGAGTGGTCTTTATACCAGTGGGAAAAAGCCCTTCATCCACCCATAACCTCACAATTTTCATCCCGCCCATCCGAGCCGAAAGAACAACAATAGTTTACTCTAGCTAGTACGGTAATTACACTGACACAATCCTTTAGGCAATACAACCAAAAAAACCAAGCAAAATGAACTTTCAAGCACACTCCCCTCTTCACTCTATTTCCTCCAACGTTAACATGCAATGCAATAGCTTCCAACAACAGCTAGAATGCCATCGGTTAAACATTACCAACATGCAACAGACCATGCAATTAGTAGCTCGACTGAACAACATGGGAGTCGGCTGCTATGAAGTCTCCAAGACTTCCGAAGCCGCTCAATACTTTTGGGGCGCTTTTGAAAAGACCAACGAGCTCCTCTTCCTCTCTCTTCCTCGCACTTCAGTCCTCCAATCCAAGCTCATTTGTCAGAACAGCAATGACTCTCTTTCCACCAAGAACATTCAAAAAGACGAGTACGATGAAGGCATGAACACCTTCTCTGACAGTCCCGTCATGATCCATGTCGACGTGTGTCTGCACGAAGCCACGGCGACTGTCCTCTACAATATGGGTCTCTTGCTGGCCCGTCTGGGAGAGATTGATGAAGCACTGACCTTTCTGCTTCGATCTCTCAGCTTTGTGCAAGATAACCACAAACCCAACGCCACTCTATCGCCAGTGGCGCTGCTCAGCAACATTGGCAACTTGCAGTACCGCAAGGGCAAGTACGAAGAAGCCATCCTCACCTACTCCAAGGCGTTGGTGGCTGCCCGATCCGCCGCAGTCGTCGGTGGCTCTCATCAAATGCTGGAGGTTGCCGCCACCTTGAACAGTCTCGGGGTCCTCTACTTTCACATTCCCACCGTGGATGCCAACAAGGCATCCAAGCTCTTTCACGAGTCCCTGTCCATCTACCGCGCGGTCCTGGGCTTTGATGCTGCCGCCAAAGAGATTTCCACCTGCTTGAATAACATTGGACGTGTGCACTACATGTCCAGAAGGCATGAAGAAGCCGTCCAACTCTACGCCGAGTCCCTGGCCATGCGCCGACGTCTCTTTGGCAATGAACACTTGGATGTCGCGGCCACCATTTGCAATGCCGGTCAAGCCAAACATCAACTCGGACAGTTGGATGAGGCCATGGCACTCTATCAAGAGTTCTTGCACATTGCCAAGATTCGTCTCAGCTACCACCACAGGGATGTGGTCATTATCCTCAAGTGCATGGCGCAAGTGTACCACGAGAAGAAGGACTACAACAAGGCAAGCGAGTTGTACGATGAAGCGCTTCGAGTTGGCCGCATTGCCTTGGGCCGAGATCACCCCGAGATTGCTTCCATCTTGAACAAGCAAGGAAACCTCAACTACGAAAAGGGACACCACAAGGCCGCCATTGACACCTACCTCAAGGGACTGGAAGTGGAAAAGGCCGTCTTTCATGCGTTCCATCCAAACATTGTCATTACCCTCACCAATGTCGGACAGTGCCACAAGATCTTGGGAAACTTTGAGGATGCTCTTCGCTACTACAAAGAAGCCGTTGATATCCAACGCCAAACATTGAGCAGCTCGGACCCCAACATCTCCTCCACACTTGCAGTCGTCGGATTGATCCACTATCAAAGCGGCAACTTCACCACGGCTTTGGACGTGTACCAAGAAGCACTGCGCATCCAACGTGATGCCCACGGCGACAACAATCTTGACGTGGCAACCACTCTTAACTTTGTTGGTTTGGTCCTCTACAAGTTGCAAATGTACGATGTTGCCTTGCAGAGTTTCCACGAGAGCTTGCGCATCCGTACCGACCTCTTGGGGCGGAACCATCGCGACGTGGCGGTTGTGACCTACAATGTGGCGACCATTTACCTGGAACAAGGCAACGATGAAGAGGCCATGCCCTACTACAGGGAAACACTGCGTGTGGAACAGGCTGCGTTGGGTCCCAAGCACAAGGCGGTCTTGGAAACCATGGAACACATTGCCAGGGTCCATCAACAGCGAGGAGAGCTGGAACAAGCCTTGAAATATTATTCGGATGTTTTGGAGATCCAAACGACAGCCCCTGAGGTGGACGCTCGTGCATGTGCCAAAACATTGAATAACATTGGCAACATCTTCTTGCAGTGGGGCAAGACACCAGAAATGATGCAGGCCATGGCACAGTCTGTCAGATACTTACGGGCAGCCGGTGAAAGCGACGATGATGTCGTCATTTCTGGCTTCAACTTTTACGGCTTGGCCCAGTTGCATCCTGAATGTGCTCCTGTGGCATAATCGGCGACATAAAACCTAACAACGAAATAAATACTCATAAGCTAATCATATGTAACTGCTTCGGACTCGTTGACCTGTCGCTTATTATCATATTGTCGCTTGTCCTACTCTGCATGGTTTACTGAACTACGGGCAATATCCTTCTGGTTTGAACTTTGTACGGCTTGGCCCAGTTGCAAATGTGGATCTGTGGCAAAAATCTGCCTGTGGCATAGACTCGACAAGCTAATCTGCACATGCTTAGGACTCGTTGACTGTCGCTCATATTAAATTTCCGGTTCTCTAGTTTACTCAACTGCTATGGTGCTATATTACAGAACACCTCCAACAGTTGCCAACATGGCTGCACCGACCAAACCAAGGGTAGCAACGAGGTCGACCTGTGTCCCAGCGCTGACGGTGGCCTCACAGCCCGAGAACGACAATTCATCAAGGAAACTATCGACCCTTGTGTCATTCAGGTCACTTGCTTCCCAAGTTGTGGAGTTGCAGGATGCACCAACACAAAACGGCATTTTCCCCACCCCAATTCCAAATTCGACACCAGCCAGCTCGCAATTGAGGCGAAGATTCTGATCGACGATCTGGCCACCGGCGTCCGTGCAGAGCGCAGAAAACGTTGCATTCTCGTCTGAATAGTCTATACCACAGTCCACACCAGAAACACTGAAGTCACACACACTTTCTACGTCGTCCTTGAATTCTTGGAGCAGTTCTTCAAAGGCCAGGCCGAGGTCTTCGTTCTCCTGCAACGTTGCTGTCTCCTGTCTGCACTGATCAGTAATCTCTCCATTTGCACCGCTCAACGCCAGCGTTGCGAGTGCAGCAAGAAAGTAGGTGCATTGGTAAGTCTTCATGTTTCTGGGGACTGGTTTCTGCGGTTTCTAAGTTGTGCCTGCTGGAGTATGTTTTTTAGTTGCTTGTGTTTTTAGTTGCTTGCTGCTTGATTTTGTGAGAAGTATCATGGCCCAACTTGTTCTTTCGCGGCTGTCACCTTGCAGATCCCCGATCCAAACCATCAAGATTCAACCCTCCTACCTTGGTATTGGAGGGTAGGTGCTACGGTGTAACCAACCACATTTCGGAACCAAAACTGGATGAGAGCTCGAGAGTGGTGGGAATAGATATGGGACTGAAAGCACGACTTGAGCCCAGAGGCAGAGCTGTCCTCATGGTTGTCTTCATCAGAAGAGGATGAACGGACCGAGCAACCGGTAGGCAGCAGGAATTGATGATGTTGCAACAAACAAAGGACTCTGGCTCGTGCTCTGTCGCAAGGGACGAATGAACGAATCATGAAATGAATCGTCAAATCGTCGCTACAAAATGAGCAAATCAAGGAATGTATGTTCAATCAAATCTAACGAGGAGCGGTGAACGAGACAGAAACGGAATTGCGTTTAACAAGATGGGTGAATAGAATGCCCCTGGAACTATCTGGTACCGGTACGGGCATTATGCATTCTCAAGCTTCGCCATGTCTGGCATGCTAAGGAATTCATGCACCATCTCATCCCCAATGTTCACCTGGTACCAACCATACGGGCTCTTTAGAACATGGTCAGTGCGATGGAAGCACTTCAAAGCACTCACATGAGCTGACACAAACACTTTTTTGGTCTCCCCAGGCTCCAAATAGATTTTTTCAAAGCCAAAAAGCTGGGACAATGGACAAGAGAAATCAACACTAGAATAGTTCTGCTCTTCCTTGAAAGAGAGGAACGCCAAGACTGACGCTGCCCCTGCAAGGTTGCCAGTGTTGGTAACTTTCACTTGGTACTTGGCACCAGTTTGGGTCCCATCCTCCTGCAGGAACCAATCGACTGCATTCGTTTTGTAAGAAAAGGTGGTGTAGGACAGTCCGTAACCAACGGGATAAATGGCATCACCATGGAAATACCTGTAGGTTCGACCTGGCCCATTGGTCATGCTCGTGTCACTCATGGGAATCTGATCTACAAAGTCCTTCTTGTGCATAGTGTACGGTAGACGTCCACTTGGATTGTACTTGCCCAATAGGACATCAGCAATAGCTTCTCCACCCTTCATTCCAGGATAAAATGCTTCCAGAATGGAAACAATGTTGGGATTCTCCTTTGCCGCAGAAATATCCACAGACCCACCATTCACCAGCACCAGAATAGTTTCGGATTGGACCTTGGCAACAGCATCAATAAATTCATACTGAAAGCCCGGCAAATCGATACTGTTTCTGTCATTACCTTCATTCTCAATGCCACCATCAATGCCCATGAATAGGATGGCAACATCAGCACCTTGTGCGGCCTTGACAGCTTCATCAAAATGAGTTGTGTCATTGGATTTCAAATCACATCCTTTCACTCCAACTACCTCTCCCGAGAAGGCATTCTTCAGTCCTTCCATGGGGCTGGTAATATTTGGCAGTGCATCGTGGTAGTTGCCACACATGGCGTTCTTGGCATCAAAATGAGGACCAAGAACAGCTAAGTGCTGTCTCTACATGATCTGGGTGTCCGATCGTCTCGGACGGATAATTGCGGTAGGGTTGTCCTCCAGGGGGGTCAAATTCGCCCAGCTTGATTTTGGCAGTAAAGAGTCGGACCAGAGCTGTGTCTAAATCACTTTCTTTAATCACATTTTGTTGAATAGCATCTGCCATGTGAATCTTGTAGAAGTTTCCACAGTCCAAATCACATCCAGCCTTCAAGGATTCAGCAGCTGCTGAGGCAGGATCTTTGGTGTAGTTGTGATTGTTAAAGACATCACTGACAGCATCACAATCACTGACAACATAACCATCCCAATCCCATTGATCTCGTAGAATATCCTGCAATAGGAAGGAGCTGGCACAAGCAGGAATGCCTGGAAAGAGATAAGATTGCTCATTTTGTGTTTGGTGGTTAACAGCTCGATTCCAAAACCATCTTACCATTCACGGCGTTGTACGCACACATGACTGACCCCGCTTTCCCCTCCTTGATTCCAACTTCAAATGCAGGTAGATAGGTCTGGACCAAATCTTGATCGGACACTATGGCATTGAAAGAATGGCGATCGTCGGTGTGCCAGTTCTCCACTGAATATGCGGTATAATGTTTGAGAGTGGCAACTGTTTTGAGATATCGTGGATCCTCCCCCTCTTGCATGCCCTTGATGAAGTTAACAGCATACTGGCCATTCAAGTATGGGTCTGTGGGTTCCAAGATGACAAGGGAGCGCGATGAGTGTCAGGTCATATCAAGATGGCAATCAACTTTGGACCTTACCCTCTCCTGGTGTTTCCATTCCTCTACCCCAACGACTGCCCAGAAAAAGAAACGTCCAATTTGGATTGTTGAGGTTTGTTTTCCCTAGCAGAATTGGATTGCCACAGACGAACCCCAAACTTCCACTTACGGATCTCGGAACACATTAATATTGGGGCGCCCAAAAGTCAAGGCCAATAAAATGCCATTTGCTGTTCAGCTTGCGCTGGGCTTCGTTCTCCACATTCATGCGTCGTCCTTCGCTGGAAATCTGTGATGCCATTTTCTTGATGAGTGGCAGATTGAAAGTAGCACCCAGTCCAATAGGCATGGGATAGCTGGTGGGACAACGTCCACCGTGGGTACTGGGAGATGCAGGAAAACCTATTGAGCAGCATGCTGTCCATGTAATGGCATAGTGAGGGTCTTGACGCATTCCTTGACTTACCAGGAACCAGAGATACCATGCAAGCATTCCGTCCACCAGTCGTATTGTTGGACTCCCAATCGTTCAATGGGTGGTGCACTATTGACCATTTGCCCAATCTTTTCAGCTTGAGTCATCCTAGAAACTAGATCGGTTGCTCGTTCAATGACGGGGAGACTAGTGTTACAGTAGGGGAATTGCTTCTGATCGTCACTGCTACAGGGACCAACTGAAGTCGCTACTGCTGGTACTGAGATCAGCAAAACGGAAACAACGGAATACTTCATGGTTGAAGCAAAATATCTTTGAATGATCCCGATATCCCGATTTGATGCCCTGGTTTTGCAGAGCAGTAGGGTACCGGTAGGCAACGAGCGACGGCGCTGTTGTTTCTTATGACTTCCCTGCCTTGCTTGTGGACCCCTCAAATCAAGTTGTCTCGGGCAGATGTGGTGATGCTGTTGGAGGTTTTCCTTCCCGGGGAGAGCTCGAGGGGAGAGGGGAACCGGCATCGTCGTTTCAAAGATCTGTTCCGATATCGGTATCTTTACTTCCTTTGAAGAACGCACACTTTCCTATAGTCCGGTCAGTTCCAGGAACCCAAGTCAGCCGTTGTTTTTTTGGCGAAGAGCTCTCAAATTATGGCCAAGTCGAGGACCATACCATTCGCGGTTGGCTTGTCGTTGGCTTGTCGTCTCGACATGTTCATGTAGTCTATTAGTTGCACAGTGATCATCTATCATGAGCCAAGAACTAAAGAAGCAGCTGAAAGGGGGAGGCAAGGTAGTCAAGAAATTCTACAAAACAGTATCGGGTGAAGCTTCCTCCTTGAGCAAGGAAGCCTATAAAACTGCCGCCAAGGGCACTTCGAAAGGGTTGCACAAACTGGAAGATGCTGCCAAGGCAACGGGAAAAGCTGCCAAGGCCACGGGTAAAAAGATTGCAAAGCCCATTGAATCTTTGACTGGAAGCGGCAAAAAGAGAAAGAAAGCCAACAAGAGACAGAGTGCCCTACGAAGCAGTATTCTAGAGTTACACGCGTTGGAGGATGAAGTACCAACCGAGTTTCCTCCCGTCGAACCCGACGATGTCTTGCCCAAAATGGACCTGATCTTGCGAAAGCGCATTACGGGAATCACCATTGAAGACTTTTTTGATCTCATTTGGAGGGATACTGCTGTGGAGGAGCAGGACAACAAGGAATCCTTCTACAAATCATGGTTGGCCGAGAGTGGCAAGAATGAGATCAACGTCCCGACTTGGGAAGTGGCAGAAGGAGGATCCGATTCCCCCTTTGCCTTTGCCAGCCTCTGGGATAAAGATGATACCAGATATGGACTACGACGAACCGTGGACTTTACGTTTACCAGGACAACTCACCTCTACACAGGACCCCCCATTAACAAAGTCAAGCAACGTCACTATGGCAAAGTCTCTGGGCCAGAGCGCTGTATCCTGCACATGCAGATCGAAATGGAAGGCATTCCATTTGCTAAATGTTTCAATGTGCAAATCCGGTGGGTCGTCACAAGGGTCGGAGGGACGCCCACTGCTCCGATCTTGGAGATCCGCATTGGTCTCTACGTCAATTTTGTGGAGCAAACTATTGTGGCATCCAAGATTCGTTCAGGAACTACCGAAGAAACCACCAAGGCACAAAAGAGCTTGCTTCAATCTGTTGTCCAAAAGTGCAGCGAATACATTGTTGCCCATGGCGGCAAGGACATGGTCCTGGCAGGAGTCATGGAGGACGAGTCGGACAACGATGATGTTCTGCTACTAGAAAGAGACAAGGAGAATCAGGATGGAGTGTGCTGTTTTGGAGGCCCGTTCCTAGATTTCTTCCGAGACATTTTCCCACCCAAAGAGAATTTAGCCGAAGGAACTGATGATGATACCGATGATGAGCCACGTCGCGATGACGCCGTAACTCGAAAGGCTCGCTCCTTGCAAAAGCAACTACAGGATATCGTTGATGCGTGGGGAGATCCGTTGCTGGTGGACGCGGACGCGCAAGTACAAGCCAAAGTCGAGTCGGAACTTACGGATGTGCAGGCCGCCTTGGGTAACATTGAGAAGTACCTGATAGAGCAGAGACGCGATGACTAGAGTGAACAAGCGTACTACTAGAGCTGCAATGGTTAACTAAAAGCCATTATTTTAGAAACATTACAAAAAAAGGGCAAGAAAAGAGGCAAAGACTGCTACTATACACGAGATGTAACTCGTCCATGCAACCTGAAGTTTCAAGAAAGGAGTGTACACACGCACCGCATCTAGTAGCGAGCATTGCGTCTATCATTCTCTAGTTTGACGATCTCTTACAATGTGTGCAACACATGTTCGTCGAGTGAGTAGAAGATGGAGATCAAGTCATTCGATCTACCACCGACGTCTCCCATGCACCTCTTTCTGCCTTAGCATGCTCTGCGGGGAGGGCTGTGGTGGAAGCAGAACATGGCGACAAGATATCCACACGAAGCTCTCATGCTACAACCCTGCTATTCTTGTTGGGAACCGAAACCGTTGCTACTTGCTCTACTACTTTAATCAAGAATGAAGAGACAGATGATGTTCTAAACCAAAACCTTACTTCTTTTAACTTAAAAATTTATTTTTGATACCTAATGGTATAATAATTACAGGGGTTTTCTTTCTGCTTGTCTGTACACCAAAGAACCGAGGACTACCAGAGTCCTCGTCGGTTCTTGCGCGCGCCAAAATTCTGATTACAGTTGCCGCTGCTGCTGCTGTTGTTCCACCAAGTATTCGTTCAAACTGGACTTTGGTAGTCCAGCTTGTACCTTGCGCAACGCCGTGTGGAACTCTTGCATCGATGGTCGATCCTTGGGATCCCGAGCCCATCCTTGTTTCAAGATTTTGCGGAGCTTACGGGGCCAACTCCAGTACGTCTTGGGGCGTTCGTTCCATCGACTGACGTGTTCCTTGACGGCCTTGGCATCCAAACTCGAGTAGGGTTTCTTGGCAGCACAGGCTTCCCAACACAGGACGGCAAAGGAATGAACGTCGGCTTTTTCATTGTACGGTTTTTCCAAAATCAATTCGGGCGCCATGTACCGCGCTGTCCCAATGTTGCCCGTGAGGTCAAATGTCTTGTGCCGACTGTCAGTGCTGGTCAGCGTCGGCAGCTCGGTCGCCAATCCAAAATCAATCAACTTGGCGCGATGCGGTCTCGCTGGATCAAATGCGACATTGGCCGACTTGATGTCGCGATGACAGATGCGTTTGGAGTGACAGTACGCCAGTGCCGCGGCGACATCGAGACAGATTTGAATCTTTTCTTGAAACTGTTGCTTGGCAATCTTTTGATGGGAAATTTTCTTTTTACTACCCGCACAAAGGCTCGAGTACTTGCCCCGTCCTCGCAATTCGGCTTGCCATTGAAAGACACGTTGAAAGAGGGTATCTCCGAGTCGATCGAGGATCATGAAGAATCCATCGGCGCGTTTGGTGGTTTGGAATCCGTTGATTCCATCGTGGGACCAGCCCCGAATCTGTACAATGTTATCGTGCTGGAGACATGCCAGTGTGTGCGCCTCAAAGACAATATCCTTGGTGGCGCCGGGGAGTTTCTTCAATCCCAAGCGCGTCGAGAGACACTTGACGACGTATTCCTTGTTAGTACCGTTGTAGTGCTGTTGTTCGTCATCATCGACCGACGAGGCGGGTCGCAAGACGCATTCTTCATTGTTGAAGGAATTGACTTCGATGATATTGGAAAAGCCACCCTTGGCGAGTGTCTTGCCCAAGTTCAAATGACTGGGAGTGAACCGCGGCAGCTCATTGAGTTTGGTATTGGCACGAATATACGGCGACTTGGCCAAAAAGCCGTCCAACCGTCGATTGACCTGAGCTACCAGCTTGCGGGAAAAGTCGTCGGGCATAATGACCACATCGGTTTGTTGTGGAGTCAAGGGTGTGAAGCTGCTGGATTGTGTCCCAGGTGGGTCTGGAAGGGTAAAGGACGTCGAGTTGGCATTGACCGTGGCGGTAGCAGTGCAGGTGGTGGGAGACTTGGGCGCGGGAGAGGAGGAATCATTGTCATCGACCGACGTGGAGTTGTTGGAAGTCACTCGGTCGGAATCGGTCAAGGGCTTGATCACGGGAGGAGAGGAAAAGGACTCGCCAGACGACGAACTCGTCGTTGTTGTTACCACCGTCACCTTGTTATTGTTATCTTCCATATCCACCGATGGACTGCAGTCAACGCAACTGTTGTTCGAGAAAACCATGGTTGGTTCGTCGGTCGACTAAGAAGTACAACAAGTAGTTTTTATTATGTCGAAGGGTAGCAACTGCTTGCCAAAGAATTGTGGAAGCTAACGTTGCAACAACGCCGCAACTACGATGGGGTATACTCAGTACTACTACCAAATCTTTTGCCACATCAGACTGAGCAGGGTTAGCACGGAGGCAGTTTCTATTGGTGCTCGAGGGCATGGAGGCAGTACTTCTGTTGAACCCTAATCGCCAAACCACACGTCGACCGGTACACCGGTACACAACGTACATGAAGTATTAGAGCGATTAGGACTGGAAGTGTGCCCCAGTAATGTTTCGGGAACCACGATAACTACTAGTACTTTCTGTCTATAGTAATAGTAGACACAACTAATATGTCTTGCTAACGTTTAGTATAGTAGAGCTAAGTAGTCGGAAAATGGACAGATCGATGAATAGCAATAAGTTCCAGGGAAAAAGCGGTCATGGTAAGAAGGCTGCAGCGGAGAAGATACCACTTTGTTAAATCTCAGTGCCAGAAGCATGTTGCAATTCAATCTATTTACACTTGAAATATCCAAGCTACAGCAACTTCCAAAGAAATAAAGGTCATTGTATTTTCTCAGCCAGAACCACGGTAAATCCCCACATAAAAGATAAAAGAAGCGAGGGTCCGGCAGTTTTTCCGAGAATCACACAAATTTTGTCTCCAAAACGAACGTCTTCTCCTCCAAAACTGAGAGGTTTTGACAACGGTTAGAATACCCGTTATTCGACAAAGTTGTGGGATCGATCAAGATTTCTTGGTTAGACCTTGCTTGGAAGAAACTACATTGTTAAGGTTTAACCGTCCAGCTACCTTTGATTGCTTTGTGGTTTAGGGATTTCTGAAGGTGCCATCATGAGAAAAGGTGCCATCTTGCTTACGAGTAGTAGTTAGGATCCCAACATGTAGCCAGCTACTAGTAGCTAGACTCAGTAGACTCGACTGCTCTACTAGGAAGCATCGACTTCAGGCATCTGTGCGGTACCAGCCATTCTGGCAAAACGAGACTGAACTATGGAAGAAAAGAAACAAGTACTGTTGCAAAGGCCAAATCGCCAGAGCACATGATAATACATGTAGTATGCATCAATGGACATCTTTTGGTTGTTTGGCACTTAGCTAGCTCCACTCCATCTCGATGAGGCTGGACTCGACTCATGATCTGGCTTTGGCTTTTCAAGTTGTTGCACGGTACTTATGAAACACGGGGTTGTGTCAGCGGGCACCATATAGGTTCCATTGCAAGCGTTGGTCAGCCATCATTTCGTTATCTACTCCAGTACCAGACTGGTAGCTATGAAAAGTCTAGCCAACTAAACGTTTCAGCATTTCTCTTTGAGGAGGGCCGCTGCTACAGTCGTACCCGCACAGTGTCCACCAGGTTGGGTGGTTCGAATCAATCTAAAAGACAAGGCTTCACTTTGTTTTGGCTACTCGGTTGATGCGTGGTTTCATGACATAGTGGCAAGTGGGTGGCGAGAATTGCTGGAACAACAAGTTTTACTGTTTAGACTTGCCCTTGCCGAAGTCCACGTTGGCGAGTCCTCTAAACACAAACTTCTCCTTTGGCCATTTTGGGCCAATAAAAAGCCTGTCATCTCCGTTCCATTAACACGTTGTGTGTTGAGCCAGTTGAGCTGTTGGGTTGTGGCACCTGTGTTGCTTCTACTATAATAGCTAGCTACTAGCTAGTACACATAATGTACGACTGTAATCGTTCGTACGGTACTGTACTGACTGTTTGCATCCGAAGGCGTCAATAGCGGAATTATTGCGCCCAGTGTCTCTGCAGTCTGTGCGGCTGCATCCGATTTCTTGTTGTAGTTTGTTATCTCCTTCAACCCAATGGTCTACGACGTACCGGTATCAGGGGTCAGTAGGTAAGCCATGTTTCAAAAGAGCACAGCCACGAGACACGTCTGTATGAGTTGAGAAAGAACCATTCACAGAAGTTGGCTACCCATCTATTTCTGGAGGAACGCTAGCTGGGGGTGGTGAGCTGACCGGGGATGGGGGGCACTTTACACTTGCCATGCTTCCGAAAAGGAAATCTAGGTAGATGGTGGTACGGTATGGGTGGCTGTCGGTCGATAGCTGCGTAGAAGGATATGGACAAGCTGGCTGAATGGCCATGAGCTCGAGTTGCCTTTTGGCTGATAAGGCTAGCTGATACCTGATGCCTGGTGAGGAGTGGACAGGATAAGCAAGAACAAGGCAAGTCAAGTCAATGTAGATTGTAGATCATTCTGGCTGACAATCCAGAAATATGCTGCTGCTTCCCTTGTCCAGGCCTGTGCTTGTAGAACTGAAATGCTTATTCCAAGAAACACTTGTGGGAGTTGTAGTACTCAATTGATCAAATGCCTTCCTGGCTAGCTACGTTGTGGCAACCTCAAAACTCCAATTGCTGATGCTTCGCTCCAGAAGTAAAAAGTCCTTTCGAAATTTTAGGAGCCGCTGAACATGTATGTACATAGCTATCTATGTGCATCAACTCCATCCAAAAAATCAAATGCACGTTTTATTGCACAGTTCATGGTGCTGTTTAGCTGTGTTTGCCTATAGAGACCACGAGCAGAGCGGTCAAGCGGCCAAGCGGCCCATTTTTGTCTACCAAAGATGGCGTGATTGATCAAGTGGTGTGTGGAGTGGGTCAACGACAGTTGCACTCCGACCATGTCCGGAACCAGCAAGCAAAGAAGGAAGCAACGTTTTGGAAGCCTTCCATAGAATCACTTCTTTCAGCCAGAAACAATGAAACACTTTGGCTTACTAGCTAGCAGCGAGCTAGCTAGCTGTGGCAAGCCATGTCCTCTGGTCTACTAATATTACCAGGAGCGGCTCGGTTGGCAACGGGGTGCTTGTCCATGGTCCCGAATCTTTTTTGGAAACGACAGGTGCGCCAAAGTGGCTTCTGCAATGATATCAACGACGGCGCACCGGTTCCTGAGGCCTTTTTCAGGTCCCACCGCCCAGAGCTACCCACATGAGAGGATGCCATGAAATTTCTCAGCCAATGACGAGAGCGGAGACGACCCCCTACACCCACTAGCAAGCTAGCTAGAGGCAAGAGCAGGTAGACAGTGGCGTGGCTGGGATCAATGCATTGCTGCCGAGCAAACTTGCGAGCCATGGTTCACGTGGTGCCTCTGCGGTTCCCGGCGTGGGAGTGGCGGGGTCCACAGTCTGGAGCCGAACTGAGCCGTTGTCAAAAGTATCAGGGTCCAATCGCACCACAGTCGCAGATTGTGTTGGGAGCAGTGCTGTGCAGATGTAGATTGGACCGGAAGCCCAGGTGCTCTAGCTAGCGACGTACCGGTGCGGGTCAGAAGACGTTGCTGGGGTCCTTTCCACAGAACTAGCTACATCATCGTAGCTAGCTAGCTAGCTAGCTAGCTAGCTAACAACAAGGGGCTGACGATGAATTTCAATTATTCCATTCCATTAGCTATACATACAACAGAGAAGTGCAAGGCGGTTGTACTATCTTGATGCGTATTTGAAAAACTTCCTGTCAGAGCTCGAATGCCTCGACGATTCGGACGCCAGTGCGACGAGCATCTTCTCCAAGGTGTCTTGGATCTGTGACATGGTAGGCCTCTCATCAGGGCGCTTGGCCCATCCATACTTGAGTAGCACTCGGATCTGCGTGGGCCACTCCTTTGGAATCTTGGGTCGAAGTCCCTTGTGGGCGACATTCTCCTTGACGTCGTTGCCGTCCATGCCCCCGTAAGGCTTGGAGAGACTCAGCATTTCCCAAAGAAGAATAGCAAATGAATAGACATCCGATTTGGCATTGTAGCGCTCGCGTTTGATCATTTCTGGGCTCATGTATCGGCTCGCTGCAATGATAAAAAGAGAAATAGCTAGCTAGTTAGCCCTCATTGCAACATGATGAACGGCATACACATACAGCATGGCTGCAGACAGAACACAGCAAGAGACTTACTTCCTTTCTTTCCATTCAGGTCAAACGTCTCATCGGGGTCGTTCGTCTCGGGTTGGACCTCCACCGCAAGGCCAAAGTCGAATAGCTTCAAGCAACCATCGGCCGAGAAGCCCACGTTACCGGGCTTGAGATCCAAATGAAAGACGTTGCAAGTATCGTGTAAATAGCAAAAGGCGTCGGCAATATCCCGGGCAATCTTGATGCGCTGAATGAATAGCTTCATGGTATCGGGGTACTTTTTGCGTTTGTGGATCTGATGCAAGAGTTCATCCTCTCGAGCTCGCCTTCTCCATTGCGAGAGACGCTGAAAGAGTGTCCCTTCAAGGCGATCGAATACTAAATAAAAGCCGTCCGCTCGACCCGTGGACATGAACCCGGCCACTCCTTCGGCGGACCAACCCCTAAGTTTGAGGATGTGTTTGTGGTTGAAGCTGCTCAGCAAATGAGCTTCCCAGAACAAGTCGCGAGCTCCACTGAGGAGTTTCTTGGAGTTGGACAGAGCCAATTTGGGGTTCAAGTGTTTGACGACGTAAAAGGACGAAGGCTGTGATGGCCGACGAAAGGCAGCGTCGGAATTGTTGTGAAAGGCAGCAATGGCGTGGACATTGGAAAAGCCACCCTTGGCAATCATGCAGCCAATCTCCAGGTCGTCTTGCGTAAAGCGCGGCAGCTTGTAGAGTCGGCAGTGATCTCGGACGAACCGGGACTTGGCCATGTTCTGAGATACCTTGAGCTCGGTTCTCATGACCAGGCGCTGCGCAACCGCATCCGAGAGATACAGATCATCCTCTTGAGACGGCTGATCATCGGAATAACTCAGTCCTTCCGTGTGAGTATTCAGTCCTTCTGTGCGTGTGTTGTCTTTATCAAAGGAAATAGAAGAACGGCGGGGTCCGGCTCCATGATGACTACTTCGAGGAGGGCTGGGTTGATAATGATGGATTTCCACCTGAGCAGGGTGCTCATAGGATGTTTCGTAAGAAATGGTGTGGCAATGGTGGCGGTAAGACATGGTGTCCAGTTATTCTTTGTGTGTGTAACTTGAGAAATGTGAGGGTATCTGTCTGATTGATTGATTGATTGATTGATTGAAGAGTTCCCAATGGGTAGCACGACGAAAGAAGCACGATACTCAGGACCAACCAACACGATGCCAGCTATTGCGCTGTGCTGTCTTACTATCTAGTAGTAAGAAGGATATGTTGTGAGATGGATGAGGGTAGGGGAGTTCAGCCGCACTGGTTGTTGGGATTGTGACCACTACACTGCCTTGAGTCCAGGATTGGCGTTGAGCAGCGCTTGATCAGCCTCCAACGATCGTTCCGCGCACAGCAGACGCGATAATTAAGGGCCGTTGGTTTTGGCACCAGAGGCTTCTTGGACAAAAAATCTGGGAGCACGGCGCAGGAAGCTGGTCACAACGAAGATGGACGCACTTCTTCGAGCTGCTCTACTTACTGTACTCACAATACCTACCGTACGGTGGTAGTACCACCCGGTACTGACGCTACGACGTGCGACAGACGCAGGCTCTCACTTGCAGAAATGCTCACATAACTAAATTTTGGTAATCACGGTTCTGCTCAACAGCCACTGGCATGTCTGTTGTTGTATGCACGTCCTAAGGTCATGAAGATGTTGCCACGTGCAACGGTCAAGACTTAGCATACAACCGTGGGTGCAACTACCACTGCGCTTAGATTCCTCGACAATAATGTGACAGCTTCGACCAAGATATGCAGCTCTAAATTGGCAGCATTGCTTTTTTTAGGCGTGACAACACCTGGACGATTTCGTCTTTTGCTAGAGTATGGGTAACATCATTGATGGGGAATGTTGCTAGCTCCGGTACTGTAGCAAGCTTTTCCACACGGGAAACACGCTATGTTTTGGTGTTTTATTGCCTTCTTGTAGCTGGCCATCTCTAGCTAGCTAGGACATGGATCTTCTTTCGTTAGAATCAATACATCAGTTCTACTTTATCCTTTGCTTGATTTGCTGCTTTCTGGCTGGTGACGAATTATTGTTCGAATTATTGCATTTCTAGCTACAAGATCTAGAGACCTTCAGATGCATTCTATCTCTTTCGGCCGTCTTCCCAAACTGCAAAGACTAATAAGAGAATGATCTGCTTACCATTTGAGGTGTGTAGACCTCTCCTTGCTGCCAGATCAATGGCCATGAAACGTCTCGCTCTCTTGCTACCGGTACCTGGTATGGGTTTGCATGTTGATCATTTGAACTATTGATACCGGTACTGTGGTAGTCAACCAGCCTCCGCCGCTACCGGTATTGCCCTTTCCACGTTCTGTAACTCACGATTACTTGGCGCGAATAAATAAATCCACGACCACTTGGGTCTGCAGAGATAACTCCGGTACGCATAAGTCCAGTTGTGCACCTCCAGGTACCGGTACAAACCATTGAAGCACGACTGCGCATGCCTCCCTACCTCCAACCTCCAACAAAGTCCCACTTCCACGATCCCTCGTTCTCGACCTGCAAGGCTTTGGTCCAAGAGGAGGAGATACGGTACGCCGTAAATACAGTACGGGACCGTAGACAGCTGCACAAGCATGGCCACATCATGTTGGTTATCACAAGCATCATGCATGCGTCAAATAAGCACTAGATATTACCTGCGATATTTCTACCGTGTAATCGTGGTGATGGGGGTTGAAGAGGCATACCGTATGGGTGCCGTTTCGTTTACGCAGCCTCTTGGGTGCTGGTGGCGGCATTTCGGGGCTCGCGGCGGCGATGATCATACCGTCGTCGGAAACCTCTGTTTACCAGTTTGCAAAGATGGCCGCAATGCTCGTGGTGCGTGTCAAAGAACATTGCCATACCTTTTCTTCCTCGGTCGGTGGATCCATGCACATTCTGACGACCTTGACGACCTGGGTTATGATAGTGGATGACAGGGTCCGAGAAAACGAGCTCTTTGCGTTCGGAATCGTGCATACCCTGTAGATCACAAACAAGCCTTTTCTTGCCAGAAGCCAAGTAGCTGTAGTGAGAGAATGCTTGGGCGACTTCGAACGGTGTGAACAGTTTCGCCGTATCCTTATCACACCGAATCCATTTGCTTGATTCCTTTCCTTCTTCTTCGTTCTCCTCCTCTTCTTCTTCGTCTTCCTCCTCACTACCTTCCTCGATCATGTCCATTTCAACCAACGTTAGCTTGTGCATCGCTGCCCGCAAACTATCATCATTGTACTTTGGTGCCACTTTTCCCTGAACGTAGCCATTGTTGGCATTCCACTTCGTCCATTGAAAGTGATCAATCTTTTCCTCTACTAAAACACTCGACGTCCCTCCAACCTTGTCGTCTAATTCATACACCGAGCAGTCCAGGAAACGTACTCTGGGAGTGTCTTTGTCGACTCGCCTGAGCGAATCTAGTCTCCTGTTGAACTCAGTAGCAAGACGTCGCGCCAGTTGTTGTGTGGAGCAAAAGGTCCTCACGAAACTCTTCCTTTCCGTTTCCCCCGCACGGGATTCCCACATCATTCGACTTTCTTTTGCCACCAGCGGCTTTCCGACTATCGTCTGTCTATCGTTCCCAACTTCGAAGAAACGGTAGGCAAGACGCTCGGCACCTTCGCCAAAAGGCTCCTTGCAAAAGGCAACGAAGGATGCCTCAGGGCTCTCTAAGGGGACTCTCTCGTAGGCTTTGTGCATGCGCCCTTCATCAAACCACTCCTTGTAGACAGTTCTCTTGACTTGGTCAAGTCGATAAATCCAAAACTTGTCGGTTGAAATCTCTGTGATCTCTTTGCTAGCCTCCCTTTTAGACTCCATGAGTACTTCTTTTACTCTTTTCTGCTTGCCCGAAACAGGGTCTTTTAATTCTGTCTGCGTTTCTGATACTGAGGTTGCCACGGACGTGAAAGTCTCTCCGAGCGACGAAGATGACATGGATGGAAGGCTAAACGAAGCCTTTGCTCCAAAGTCAGTTGCTTCATCGACCATTCTTTGCAACATATCGAAGTTGTCAAGGTCACCGATTCCGACAGCCGTGAAAGTTAGCCTCCGTCTGTGTCGTCTCGCAATGTCACCAACGCGCTTAACGATTCGAGTCTCCCACACGCTGCGCTCGTCAACACCGCGATCGGAGGGTTTTCCATCAGAGAGGAACATTAGACCCATTGCGCAAGATGCATTGGAGTTCCTACCAAGCAAATCATCCGCAATGCTCAGACTCGGGATAAAGGGCCCGTGGCCTCGAGGTTCAACAGACTTGCTCATGTAGATGTTCACAAGCTGATTGTATAAGATCCATGTGAGCGGTTGCTCTCTGACAATAAGTCGAGGGTTATCTTCCAGCGTTACAATGGAAACGACATCCGTGGAACGTCCTTCTCCGCTCTCGAGTCTATGTGCCACGAAGTCCAGCGCAATGGACAGCCAAACCGCTCCGAGCCGTGTACGAGTTCCCCAGACATCAGCTTTCTTCATTGAACCAGAGGCATCCACAACTAAAACAGTATTGGAAGTCCAAGAGTCCAAATCATCCCGGATTCGCTGCTCAGCCTTCCTGTGCAACGCCATTATGCTTGAAGTAACAGGGACAGGACCCAGAGTCACTGGGACTGCATACGAAGTGACTTCTTCACCCGTCACGTCGTTGACAATGTACACGATATCTTTGTAGGTGTAAAGGCCTGTGGTGTCACCATTCCTCCTCGGGTGCCCATCTGCCCTTGCTCCATATTTCTTTGCACGTTGTAAATCCTTCTTGTCAATCCCGCGCTGCTGTCGTCGCATTCGACCATGGGTAGATTCCACAAATGTAACGTTTGATGTAGTGCTACCGGTTCCAGTATCGCTTCTCACGTCATCGATGGAACGTTCCTGCCCACCGGCGTTGACGCTTGATTGCCTGAAGAGACCCGCCAACATCTTGGTTTGACGTACTGTAGTTTGGCAGATGAACAAACCAATACGGCGGTGGCGAAATTTGAAAATTTCGTTTTGGTACCACCTGGTACCAGCTAGCAGCTAGCTAGTACCGCGAACCTCCGAACAACTCAAAACGCGCCACTTTGGACGGTCACTCTCCACGCTCCACGCTCCGCGCCACCGTACCCTATAGCGGTACCGGTATCTTCAAATCATCCCTGCTCAATACCACTCCCTAGCTACTGTAGAGAACATGGTATCCTGACCAAAGCGGATGTTGGACTCAGGATAGGAAGCGGATGTTGGAATCCTGAAGGGCGAACCGTGGACCTGGGGAAACTGAAACTGCAGTAGCTAGTAGCTGTTGATAGTAGCTCTAATGAGCATTGGCGATACCAAATAGTGAGGCTACAAGACAATACCGGTATATGAATGCAAACTGCTACTAAATATTACAAGTAGCAGCTAAATCCCCACATCAATATGGATCCTTGCTTCCTGTTGAACTCAGCCGCAAGACGTCGCACCAGTACCAATCTCTTCCTTTCCGTTTCACCCACGTGGGATTCCCAAATCATCCGACTTTCTTTTGCTACGAGCGGCTCTCCGACGGCTTTCCGACGATCGTCCGTGTGTCTTTCCCTACCTCGAAGAAGCGGTAGGCAAGACGCTCGGCGCCTTCACCAAAGGGCTCATTGCAAATGGCAACGAAGGATGCCTCAGGGCTCTCTAAGGGGGCTCTCTCGTAGGCCTAACGCATTCATCCCTCTTCAAACCACTCCTTATAGACAGTTCTCTTGACTTGGTCATGTCGATAAATCCAAAACTTGTCGGCTGAAATCTCTGTAATCTCTATGCCAGCCTCCCTTTTAGACTCCATGAGTACTTCTTTCACTCTCTTCTGCTTGCCAGAAACATGGTCTTTTAATTCTGTCTGCGTTTCTGATACTGAGGTTGCCACGGACGTGAAAGTCTCTCCGAGCGACGAAGATGACATGGATGGAAGGCTAAACGAAGGCTATGCTCCAAAGTCAGTTGCTTCGTTGTTCAAGTCTCCCTTGATTCCGTCGCGCCACCTTTCTTCTGCTTTTTGGCTGACATTTTGGTACCCTCACCTGCGCGTTTTTCAGCGTTGACCCCATCAGTATCTTTGGTGGCGGAGGAAGAACGAGTCGTTCTTTTGCTGTTCGCCGAAGTTGCCGGCTTTGCTTTCCGGGCCTATGCTGCGGCCTTGGCAACACCATCCAATCCCGTGATTGATTGATCGGGGCGCAATGGAAGCAAAGAAGCCGCCGCAGCCGAGCTTGTCCTCTCAATAGTTGGGCTCGGTTCCTGGAGGTTCACCGCTGGAGCTATCCGCCATGTTTCCCCTCAAATTATCAGCCAAGACATCCGAAGCAGGATGTTCGCTATCTTTCAGAGCAGACCTCTGGTCTTTTGCAAATACAAAGGGCTTTTTTTTACGTCTTCGTCAGAACACGTCTCAACGAAGCCTTCGTTCCCTTTCTGAAGCTGCTCAAATAAACACTGGAACTACAGATCGCTTCCATTGTCGCTCGGACGAATTTTTTCTTTAGGAATGTTTCGCTGAGCTCAACATTCCCGTACTTGTTTTGGAACCAGCCCAGTTTGTCTTTCAAGGTGTTTTTTTCTTGGGTTTGTTGGTTTGCAAATTCGGCTCCTGCGGCATCGAAGAACGAATCCAGAAACTCTGCTAATTTATCGTTAGTCTCGAGCCATCAGGTTAGCACAGTACAAGAAATTGTGTTTCATGTTTATTGCCTCCAAAACTCAGTTTTCCTACTCTCAAATGATGTTTTTCATGCAGACCCGTATCTGAATTGCCCTTGTGAAAGCTACCCATTTATGTCTCCGTGGATCTCGCAAAGCCAAACCATTTGGCCCCTGTACTGGTCCTCACTTTCTTGCCCCTGCTCCCACAGAACCCAGTCCTGAATTTCGACTGTTCTTTGCTTAAGCCTGGCCCCGGCTGGCTTCCGTAGATAATTTCCCTACTCTAATCCCCCCTTACCTTATTCCGTATGTGTGGAACCATTCGATCATGATCCGCTCACGTTTCCCGTCTGGAACACAGGGGTCCACCGAGTTGAATGGGACGACGTTGGAAGCGTTGCATGGAACTGGAGGTATTCGTCTCGAAACAGCAAACCCCAACTACGTGCCAGCCCTTCAAGCGTTCCAAGAAGACGAGGACTTCCAGCAATTCTTTGCCTCCAAGCATGTAGGTACCTGGTACCAACATTGATGGGGCGGCTCTGGCTGTTGGGTTTCGCCGGTTTTCTCACTTCTTAACATTCTCTGCAGGAGGACCCAGCGTTCTTTGACGACTTTGACTTCCCTCTTCCCCTTACATTGGGCAATGCTACACTACGATGCCATGATGACGGTTGATAGAGCTGCCTGTGAGGCGCAAAGCGAGTTCCCGACTCCGACGGAGCTCTACCAACAAATGGTACGAACGGAATTCGATGGGGCTTCTGGATATGTTGCCTTTAAGAGCAGCACTGAAACCAGGGACTTGGAAGGTCTACGTTTCATTATAGAGAATGTGCTGACGGAGCAAGACGAAGATGGAGCGGCACAGATCACTATAGTCAGAGCTGCAATTGTCAATCCAAGTGCGGACAATAACACTGTGGAGATTCTCGAACCTTTTGTGTACAATGACAACACTACGACGCCACCTTCCTCCTTGCCTCCATTGGAGCCAGATCAGAATCTAGTTGGCAACGGCGTTATCGCTACTGGGTTGGTGCTTGCGGCAGCTGTAATGATCATGTCTATCGGGTGGATAGCATGGGTTACTGTGCAAAGAGCGGCAAGTGTCCGTGGCTCAACCTTTCTTCCTGGACATGATTGCATTGGTACGTTCATCATGGCAACTTCGATCATCCCAACCAGCTTTCAAAAGCCAATGAGTCAAGGAGCACTCGATGCGGGATGTGCGCTATTTCCTTGGCTTCTGTGCCTTGGATTTGTCACTGCTTTCTCCGCATTGTTCACCAAGAATGGGAGGATGAACTCCGTAAGTTGTCCAGTCTGCAATTTGTCTGTAGTGGGGTCGCCGGAGAGTCTTCGTCGTGTTCTCACAAACCCAACAACAATTTCGTGCATTCTCTTGTGTTTGTTCAATGCTTGATTCTATCGCACAAATATAGATCTATGCCAACGCCAGACGCTTTCGCCGTACCACAATCGAGCCGAAGGATGTTCTGAAACCCTTTCTGGTGCTCTTGACACTCAACCTTGCATTCCTGACAGGTTTGACGGCGGCAACTCCTTGGAAGTGGATCCGTGTGGATGGCGAAGGACGGGACCCCTTTGGGAGGCCAACTGAATCCTATTGTGTCTGCAGTTCAGAGGGGCAAACGTCGGTATCCAAGGGGTTGACAATCGCTTTGGTCATTGTGAACTGTGTTCCAGTGATTCTTGCAAACTACCAGAGCTACAAGTCTCGGGACTTGCCTTCTGAATTCAACGAATCGAAGTACAACGCCTATTCCTTGGCAAGCTTGTTGGAGGCCATCTTGATTGGGGGACCCGTCGTGATCATTTCGTACCAGTCACACTCGCCAACAGCTTACTTTATGGCACGCGCATTCCTGATATTCCTGACATGCACAATCATATTGCTGTTCATGTTTGTGCCAAAGTGCGCAAAGTTGAATTTTGGGGACAAATCCACCAGAAGGTTGACTACGGTTTATGACTCGAGTGAGACGGCGTTTCTGTCGAGATTGACCAACGCCACTTCGAGGGCAGATACACTGAGTCTGAACGTAGGAAGCGACCATCATTCCGTGGGAAGCTGCATGGAGGCCTTCAAATCATAGACGGACCACGTTTTTCTTCGGCAAAGAAGATGGTGCCGATGTAACTGCCTAGGTGACCACCCTCCGGTCGGCACAATCGAGGTATGAAGAATCAGGGCTTTCGAGCTGCTTCCTCAAGCTCGCAAGAAGACTAGGGGAGTGTTTTCTCCAACGTGCATTGCAACGCCACACGTTTCTCTCTCCGCAAATGACGCCCCATGCACGTACATTTTCCCAACTTCACCCCGCCACCACACATGTACATATAACTCTATAGTTTTGGATGACTGATGATCCGGAGAATTAGTCTGCCCTTTATGCGGTCACGACATCGATCGATCGAGCAAAGAAGCTGCCTGCAGCGAACGTGCGGCGACTATAGACGAATTCTTCGCTTCTTCGCAGGTGTTGCTCTCAAGGAAGTGACAAACGCAGGCGCTAAAGGGGAATTCCCAGTTGTGGCGTCGGAGCTTCCACTGGAGGTGTTACTGTACCACAACTGGTGCTGCCATCGTCAGTGAGAACGGTCGAATTAGTCGTTCCAGGTGTCTTACGGTACGGTACCGGTAGCACGAACACAAGACAAAGTCATAGATTCTTCTAATTGATTGTTGGAATGGACGGCTTTTGGAGCCAATGCTCGATCACTACCGTAGGGATGTATGTGTCAACTAGTAGTGGGCCAGTGAAATGAAATGATGCCAGCCAATCGTCGATCCCACGTTGTAAAAAAAGCCACCAAGCAAAAAGCCAGCCGTTTCCATGACATGATGATGATACTGTACAACCATTGCTACCGTAAGTAAGTCACAAACTGATTGAAGATTGTAGTGTGTGTGTGTTTTTTAATATTGGCACAGGCAGATTTTTTGTTTCTTCGCGTGCAAGAAAAAAGACATTGACGGCGATCTGCTATGCTAGACCAAAGTCCTCTCTGAGCCCTGCTTGACAGGGAGTGCTGGACGATAGTTGGCGTCCAAATGCTTCTTTTTGGTTTGCAGTATTGCTTTGACTTCCTCCTTGTTGCCTGCTTTTGGATTGATACATTTGACCGGACGGGACCCCTTTCGCGTTTTCAGAATGCACGCTTCGGGATAGGCATTCAGAATCATACTCACAACGTGTGTCGACGCACCCATTCCACAGGCTACGTGTAGTCTGTGTGTGCGACCAAACCAAACCAACCAACAAACAAACACCCAAGAAAGCAATCCATATATTATTCCAGAACAGAAGAGTTAGAGGGGCTCATGATCCATATGCATACATGTCAATTGTACTGGCTAAAGACGGAAGCACTCACGGTGTCCATCCTCGATTGTCACACCCTCTGGCAGAATTGGGGTGGTATTTCAACAGCAATGTAATAACCTCATCGTTGGCGCCATTGGACAGGGCATAGTGGACTGAGTATTACGGGCCATACCGGTATCATTGAGCCAAACAAGAGATTTTCAAATGGGAATAATGAGAAACACACAGTAGCCTCGCCTCGCCTCAAATAAAGACATGTACGGTATGTATACTCACGCGGCAATCTCCCCAGGGAATCTGCTACTAGGGCTGCCTCGGCATCGGCTTCCAATAGGAGCTCGACCACTCTTGGATTGGCATTTTTCCGACAGGCACAATGCAGTGGCAGCCGTTGGTACGAACTTTCTTTTTGTTGGACACCCTTGGGATACGCGGAAATCAGAGCATGGACCACCTCGACAGGACCGTTGCCCACGAGACATTCGTGCAAGGGCAACACATTGCTGTCCTTGAGTCCTTCAAAGAAACCATGGCGCCATCCCCAAATCTTGGCCTTTTCTGGTTGATTCCGAGCAATTGTCAGAGCTTCTTCCCACCGGTCATTCATAATGCTCTTGCTCAGAGGCGAAGGCGGTTTCATGCGTTTTCCTACTATCGACATGGTGCTGGTTGTTGTTTGTTCGAAATCACTGACTCGACTCTGCTTGGCTTCTTCACTAACTAACTGAAGGTAGATAGAATAGATAGAATATTGTAGAATGGTACCCAATCTGGCCCCTTCAACGAACAAGTATAGCTAGTCTAGATATCGGAATGGCAGCTGCGCTTGCTAGCTAATGGAGCCTCCTTCGATCTGCAGCGATGCAAGACAAGACCATTGAGCAGAAGTGGCAGGATGGAGGTCTCGAGCACCGTCTCACTGTCGCTGTTTCAGTCTTCAAGTGACACGACATGGACACACGGGACATCAAGGTTTTGCCGCCATTGAAATCCAATGCCCGGGTGGTCTGCGTCGCTGATCGTACACCGCACAGCACAGGTACTGTACTGTACCGGTACCGCAATAGCCCTAACTATAAAAGATTGATTACGATTATGAAACGCTGAATTGATCCGCCCTTCCTCCAAAGCCCACTAACTAGCTAGTTAGTAATAGGAGCTGTCATTGGTGTGGCCTTTCGATGTGGTCTGGGAGCCTCTTGTTTGTCATTCATGGATTTGGAAGCCAGAGAACGGGCCGAATGAGCCATTCAGTTGCAGGGTGTCTTGAATGACATGATGATGCAGTCAGGTGGGGGAGCTGCATTGTGAGTCTTTCACTTGGCGCACATGCAAGCTGAAAAGCAGTTCTCCACCCAGACACCCAAGAGACGGGCAAGACCCACATCAAAGTGCTCACAAACACGCAACAACACGAAAAACCAAGCCTGGCGCAGTGGGCAGCGTAGAACAGATAGATAATGATGATTGCTTCCATTTTGTGCACACCCATCATGACATGGCTGTGAAAGTGAGGAAGAAGAGGTTGCGGCTGTTTTGGAATTTCACACCAAGAAAGATGCCAGTGACGGATTCGATTGATTCACAGAGGAAGACAAAAAGGCAGCCAAAGTCATGACATCGGCATAATGCAATTTTCATGAATCGGTTGAGCGAACGAGTGCTAGTCTGTCCATCCAGAACTGACAAGGTGCTGAAAAAAGAAGGAATCAGCCATGGATCTTGGTCAGCAGCAAACATCTGTGCCCAGTCATTTGATGTGCGTGTGTTTTTGCATTGGGTGGACAGCATGGACGTGACCATCTATTTGATTTCAGATTTTTCGTTTCTAGACATTTTGATCCGCTTCGTAGTTGCCCAGTCCACGTCCGTGGCTAACCATTTCAATCAACACCGGAGCGGAACCCAAGGTAGCCTGTTTGGGACTTGCCCCCAAGCAACCTTGGATTGTAGGCTACTGGCACGTTGCGCTTTGGCAGCTGGGGTCGGGAATCGAAATTCAAGAAGTTTACAACCTGAAGCTGAATCCATTCATTCCTTTAAATCTTTACTCAAAGATACTTGAAACATTTATCTGCCAGTCTCATTAATGCTCCAATCTAAACGCGTCTCAAAGCATTAAATTTCTCTTTGTTGCCAGATTCTGACTCGAGGAGACAAGGTGCTTTGTTGAACAATCAGCTCGCATCCTGAAGATGAAGACCAATGCTTTCGATCGAAACCAAGCAAGCAAGGAATCGTTTACCCTTTTGCGGTAGGCAACGGACCGGTGCTTATCGTTGCGACACATCTGTGGCAAGATGAGGAGGCGACAGAGGACCGATTTGCCGCCAAGACGGAGACGACGTCCTGCGAAAGTGGCCTGTTGCGGTATCATAATAACCATCGTCCTTCTCTGCCAATACGCTAGCGGACAATCGGAAGAAGCGATATCTCGTTCAACAGAGGCGCTTAATCGGCCGTCGATTCAAAATGTTCGAGATGGCATCAAAAAGAAGGGGCTCTTGTTCTATCGCTTCTTCAGCGGCTTCCTGAATAGAAACCGATTCGAACACGGGCGACTTGATTGTGACTATGATGATCCAGAAAAGGTCAAGTTTTGCCCACCTGCACCGCCTCCAATGCACGTTCGAATGTTGGACAGAAACAAGATGGACAAGACCGAACCACTGCCAATGAAATGTCTTGATCAACCAGATGATCCAGATTGTCGGCAACTCAAGCAAGTCATTGTTCCAAGATCCACCTTATTCACTTCAGCAGCAAGAAAATGGCCTACTGCAGCTCCAATTGCCACACAAGAACCAACCAGGGATGATTGCTATGGAAACATGTTGGATGGGCGCTTTTGCTCTTCAGAGCAGCCAACAATCTCTGAGGAACCCACTGTTGCATCAATGCCCAAGACAGAATTACCGGTGGCCAGTCTCAAGAGCGCACCAAGAGGGTCCAAAATGGCCCCAACACGGGCTCCAACCCAAGCCCCACGCGACAAGTATGTCAGTGCTGGAACCGTTGAGAAGCACAGAGGAGAAAGCCCAACTACTAACACGGAAGGTGGAAGATATGTGTTTAGGCCAACCACTTTGACGATTTTTTCGGACCATGGCGCGAAAATTACTCACCACCCAACGCCGCCGACATCGATTCCCCAGAGAGGTGATGGCAACACCACTTTAATTCCAACAGCAAGCCCAAAGTTACAGTTTGCTGCTCCTGCAGTCATAACTCGGAAGCCTAAAGCGACGCCACAACCGAGCATACTGCCCTCCACTCAAAGTGAATTCGGAGCCCCAGCTATTACCACACTCCCTTCTACAGTTGAGCCAGACATGCCTACGCCAGCCCTACAACTGAGCAACCAACCTTTGTTGAGACCTTTGAAGCACCTGCAGCAGTCACTAGGAGGCCTCCTGGCCAACACCGGGCGACAAGTTATGCTACCCGGAAGTTGTCATTGTAGAGGAAGACTTTGAGAGTGCTGGATCAGCGGATTCATGGACTGGTGGCTCACTTTCCAAAAGAGAGGACGGCTCCCAGTTCTTGGGTCTTTTGGGACAAGGAAACAGTGAGATCTATCAGGAATTTGAAATACCCTTGTCAGCAAATGAAGAAGACCCAAAAGAGGCAAACTCTGTAACTGTACAGTTTTCTTTGTATCTGCTGGACAAGTGGACTCCCCCCGACAAGGTGTTTGTGGTTGTCAATGGCATCAGTGTTGACCTTGGAGAGTTGGAGAGCACCAGCACTGGGAGCCGCTCTGGAGAAGCGGGGCATTACCTGGGAGAGCATCCCCCCAAAGCGTGGCATCAGCATCATGAAGAATGAGACAAATGTGGAGAAACGGCACACCATTCTCTTGACAATCCCAAATGATGTGTTGGACAACAGCAAGATGACCCTGTCATTCCAAGCTTCAACCTCCAAGCCAATCTCAGAGGAGAGCGCCGGAATTGACGACTTGGTGATCACTGGCTTCTATGAGTGTGAGGAGAGTGCCGCCCCATCAGTACCAACTGTCCCTCTACTCAGGGCCTACAATGATAGAGACATTTGAGCCCTGCTGCAGTCACAAGGATGCCACAGTTGAACCGGAAAGCCAAGCATCAGCCTCCACAACTGGACAGCCAACCTTTGTTGAGACCTTTGAAGCCCTGCAGCAGTCACTAGAGGCCTTCCTGGCCAACACCGGGCAACAAGTTATGCTACCCGAAGTTGTCATTGTAGAGGAAGACTTTGAGAGTGCTGGATCAGCGGATTCATGGACTGGTGGCTCACTTTCCAAAAGAGAGGACGGCTCCCAGTTCTTGGGTCTTTTGGGACAAGGAAACAGTGAGATCGATCAGGAATTTGAAATACCCTTGTCAGCAAATGAAGAAGACCCAAAGAGGCAAACTCTGTAACTGTACAGTTTTCTTTGTATCTGCTGGACAAGTGGACTCCCCCCGACAAGGTGTTTGTGGTTGTCAATGGCATCAGTGTTGACCTTGGAGAGTTGGAGAGCACCAGCACTGGGAGCCGCTCTGGAGAAGCGGGGCATTACCTGGGAGAGCATCCCCCCAAAGCGTGGCATCAGCATCATGAAGAATGAGACAAATGTGGAGAAACGGCACACCATTCTCTTGACAATCCCAAATGATGTGTTGGACAACAGCAAGATGACACTGTCATTCCAAGCTTCAACCTCCAAGCCAATCTCAGAGGAGAGTGCCGGAATTGACGACTTGGTGATCACTGGCTTCTATGAGTGTGAGGAGAGTGCCGCCCCATCAGTACCAACTGTCCCGACTACTGCAGGGCCTACAATGATAGAGACATTTGAGGCCCCTGCTGCAGTCACAAGGATGCCTACAGTGGAGCCAGGAAAGCCCAGCATCAGTCCTACTACTGGACAGCCAACCTTTGTTGAGACCTTTGAAGCTCCTGCAGCAGTCACTAGGAGGCCTTCCTGGCCAACACCGGGCAACAAGTTGTGCTACCCGGAAGTTGTCATTGTAGAGGAAGACTTTGAGAGTGACGGATCAGTGGATTCGTGGACTGGTGGCTCAGTTTCCAGAAGAGAGGACGGCTCCCAGTTCTTGGGTCTTTTGGGACAAGGAAACAGTCAGATCTATCAGGAGTTTGAAATACCCTTGTCAGCAAATGAAGAAGATCCAACAGAGGCAAACTCTGTAACCATTCAGTTTTCTTTGTACATGCTGGACAAGTGGACTCCCCCAGACAAGGTATTTGTGGTTGTCAATGGCATCAGTGTTGACCTTGGAGAGTTGGAGAGCACCAGCACTGGCGAGCCTGCTTCTGGAGAAGCTGGTGGCATTACCTGGGAGAGCATCCCCCCAAATCGTGGCATCAGCATCATGAAGAATGAGACAAATGTGGAGAAGCAGCACACCATTCTCTTGACAATCCCGAATGAAGTGTTGGACAACAGCAAGATGACCCTGTCATTCCAAGCTTCAGCCTCCAAGCCTATCTCAGAGGAGAGCGCCGGAATTGACGACTTGGTGATCACTGGCTTCTATGAGTGTGAGGAGAGTGCCGCCCCATCAGTACCAACTGTCCCTTCTACTTCAGGGCCTACAATGATAGAGACATTTGAAGCCCCTGCTGCAGTCACAAGGATGCCCACAGTTGAACCTGGAAAGCCAAGCATCAGCCCCACAACTGGACAGCCAACCTTTGTTGAGACCTTTGAAGCACCTGCAGCAGTCACTATGAGGCCTTCGTGGCCAACACCAGGCAACAGCCCCACTACTGTGCGGCCCCTTTGTTGAGACCTTTGTGACCCCAGCAGCAGGACCAGGATGCCTACAGTTCTACCTGGAAGCCCAAGCAACAGCCCCACAACTGGGCAACCAACAATTCTTGAGACCTTTGAGGCCCCAGCAGCAGTCACAAGGATGCCTACAGTTCTACCTGGAAGCCCAAGCAACAGCCCCACAACTGTGCAACCAACAATTCTTGAGACCTTTGAGGCCCCTGCAGCAGTCACAAGGATGCCTACAGTTCCACCTGGAAGCCCAAGCAACAGCCCCACAACTGGGCAACCAACAATTCTTGAGACCTTTGAGACCCCAGCATCAGTCACAAGACCACCAAATGAACATACCCCTTCTGTTTCAAATCATCCTTCAGTGATGTTTTACACCCCTCCAAAGCCACCATCGGAATTTAATAAGCCAGCTTCTGTTCCACACATGCCCACTCCAACACAATATGGGAAACCTGCTACAGTTCATAGGCCTTCACCTGAAGTTTTTGCTGATTCGCCTAGCACCCATCCCTCTGACTACTTTGAAAAGCCCGCTTCATTTAACAGACCCACAACATTAAGTGTCCCGACAGAGAGTCCAAAAAGGAAACCACCAACCGAGTATGGACAGCCAGCAGCTGTTCAAAGGCCTTCTTCAACTGAAGCCCCAAGCTTCTTCCCCTCTTCCTACTTTGAGAAGCCTGCTTCCTTTCACAGGCCAACAACATCACCAGTCCCAACTGAAACACCCAAGGGAAAGCCGTCTTCCGGCTACCGGTATAAGAACCCAGCAGCAGTACATAGACCATCAGATGGTCCATTGACAGAAGCTCCAAGCTACTTCCCTTCAGACTACTTTGAAAAGCCTGCTTCATTTAACAGACCCACAACGTTACGTGTTCCAACAGAGAGTCCCAAAAGAAAACCTCCAACCGAGTATGGACAACCATCAGCGGTACAGAGGCCTTCTTCAACTGAAGCTCCAAGCTTCTTCCCATCTGACTACTTTGAGAAGCCTGCTGCTGTTGGCAGACCTTCTGCTACTGGCACCCCAACCGTTGGTGTCAACAGCCAGGTCCCTTCTGACTACTTTGAGAAGCCTGCTGCTGTTGGCAGACCTTCTGCTTCTCCACGCCCGACTGAGGGTCCAAAAAGAAAGCCACCCTCAAAGTTTGAGCAACCTGCTGCTGTTGAAAGGCCCACATCATCTCCTACTATCATTGCTCCCTCTTCTCAACCATCACAGCTGACAAGTCCAGAACCAACTGAAGTGCTCAGCAGTGTACCAACCAGCGTGCCAACAACACCACCTTCTCCAGGACCAAGTGGGATACCTACTAGTCAACCAACCGAGTTGCCAACCCTGAACCCAACTAGTGCACCAACCCTGGCCCCTTCTCAGAATCCAACAGACAGTCCAACAATTGCTCCAACAGAGACCCCTACAACCGAGGGGCCCACAGAGACCCCTACCTTTAAGCCAACTGAGGGACCCACAACATTGCCAACACAGAAACCAACAGGAAGTCCCACAACAACTCCAACAGGCAAACCTTCTACTGACCGACCTACAGAGACCCCTACATTGAAACCAACCGATGGACCCACAACAACCCCATCACACAAACCAACCGGCAGGCCCACTATTGAAGTTACTTATGAACCTACTGAGAAGCCAAGTAATGGCCCTACAGGCACCCCAACATTGAAACCAACCAATGCACCCACTGCAACTCCATCCCAGAAACCGACCGACATACCCACAATTGAACCCACTAACAAACCCACAGCAACACCGTCTCAGAAGCCAACAGATGTACCCACAGTGGAACCAACTAACATTCCCACAAAAATTCCTACCATCCAGCCTACAAGTGGACCAACAGGTTTTCCCAGTCATGGGCCAAGTGTGGCATCCATGGAGCCCTCAATTGCAGAATCAAGCATACCAACACCAACACAGAAGTTTTTTGCCCCTCCCAAAGAACCCACTCCCAATGTGCCTTCAACAACAGAGGCACCAACTAGCTTTGCCCCAACCAAAGCCCCAATATGCCCTCTGACTCCTATTGTGAAAAGTGAGAAACCAGCAGCTGAACAGCCCAGTTATCCAACCTTTGTCCCAACACTTAGCCCAACATGCCCAACTGAAGAACCAGAAGATACTGCAAGTCCAACCACAGTCACAGTATCCAGGGGATCAAAGGTGCAGCTTGAAGATGAAAAGCCAGCACATACACCATCAGCGGCAGCTTCAGAATCAGGACAGCCCATGGAAGAGTTCCCTACTATCAAGGTTGAGTATCACAGGACTGAATCCAAACACAAATCAGAGTCTTCAGTAGCTGGGCAACCAGGTGTAACAACACCCTCTGAAACAAAGCACCCAGAATCTCCCTCAGCCTCAAATTCAAAAGATCAGGGAAAGGGAACTGAACCAGTTGCACCATCTGCAGAAGCAGCAAGGCAGCCAGGTCCTGCCACAGTCAGAGTTTCCCAACTCACAGAAGCAAAAGGCACTGAGCCTCCAACGTGCCCTGACATGCCCTACTCGGGCCATATGATTTCTAATTGTCCATCTCCGTCTCCAGAAGCAGGTGCTGAGGATGCTCACAGGTCACAGCACGTTAAAATTCATAGGGAAGAAGATAAAGATCAGGACACCTACAAGGACAATGAAAGAAAAGTGAATATTGTCGGAGGAACATCACATCTTCGAGAAACACAGTCAGAAGATGAAGATATGGAAGCCATTGCCGCCAATGAAATGGCGGATAAGCAACAGTCAAGACAGCTTGGAAGCGAATCAAGTTTGCAGCAGACACTGCATGAGGATTGCATTGCTTCCATGATTGTCTATGAGGAGGACTTTGAGCCAACAGGAGCAGAAAATAACTGGACAAATGGAATTGCCATGCATCATGCAAATTTTACAAGATTCCTTGGTCCATTGGGAGGCAACATGGATGAGAACTTCTCACAAACCTTTTTCATTGCAGATGGACCAGGTGGAAGCTCAGCTAGCACAGTCACCATTGAATTTGTGCTGTACACTATGGATGATTGGGAAGCTGAAAACTTCGTTGATTTGTTGATTGGTGAGAGCCTTGTTCGTCTCAGTCATTTGGGATCATCAAGATCCAGCAGCCGACAATACTATGAAGGCTCAATTGATGGCATTTCATGGTGGCAGAGTGTTCTCCTTTATGGAGAAAACCTTGGATTTGGGTCTGCCAATGATGCCAAGCACCTGATCGAGCTTACAGTTCAAGCAGACCACTTCCAGAACAACTCCCTGTTTATGCTGTTCCAGGTTGAGCATCAAGGCATAGTTGCTGGGATCGATGACATGATGATTGAAGCCAACTTCAATTGTTCCATGACAGAAACGAGTGAAAACTGGCAGCAACCAAAGGTTGATCCAGAAATTCCCAGACAGGATCCTCACTATGGTTTTGATGCAGATGATGATGATGGATTGGTGCCTTATTGTGAATCGGAGGACTTCCCCTGTGGAGTCCTTATGGTCTATGTGTGTCACTTTACTTCAAGCCACCAGGGGTTCCGAACACTTTGCATCCATGAGGCGAATTCTCACATTCTACAGTACTACGTCAATGACTATTGTGGTCCCTGCATTGGCGGAAAGAGCATGGGTGTTACCTAATCGGCTGAGCAGTTGGGTTTCTCGGTCGTAGCTTTTCTGCAGCTCTGCTTCTTCCCATCTGATGAATAAATGTTGCATTACTCCTTGTGGCAAGGCAATGAAGCAGAGTGAATGCCGTATTCTCAGCAGCGAGCAATAGCTAGAATTCAGCCATGCGGCAACCACAAATCAGTAACTACGCTGCGCAAAGAAAACCTCGCAGAACTAGCTTGACGCATGACACTGCAATTCTCTGCTACTCCGGATTAGATCAATCTCTGGTCAATCAGGGTTATCGAGCTACATCCATTCCGGCAGACTTGTCATTCTGTTCGTCCTCTAGCTAGCCATGAGTTTATTGCTACCTGTAGAACAATTAATCGGGACCTGTTGCTTGTTCACGAGTCCTGCTGCTCCATGGTTGGAAACAGCCTCTCGGTTCCAAAGTTGACATGCTCCCGAAACCACGGCCTGGCATACATCAAGTACAAGACCGTCCGTACCTTCTTCTTGTCGAGATTGGCGGTTCCCCGATGACAGATGCGATAATCGTAGATCAAAATATCTCCCCGTCGAGGTAATGGATTGACCAGATTGTTGTCACTGTCATTGTTGTCGCTCTTTTCTATATGTTCCATGGCTTGTGCGGGTGTCTGTCGATGGGAGAATGGCACAAATTCGGTGGGGCCCGTTTCGAGAGTGGCATCGTCGAGTGGAATAAAGACGTTAATGGCGTAGGTGGGCAATGCAATGACGGTTTCGGTGGATGGAAAGAGTGGAATTCCATCTTGATGCCACGGTTGATCTTTGGAATCTGGAAAACTAAAGATCCATCCAGCATAGACGAGTTGAGGTTGCAGTTCTTGGGATTCTCCTCCATACAAGAGATGAGACACAATGGAGTTGAGCAGAGAATGATTCTTCCAGAATGGCTCTTTCTTGTTGTCGCTGTTGTTGTACCGAACATCCATGCGTCCTTGGCATCGTACGGCAAGTTCGTAAAAGCGCACGGTTTTCTCATTGTTGCTACTGTCATTCCAGCTCAATTCTCTGGCTTTTAGCGCCTGACAAATCTTGGTACGAGTCGCATCGGCCTCGTGTGCCAACGAGTCGAGAATGGACGGGTCAATTGCATTTTGTACCACGGCGAGACCACAAAGCTTGACAACGGAACTGATTTCTTGGCCAAAGACATCTTCGGGATCTTTGTCATCGTTTACCAGTGTCAATTGTTGGTGGATGATGGGCGCCTTTGACCGAACCTGGCGTCGCGTTAAAACTCGTTCTCGGGGAGGAGGCTGTGGTGGGGTATCCTCACCATCATCTTGAGTGCTCGAAGATCGCTTTGTGGGAACAACGCTGGGTTGTGGAGCCGATGGAGCTACATCGGTGTCTCGAGCCGCAAAGAGACTGCTGCTGCTGGTGGTGGAAGGTTTGCCAAAGAGGGCATTGGTCAAGGACGACGAGGGCTCCATCGCTCGCTGATGGATTCTACTACAGCAGCAGGATAGATTCTCGTTTGTTCTGAATTCTTGGCTGTTGCGTTGCGGGATCTGGACTGGCCGTTCGATGACGGCATTCGTATCGTGGTTGGCGAGGGAAACTCGGCGTCCCTAATTGACAAGTTGCCGCCACTATTTCGTGGAAGATGGTCAAATTCATCAAAAATTCGTCGAACTAAAACTCTTCCATCATCCACGCATTACATCGATGCGTTGAGGGTGTCATAGAATAGACCAGAATAAACCTCAAACAATACATTAGAAAAAGTGCACGACGCGACAACAACAATGATGCAACACCAACACCATCAGCAACAACAACAACAACGATGGTGGAGTCTGATACCCACCTTTACCGCCAAGCTAGTGCTGGAAGTCTTTGGAGCGGCAGGGGCCATTTGGGGATTCAGTGAAGCTCTGGGTATACGCACAGAGGATACCGTTGGGTTCTGGAGACCTGCTGCCTTGTTTGTGGGATTCCTTTTTGGGATTCGATGGATAGTCCAAATGGTGGACGCCTGTTCCAGTCTCAATAACAACCATACTCATCATGCTCATCCGGTGGTGGATGTGGAAGTGGGATATCCCATGAATATGGATCAGCACTGTCTGACACCCCGAACGCTGTTCTCGGCAGACGAACACGAGGCTCTACTATTCAGCACGACAACTTCCAAACAACAACTACCGATACGACGGTACGACAGTGCTGGACATTTTTTCCAATCCCCACAAAAGGGTGCACCCTTGTCGCCACAAATTACATCTTCTCCTTCCGGGTCTTCGGACGATGAACAAATATGAAATATATATCTCTTCCAACGCTACCATGTTCGGATTGCCGAATATGGTTGTGCAACCTCCACACAATCTCCTGAATGAATGTACGAATAGACCTTGCTTTCGTGTCCAGCCAGAAGTTATGTATTTGTGGATATATTTATGGATGTTCCGGATACAATGCTACTATACCGTACCACCATAAAGGCTGTAACAATCTTCCTGCATGGCCACTTTCCAATGTGGCCTTTGCTATGCTTTTTCTTTCCAACATACTTGTCCAAATAAATAGTGCATGCAGTAGAACCTAACTATAATAGTCATAAACAACAGAACAAAATGGGATCTCCGTGCTGGCTTTTGCAGCCATCCCTATGTTCTAGCAAGGCAAGAGCTGACCACTTTAAAATTGTACATTTCTTGTCTAGTTGTGAAGATACCAGCAAGTCAACATTCCATCCTTGCGACTTGCTTTGTTTCAGATAATTTGAGGCCAGACGAACTTATCCGCGCAGATTTGCCAGCCTTGGGACATCAAAATCTTGGCAATCAACATACAACTTCCTGTGCTACAAGGCCGGAAGCTATCATAAAGATTCGGTTTTGGTTGGCCCGAGACCTTCTATCAAAGAACTACCGGTGCTTTCTTGGACATGCTTTCTTCACTGACTAGCTACGTGCCAGGAAATCGGAGGCCAACTTCAATTCACTTGGCATGACGGATACTAGTGACCAAACCTTGTGTAGTTAGTTCATCCGACTGAGGATGGTAGGTGGTACATGTATAGGTAGCATCGTACCACAAGTGGCCACAACCCAGACAGGGTTGAACACTAAAGCTACCCCGCTGGCCAGCCGGACTCCATTGGTTCATGTTGCAAGCTGCTCTTTCTTAGCCTTGATCGCATCGACTACAGTAATACAGCACCAAGGACACTCCACACCCCCTCAAATCTTTGCCAGATAGTTTCCGCCACCAGCTCTAAGTATCTTGAGCTCACTATAAAGATCTTGTACTGTTTCATTCGTGCGCACCATTGACAGGCTTAACACAACTGAATTTTCCAACATTTAGAGATATAACGAACACCCAGAAAATTCACAGGATTTTTGGCACCTGGTCAACCCCAAAGCTCGGATTTCTTTCTCGATGAACCAAGCCAATGATAAAGCACTTTGGCTACCCGACAGCAGCAACGAGAGGTACAACTCTCTACCCCTTCAATGCTAAGAAGTAGCCTAACTTGATCACGACACCAACCGTTCAGCAGGAGTTCTTTGATTTTCCCTGCCTCGTGGAATTGATAGATAGATGGATAGACGCAACTTTGAACAGAACATAGAAAAAGAAATAAAATGCGAAGAATACACTTGGCGAGACAACGACTGGCTTGCCCTACGTACCTCCATCGGTCACCAAAATACTTGATGTTGTCGCTACTGATAATTTGCTCCCAGGGCTCTTTGGTTCGATCATCAGAAGACTCCGACCGCAAAGACAACTGGCTGGGAAACATTCAAAGATCTGCCGAAGAGAGAAGCCTCTTGTTCTTTCATTTGTTTGGTTCCTATCTCAATCGAAATCGGTTTCCAGATCGATTGGACTGTGATTATGATGACCCAGAAAAGATGCAGTACTGTCCTCCTGTGGCACCTCCTCCGAAGCACATCAGGATGGTGGATGATGGGACAACTAGACAAAAAAGAGGGAAGCAGAGACGCAACGTAGAAACGCTCCCAACAAAGTGCCTTGACAATCCTGAAGACCCAGATTGCAGGTTGCTTGACCAAGTCAATGTACATCGATCCACCCTATTCACTTCAGCAGGAAGAAAATGGCCGACTGCAGCACCAATAGCTACACAAGAGCCTACAAGAGATGATTGCTATGGAAATATGCTGGATGGAAGATTCTGTTCATCTGAGCAGCCAACCATCTCAGAAGAGCCAACCATCATTCAACAACCAAAAACTGAACTACCCGTGGCTGGTTTGTCAAGCGCCCCTGGGTATCGAAAAGAGCCTTTAAAACCATCGCTCAGTTTGCCACCTCATCCGGAGCCAACCCGACATGAACCATATAACAACTATGGCGACATCACGCGTCCCCCGAAACCAGGTCGACCAATACCTCCTCACTACAACGCGACCGCAAACTTCACTAAGGAACCAACCACAAAGTTCTCGGAATCGGTAAACATTACAAAGGTCAGCACGCCAGTGCCAGGTGCTAGAGACAAGGGAAACGTCACCAGAGGAACTCAACCAGTCAGCGGACCAACCCCGATTCCTGTCTTGAGCTATGACATCCACGGAGAGGTCACAAGACGCCCGACAGCTCAAAGTAAGTACAGTGTATTTGTTGCGTTCGTGATGTGATTCTGGCGAACACTACCGAGCAAATAGCTAAGTCCCTAGACAAATGCTAACAAATTTGCATTTGCTTGTTGGCTTTTGCCTAACCTACAGAAACTCCAACAATACAGCCAACCATCGAGTTCGGTGGACCGGCATCAATCCCTAGAGGGACTGACGAAACACCCACAGTCCAGCCAGGCACACCCAGTGTTCAACCAACAGCCCCACGGCCAACACAGATTGATGAATCAATTCAAGCCCCAGCATCCATCACAAGAAGTCCTACAGTGGAGCCAGGAAAGCCCAGCATCAGCCCTACCACTGGACAGCCAACCTTTGTTGAGACCTTTGAAGCGCCTGCAGCAGTCACTAGGAGGCCTTCCTGGCCAATCCCACAACCAAAGTTGTGCTACCCTGAGGTTGTGATTGTAGAGGAAGACTTTGAGGGTGCTGGATCAGCCAATTCATGGACTGGTGGCTCACTTTCCAGAAGAGAGGACGGCTCCCAGTTCTTGGGTCTTTTGGGACAAGGAAACAGTGAGATCTATCAGGAGTTTGAAATACCCTTGTCGGCAAATGAAGAAGATCCAACAGAGGCAAACTCTGTAACCGTTCAGTTTTCTTTGTATCTGCTGGACAAGTGGACTCCCCCAGACAAGGTGTTTGTGGTGGTCAATGGCATCAGTGTGGACCTTGGAGAGTTGGAGAGCACCAGCACTGGAGAGCCCGCTGCTGGAGAAGCAGGAGGCATTACCTGGGAGAGTATCCCCCCAAAGCGTGGCATCAGCATCATGAAGAATGAGACAAACGTGGAGAAGCAGCACACCATTCTCTTGACAATCCCAAATGATGTGATGGACAACAGCAAGATGACCCTGTCATTCCAAGCTTCAACCTCCAAGCCTATCTCAGAGGAGAGCGCCGGAATTGACGACTTGGTGATCACTGGCTTCTATGAGTGTGAGGAGAGTGCCGCCCCATCAGTACCAACTGTCCCTACTACTGCAGGGCCTACAATGGTAGCGACATTTGAGGCCCCTGCTGCAGTCACAAGGATGCCTACAGTGGAACCAGGAAAGCCCAGCATCAGCCCTACTACTGGACAGCCAACCTTTGTTGAGACCTTTGAAGCTCCTGCAGCAGTCACTAGGAGGCCTTCATGGCCAATCTCACAACCAAAGTTGTGCTACCCTGAGGTTGTGATTGTAGAGGAAAACTTTGAGAGTGCTGGATCAGCCAATTCATGGACTGGTGGCTCACTTTCCAGAAGAGAGGACGGCTCCCAGTTCTTGGGTCTTTTGGGACAAGGAAACAGTGAGATCTATCAGGAGTTTGAAATACCCTTGTCGCAAATGAAGAAGATCCAAAGAGGCAAACTCTGTAACCGTTCAGTTTTCTTTGTATCGCTGGACAAGTGGACTCCCCCGACAAGGTGTTTGTGGTGGTCAATGGCATCAGTGTGGACCTTGGAGATTTGGAGAGCACCAGCACTGGGAGCCGCTCTGGAGAAGCGGAGGCATTACCTGGGAGAGATCCCCCCAAACGTGGCATCAGCATCATGAAGAATGAGACAAATGTGGAGAAGCAGCACACATTCTCTTGACAATCCCAAATGATGCGTTGGACAACAGCAAGATGAGCCTGTCATTCCAAGCTTCAACCTCCAAGCCTATCTCAGAGGAGAGCGCCGGAATTGACGACTTGGTGATCACTGGCTTCTATGCGTGTGAGGAGAGTGCCGCCCCATCAGTACTAACTGTACCGACTACTGCAGGGCCTACAATGATAGAGACATTTGAGGCCCCTGCTGCGGTCACAAGGATGCCACAGTTGAACCGGAAAGCCAGCTCAGCCCAACCACTGGACAGCCAACCTTTGTTGAGACCTTGAAGCCCTGCAGCAGTCACTAGGAGGCCTTCATGGCCAATCTCACAACCAAAGTTGTGCTACCCTGAGGTTGTGATTGTAGAGGAAGACTTTGAGAGTGCTGGATCAGCCAATTCATGGACTGGTGGCTCACTTTCCAGAAGAGAGGACAGCTCCCAGTTCTTGGGTCTTTTGGGACAAGGAAACAGTGAGATCTATCAGGAGTTTGAAATACCCTTGTCGGCAAATGAAGAAGATCCAACAGAGGCAAACTCTGTAACCGTTCAGTTTTCTTTGTACCAGCTGGACAAGTGGACCCCCCCAGACAAGGTGTTTGTGGTGGTCAATGGCATCAGTGTGGACCTTGGAGATTTGGAGAGCACCAGCACTGGAGAGCCGCTGCTGGAGAAGCAGGAGGCATTACCTGGGAGAGTATCCCCCCAAAGCGTGGCATCAGCATCATGAAGAATGAGACAAATGTGGAGAAGCAGCACACATTCTCTTGACAATCCCAAATGATGTGATGGACAACAGCAAGATGACCCTGTCATTCCAAGCTTCAACCTCCAAGCCTATCTCAGAGGAGAGCGCCGGAATTGACGACTTGGTGATCACTGGCTTCTATGAGTGTGAGGAGAGTGCCGCCCCATCAGTACCAACTGTCCCTACTACTGCAGGGCCTACAATGGTAGCGACATTTGAGCCCCCTGCTGCAGTCACAAGGATGCCTACAGTACCGGAAGCCCAGCACAGCCCACACTGGGCGCCAACCTTTGTTGAGACCTTTGAGCCCTGCAGCAGTCACTAGGAGGCCTTCCTGGCCAACTCCGGGCAACAGCCCAACTACGGGAGGCCCCTTTGTTGAGACCTTCGAGGCCCCAGCAGTAGTGACCAGGAAGCCTACAGTATACCCGGGAACCAAGCAACAGCCCCACTACTGGGCAGCCCACCTTTGTTGAGACCTTTGAAGCTCCTGCAGCAGTCACTAGAAGGCCCTCCTGGCCAACACCGCAACAGCCCACTACAGGGAGCCAACCTTTGTTGAAACCTTTGAGGCCCCAGCAGCAGTCACAGGAAACCTACAGTTCTACCGGAACCCAAGCAACAGCCCCACTACTGGGCTGCCCACCTTTGCTTGAGACCTTTGAAGTTACCTGCAGCAGTCACTAGAAGGCCCTCCTGGCCAACAACAGGCAACACCCCCACAACTGGGCGGCCAACCTTTTGTTGAGAGAGTTTGAGGCCCCAGCAGCAGTCACAGGAAAGCCTACTGTTCTCCCTGGAAGCCCAAGCAACAGCCCCACAACTGGACAACCAACTTTTCTGCAGACATTTGAGGCCCCAGCAGCAGTCACAAAGAAACCAACGGTGGTCCCTGGAAGCCCAAGCAACACCCCCACAACTGGACAACCAACTTTTCTGCAGACATTTGAGGCCCCAGCAGCAGTCACAAGGAAACCAACAGTGGTCCCTGGAAGCCCAAGCAACACCCCCACAACTGGGCGGCCCAACCTTTGTTGAGACGTTTGAGGCCCCAGCAGCAGTCACAGGGAAGCCTACAGTTCTCCCTGGAAGCCCAAGCAACAGCCCCACAACTCGGGACAACCAACTTTTCTGCAGACTTTGAGGCCCCAGCACAGTCACAGGAACCAACAGTGGTCCCTGGAAGCCCAAGCAACACCCCCACAACTGGGCGGCCAACCTTTGTTGAGACGTTTGAGGCCCCAGCAGCAGTCACAGGAAGCCTACAGTGCTCCCTGGAAGCCCAAGCACACCCCCACAATCTGGGCGGCCAACCTTTGTTGAGACGTTTGAGGCCCCAGCAGCAGTCACAGGAAGCCTACGTTTCCCTGGAAGCCCAAGCAACAGCCCAAATGGACAACCAACTTTCTGCAGACATTTGAGGCCCAGCAGCAGTCACAAGGAGACCAACAGTGTCCCTGGACCCAAGCAACACCCCCACAACTGGGCGGCCAACCTTTGTTGAGACGTTTGAGGCCCCAGCACTAGTCACAGGGAAGCCTACAGTGCTCCCAGGAAGCCCAAGCAATGGCCCCACAACCATGGAACCCACTATTCTTGAGACCTTTGGGGCTCCAGTCGTGATCACAAGGCCGACTTCGTCCATTCAGGTAAGCCAACCGAAACATTGCCCACGTTTACAGTGATATTTGAGACCCCGGCGACCTCTACAAAGGTACCCACTGTCACACCAGGATTGCCAAGTGCATCTCCTACAGAAACTTCAGGTAAGCCAACCATTTTGCTGCCATCATCACAGTATGACATGAACATGCCTGCATCAGTTGAACGGTGGCCAAAGACACAGCTACCCACTGCTGCAGTTCCCAATGTACTAGGACCCAAGCATGCAACCAACCAAGGGCACCAACTGTTGCTGGCACCCACCACTTCTGGTCCAACAGTTCCACCAGGAAAGCCAAGCATGACTCCTACCACTGTCACACCAAGCAAAGCAAGTCCATCCACCCACAACGCTGGACCTACAGTGGTTCAGGGACCCAAGCATCAACCAACCACGGCAACCAACTATGCTGGACCCACCACTCCTGGTCCAACAGTTCCACCGAAAGCCAAGCATGACTCCTACCACTGCCACACCAAGCAAAACAAGTCCACTCCACCCACACAGCTGGACCTACAGTGGTTCGGGAACCCAAGCATGCAACCAACCACAGGGCAACCAACTGTGCTGGCACCCACCACTCCTGGTCCAACAGTTCCACCCAGGAAAGCCAAGCATGACTCCTACCACTGCCACACCAAGCAAAAGCAAGTCCACTCCACCCACAACAGCTGGACCTACAGTGGTTCGAGGGAACCCAAGCATGCAACCAACCACAGGGCAACCAACTGTCTGGCAACCATCTGTCCAACAGTCCCAGGAAAGCCAAGCATGACTCTACCATGCACACCAAGCAAAGCAGTCCACTCCACCCACAACAGCTGGACCAACAGTGGTTCTTGGAAGCCCAAGCATGGTTCCCACATCTGTTAACCAATCTGGAGCCATCTCGCAGCATGAGTGGAACAAGCCGCATCGTCAGCGGAGGCCAGACACATCCCACTACTGCAGTTCCAACTGTTATCCAGGGAACCCAAGCATGCAACCAACCAACAGGGCAACCAACTGTGCTGGCACCCACCACTCCTGGTCCAACAGTGCCGCCGGGAAAGCCAAGATGACTCCTACCACTGCCACACCAAGCAAAAAGCAAGTCCACTCCACCCACAACAGCTGGACCTACAGTGGTTCGAGGGAACCCAAGCATGCAACCAACCACAGGGCAACCAACTTGCTGGCACCCACCACTCCTGGTCCAACAGTTACACCAGGAAAGCCAAGCATGACTCCTACCACTGCCACACCAAGCAAAAGCAGGTCCACTCCACCCACAACAGCTGGACCAACAGTGGTTCTTGGAAGCCCAAGCATGGTTACCACATCTGTTAAACCAATCTTGGAGCCATCATCGCAGCATGAGTGGAACAAGCCTGCATCGGTGCAGCGGAGGCCCAAGACACCATTCCCACTACTGCAGTTCCAACTGTTACTCCAGGGAACCCAAGCATTCAACCAACCACAGGGCAACCAACTCTGATGACACCCACCACTCCTGGTCCAACAGTGCGGAAAGCCAAGCAGACTCCTACCACTGCCACACCAAGCCAAAGCAAGTCATCCACTCCACCCACCACAGCTGGACCACAGTGTTCCGGAACCCAAGCATGGTTCCCACAACTGTTAAACCGATCTTGGAGCCATCATCGCAGCATGAGTGGAACAAGCCTGCATCAGTGCAGCGGAGGCCCAAGACGCCATTGCCCACTACTGCAGTTCCAACTGTCACTCCAGGGAACCCAAGATACCTACAAATGAACCTCCAGCACTAAGGTCAGCCCAACAATTCAGGGGTCTCATTCAGGTGCACTAACACTTGTGTCTTCAAACATTACTTGTTTTTTCTAACTTTGTGTTGTGTTTCCCCTTTTAGTGCTCCAACGTACAATTCTTCACTCCACCAAGACAGCCATTCCACCTTAAAATGATGCCCCCAGTACTTCCCAACGACAGTTTTAAAATCCAACTGTCTGGCACCCACCACTCTGGTCCAACAGTTACCGCCAGGAAACCAAGCATAACTCCTACCACTGCCAACCAAGCAAACAGCACTCCACCCAACACAGCTGGACCACAGTGATTCTGGAAACCCAAGCATGGTTCCCACAACTGTTAAACCAATCTTGGAGCCATCATCGCAGCATGAGTGGAACAAGCCAGCATCGGTGCAGCGGAGGCCCAAGACACCATTGCCCACTACTGCAGTTCCAACTGTTACTCCAGGGAACCCAAGCATTCAACCAACCACAGGGCAGCCAACTCTGATGACACCCACCACTCCTGGTCCAACAGTACCGCCGGGAAAGCCAGGATGACTCCTACCACTGCTCACACCAAGCCAAAGCAAGTCCACTCCACCCACCACAGCTGGACCTACAGTGATTCCAGGAAACCCAAGCATGGTTCCCACAACTGTTAAACCAATCTTGGAGCCATCATCGCAGCATGAGTGGAACAAGCCTGCATCAGTGCAGCGGAGGCCCAAGACACCATCACCCACTACTGCAGTTCCAACTGTCAATCCAGGGAACCCAAGCATTCAACCACCAGGGCAGCCAATCTTTGAGACATCCACACTCCTTGTCCACAGTACCGCCGGGAAAGCCAAGCATGACTCCACCACTGTCACACCAAGCAAAAGCAGTTCCACCCACCACAGCTGGACCTACAGTGATTCCAGGAACCCAAGCATGGTTCCCACAACTGTTAAACCAATCTTGGAGCCATCATCGCAGCATGAGTGGAACAAGCCTGCATCAGTGCAGCGGAGGCCCAAGACACCATTGCCCACTACTGCAGTTCCAACTGTTACTCCAGGGAACACAAGCATTCAACCAACCACAGGCACCAACTCTGAACACCACCACACCTGGTCCAACAGTCCGGGGAAAGCCAGGCATGACTCCTACCACTGCACACCAAGCCAAAGCAAGTCCACTCCACCCACACAGCTGGACCACAGTGGTTCAGGAACCCAAGCATGGTTCCCACACTGTTAAACCAATCTTGGAGCCATCATCGCAGCATGAGTGGAACAAGCCTGCATCAGTGCAGCGGAGGCCCAAGACACCATCACCCACTATACTGCGGTTCCAACTGTTTACTCCAGGGAACCCAAGCATTCAACCAACCACAGGCAAGCCAACTTCTGATGACATTCACCACTCCTGGTCCAACAGTCCGCCGGGAAAGCCAAGCATGACTCTACCACTGTCACACAAGCCAAAGCAAGTCCACTCCACCCACCACAGCTGGACCACAGTATTCCAGGAAACCCAAGCATGGTTCCCACACTGTTAAACCAATCTTGGAGCCATCATTGCAGCATGAGTGGAACAAGCCTGCATCAGTGTCAGCGGAGGCCCAAGACACATTGCCCACTATGCAGTTCCAACTGTTACTCCAGGGAACCAAGCATTCAACCAACCACAGGGCAACCAACTTCTGATGACACCCACCACTCCTGGTCCAACAGTACCGCCGGGAAAGCCAAGCATGACTCCTACCACTGTCACACCAAGCCAAAGCAAGTACATTCCACCCACTACAGCTGGACCTACAGTGATTCCAGGAAACCCAAGCATGGTTCCCACAACTGTTAAACCAATCTTGGAGCCATCATCGCAGCATGAGTGGAACAAGCCTGCATCAGTGCAGCGGAGGCCCAAGACACCATCACCACTACTGCGGTTCCAACTGTTACTCCAGGGAACCCAAGCATTCAACCAACCACAGGGCAGCCAACTCTGATGACATCCACCACACCTGGTCCAACAGTACCGCCAGGAAAGCCAAGCATGACTCCTACCACTGCCACACCAGCCAAAGCAAGTCCACTCCACCCACCACAGCTGGACCTACAGTGATTCCAGGAAACCCAAGCATGGTTCCCACAACTGTTAAACCAATCTTGGAGCCATCATCGCAGCATGAGTGGACAAGCCTGCATCAGTGCAGCGGAGGCCCAAGACACCATTGCCCACTACTGCAGTTCCAACTGTCACTCCAGGGAACCCAACCACGAATCCTACAAAATTGACACCTACCAGCACTCCAAGGGTCAGCCCAACAATTCAGGGGTCTCATTCAGGTGCACTAACACTTGTGTCTTCAAACAGCTACTACTTTGTTTTGTTCTAACTTCAGTGATGTTGTATTTCCCCTTTTAGTGCCTCCAACTGTACAATTCTTCACTCCACCAAGACAGCCATATCCACCTTCTAAAACTGATGCCCCGAGTTTCTTCCCAACCGACATATTTGAAAAACCTGCTTCCTTTAACAGACCCACGACATCCACAGTCCCGACTGAAACACCCAAGGGAAAGCCGTCTTCCAACTACCGGTATAAGAACCCAGCAGCAGTGCATAGACCTGATGGTCCCTTGACAGATGCTCCAAGCTACTTCCCTTCTGACCTTTTTGAAAAGCCTGCTTCATTTTACAGACCCACTACATTAAGTGTCCCAACAGAGAGTCCCAAAAGGAAGCCTCCCACTAAGCTTGGACAGCCAGCTGCACATCAAAGGCCATCTTCAACCGAAACTCCAAGCTACTTTCCTACTGATATCTTTGAGAAGCCTGCATCTTTTGAGAGGCCAGCAGCCTTGCCAGCGCCAACTGAAACACCCAAGGGCAAGCCTTCCTCCAAGTACAGGTATGAAAACCCAGCTGCAGTGCAAAGGCCTTCTTCAACTGAAGCACCGAGCTACTTTCCTACTGATATCTTTGAGAAGCCGGCTTCATTTGATAGACCCTCAACTACACCTGGACCCACTGAGAGCCCCAAAAGAAAGCCTCCAACCGAGTATGGACAGCCAGCAGCTGTTCAAAGGCCTTCTTCTACTGCAGCTCCAAGCTACTTCCCTTCTGATATCTTTGAGAAGCCTGCTTCCTTCAATAGGCCCACAACATCCACAGTCCCAACTGAAACACCCGATGGAAAGCCGTCTTCCGGCTACCGGTATAAGAACCCAGCTGCAGTGAATAGACCATCAGATGGACCATTGACAGAAGCTCCAAGCTACTTTCCTTCTGACTACTTTGAAAAGCCTGCTTCATTTGATAGACCCTCAACGACACCAGGACCTACTGAGAGCCCCAAAAGAAAGCCTCCAACCAAGTATGGACAACCAGCTGCAGTTCATAGGCCATCAAATGGACCCTTGACTGAATCCCCAAGCCACGTTCCTTCTGACTACTTTGAGAAGCCTGCTGCTGTTGGCAGACCTTCTGCTACTGGCACCCCAACAGTTGGTGTCAACAGCCAGGTCCCTTCTGACTACTTTGAGAAACCTGCTGCTGTTGGCAGACCTTCTGCTTCTCCACGCCCGACTGAGGGTCCAAAAAGAAAGCCACCCTCAAAGTTTGAGCAACCTGCTGCTGTTGAAAGGCCCACATCATCTCCTACTATCATTGCTCCCTCTTCTCAACCATCACAGCCGACAAGTCCAGAACCAACTGAAGTGCTCAGCAGTGTACCAACCGGCGTGCCAACAACACCACCTTCTCCAGGACCAAGTGGGATACCTACTAGTCAACCAACAGAGTTGCCAACCCTGAACCCAACTAGTGCACCAACCCTGGCCCCTTCTCAGAATCCAACAGACAGTCCAACAAGTGCTCCAACAGCGACCCCTACAACTGAGGGGCCCACAGAGACCCCTACCTTTAAGCCAACTGAGGGACCCACAACATTGCCAACACAGAAACCAACAGGAAGTCCCACAACTACTCCAACAGGCAAACCTTCGGAAAAGCCCACTGATCGCCCTACAGAGACCCCTACATTGAAACCAACGGATGGACCCACAACAACCCCATCACACAAACCAACCGGCAGGCCCACTATTGAAGTTACTGATGAACCTACCGAGAAGCCAAGTAGTGGCCCTACAGGCACGCCAACATTGAAACCGACCAATGCACCCACTGCAACTCCATCCCAGAAACCGACGGACATACCCACCATTGAACCCACTAACAAACCCACAACAACACCGTCACAGAAGCCAACAGATGTACCTACAGTGGAACCAACCGCCAATCCCACAGACATTCCTACCATCCAGCCTACAAGTGGGCCAACAGGTTTTCCCAGTCATGGGCCAACTGTGGCATCCATGGAGCCCTCAATTGCAGAATCAAGCATACCAACACCAACACAGAAGTTCTTTGCCCCTCCCAAAGAACCCACTCCTGAGGTGCCAACAGCTACATCAACTCCATCCAATGTGGCACTGGTGCCATCCCATGCCTTCAGAGGTCCTCCCAAGATGCCTTCAACAACAGAGGCACCAACTAGCTTTGCCCCAACCAAAGCCCCAATATGCCCTCCGACTCCTATTGAGAAAAGTGAGAAACCAGCAGCTGAACAGCCCGGTTATCCAACCTTTGTTCCAACACTTAGCCCAACATGCCCAACTGAAGAACCAGAAGATACTGCAAGCCCAACCGCGGTCACAGTATCCAGGGGATCAAAGGTGCAGCTTGAAGATGAAAAGCCAGCACATACACCATCAGCAGCAGCTTCAGAATCAGGACAGCCCATGGAAGAGTTCCCTACTATCAAGGTTGAGTATCACAGGACTGAATCCAAACACAATTCAGAGTCTTCAGAAGCTAAGCAACAAGGCGCAACAGCTTCCTCTGAAACAAAGCACCCAGAATCGCCCTCAGCCTCAAATTCAAAAGATCAGGGAAAGGGAACCGAACCGGCCTCTGAAACAAAGCACCCAGAATCTCCCTCAGCCTCAAATTCAAAAGATCGGGGAAAGGGAACTGAACTAGTTGCACCATCTGCAGAAGCAGCAAGACAACCAGGGCCTACCACAGTCAGAGTTTCCAAACCCACAGAAGCAAAAGGCACTGAGCCTCCAACTTGCCCTGACATGCCCTACTTGGGCCAAATGATTTCTAATTGTCCATCTCCGTCTCCAGAAGCAGGTGCTGAGGATACTCACAGGTCACAGCACGTTAAAGTTCATAGGCAAGAAGATGAAGATCAGGACACCTACAAGGACAATGAAAGGAAAGTGAATATTGTCGGAGGTGGTGCATCAGGTTTTCGAGAAACACAGTCAGACGATGAAGACACGGAAGCCATTGCAGCCAATGAAATGGCAGACAAGCATCAGTCAAGACAACTTGAAAGAGAATCAAGTTTGCAGCAGACGCTGCATGACGATTGCATTGCTTCCATGATTGTCTATGAGGAGGATTTTGAGATGGATGGAATTGAGTCTGCCTGGACCGACAGCAGAGTAGCCTCGAGTTTGAACTTCTCTCGCTTTGTAACTCCATTGGGCGGAGACCTGAATACGAGCATCTCACAAACATTTTTCATCTCTAAAGCCCCAGATGGAACCCCTGCTTGGAGTGTTACTGTTGAATTTGTGCTCTACACTGTTGATATGCAGCAAGCCAATGGCAACTTGGATGTTGCTGTGGGTGGGACCACAATAACTCTTAGTGACTTTGGCTTGCCCAGCACAAACAGCAACAGTTATCGAGAGGGGGCAACCGATGGCATCTCGTGGTGGCAGAGCATACTTCGACAGGGTGACAACCTTGGGTTTGGTGTTGCAATGGATGCCAAACACCTGGTAGAGCTCACGGTGCATAAGGAGCATATCCCTGAAGGCAGGCTTGTTCTGCGCTTCTCGCAAGGAAGCTCCATGGCATTTGCAGGATTTGATGACATCGTTATTGAGGCAAACTATGATTGCACCAGCACCCAGCCAAATGTATCCGTTGCACAGCCCCCTCAAAAAGACGGGGATGCTCCCATGCGGCAACCAACCTTGCCTGCAGATGAAACTTCACTTGGTTTCCCATACTGCTCCTCTGAAGACTTTCCTTGCAGTGCTGATTCTGGTATGGTGTTTGTCTGTCACTTTTCTTCCCGTCGGGGTTTTGATACTCTTTGTATCCACGAGCAAGACTCTGTAATTCTCCAATACTATGTCCAAGACTATTGTGGCCCTTGTCTGTCGCCATTGGACAGCATGATCCATCGACGTAAGCCCTGAACAAGGTGTTCACCTCTCCTCTCTCTCGAGTCGGATAATTGCAGACACTGGTTGAATTCTTTAAAACGATTACTAGCTATCGAGGCGTACAATCATGCGGCGTGGCTTGCCGTATTTTCCCCTTTCATTCCGATGTAGCTAGCTCGCAAATCTTCAGGCAACCAGCAGTACGCTGCTTTTGGCCGTCTCGTCAAATCTCATCCTGCCACGCAGGTACCAATGATCCAATGGAAGGGGAAGAGACACTCGCCAGAGTTTTGCTTTCTTCTCGCTGGCTGCTTCGGTTCCTATTCGTTGGTTCGGTTCATCTTGCACGGTGGTGGCGAAACTGTTCTGATGTTGACGGAGACTTATTTCGGTGCGGTGCACGGAGCAAGCAGCTTGCTAATAGTCATCAATCTAAAGGACCAGATCGGTTCCTCCTTAGTTGCATGTGTCGGCAACCAGGATTGCGTGACAGGGTGGACCAGAATTGCATGGCAGGAGCATTAGCTCCGTCGACCACAGCGTTTTCCCACTTTCACGTTTTGCGCGCTTCAGTTGATAGATTGTGGTGGTTGCAACCACGGCACCATGCGAGCTGTGCACTGCATTGCGAAGTCGTTCGGCGGGTTTCTCAAAGGTCATACATACATTTTCCTTTCCATCCTTTGCTCGCGGCACTCTTTCAGCAAGAATTGGCTGCTGCGGTAGGTAGCTAACGGAGAGCCTGAGTCCATCTGAGCTTTGAATGCTGTGCAGGCTAGCCACCGGTACATCCGACACTGTTCGTTCCAAGTCCTTTCCGAAGAAGGGAAGCAAGATAGTGAAAACGCACCGTCAACAAACGTGTTGGGCGATCGATGCCTTATGACCAGGTACCGGTACTATTGCTTTGGGTACTGCTGTCACGTCAAGCCTACTATGCCCGCTCTTTTGCTGGGGTACCGGTAGAGGGGATAGCATTGCTGGCTGATGACGGGATACGCCTCCGCCAATCGTGTTTGGCGTTATTGTACGGTAATGGGAAAGGGTCAAGGACGAATGAATCGAGTCTTTCGCTCACCTATCACTCACCGTATTGGCTTGACCGGCACGAAAGCGATGATCTTCTGTCGTGTTTTGCGTTGAGTTGAAGGATCCAAGAACGATGTCCCACTTCAGCTCTTTTCGGGGGTTTACTTCAGTCATGGACATATGGCAACAACAGCTTCCGCAACTACTACTGGTACCGCTCTGGACCGCTACAAGCTACAAGCTGCTGCTAGCTAGTACGAGTACTGCTCAGCGTCCCAGCCTCATCGGAGCAGCGAATTATTACTAATACTTCCTGCTTTTCTCCGACCTCCCTCGATGGGGCATCCTTTCCTTGACTTGGCATCTAGCTAATATCGGTTGTGGGAGTTGAGAGTGACTGTCGATGATTGAGCCTCTGTACTCTGCAGCCTTTGATGAGTTCTCACTGGATCGCCACCAGTCACAGGACAGTGTCCCAGATTTTGAAAATGTCCAGCACTTTACTAGATGACCATTGATTCTGTAATGACCTTACAGTAGCAACATCAACAGTGTTGTTGCAGTTGGTTGTTGGTGGTTGGTGGTCATCGAGCATCTCAATGGGCACTGCTTCGCCAGTTCACTCTCATTGAAGGTCCATCATTTGTACAGAGACATCAGTGTAAACAAGACAAAATGTAGGGGCTTATAAAGATCCATGTACTGCCTTCTGGAGTGAAGGTCTTTGACATCAAAAGGGCTATAGTGCACTTAGGTCACTATCCACAGTAAGTTACTCCGTTCCTACAGTGTTCAGTAGAGTGACATTTGTGGTGACAACATCGCTTTCTAATAAAAGTCATTGTGACTTTATGACTATTGATGTTCTTCTTCCTTTACGGCGAAGATCACTAGACAACTGCGTAGAAACCCGTACCAGTTCGCTGGAAGAGGGAACAGTTCGCTTGTGCCCTCCACCAAATGACTGCTTGAAAAATACCTAGAAAAAAAACAAAAAAAAGGGAAGCTTCATCGATCATCTCACAATCTCAACTGCTTGCCAAATAAATAAACAGCAACAGCTCCTCTTCTATCTTCAGCAACGATATAGAACAACCACAACAACCAAAATGGGCCGACCAACACCCCTCACTCGCCAAGTCCCCAGTCCAACCTGGTCCAACAGTTCCTTGGGCAAGCACACGGCACACACCCTCTCCAACTCGTTGACCGAAGAAGACGCCAGTTGGATTGTGCGACGAACCGAACTCCGCGTCTCTCAGGTGATTGCCAAGTCCGTCTATGTCCAAGAACACTGCCGTCTCGATGAACTCCCACGCTTTGCTCATGAAGAGCTGGTGGTGGGTGACATTATTGCCAGTGGCGGCTTTTCCAACGTTCATCGCATCGAGTCGTTTGGCATTGCCACGGACTTGGACACAGACGCCACAAAGAAATACGTCGTCAAACACTTGAACCCCAAGTTGGCCAACGAACCCAAGAAAATGGCCGTGGGTGCCAAGGATCTCGTCATGGAGGCGCACTTCCTCTCGTCTTTGAATCATCCGCACATTATCCAACTCCGTGGCATGTGCGCCGCCGGAGTCGCTGGCTATGCCGAAACGGGACGCGCCGAAGGCTTTTTTCTCATTTTCGATCAACTCGAAGCCACACTGTCGCATCGACTCTCCGAATGGCGCAGCGTCGAATCCGCTGCCAAAATGAATGCCGTCGCGCACGGCAACAAGGCATCCTCCTTTTTCAGTCACTTGACTCGCAAGGGAGCCCCCAAGAACATGATTACCTTTCAAGACAGAATACAAACGGCCCATGACATTGCCAGTGCCGTCACGTACCTGCACGAACGAGGCATTCTTTACAGGGACCTCAAGCCCGGCAACGCGGGGTACAATGCCGATGGTGAACTCCAAATCTTTGACTTTGGATTGGCGGTGGAACTCCCCCACAGCGACGACCCCGAGCAGTTGTACAATTTGGCGGGCAACACGGGAACGGCACGATACATGGCCGTCGAGGTCATCAAGAACAAGCCATACAACTTCAAGGCCGATGTCTTTTCCTTCATGACACTGCTGTGGGAAATCTTGGCACTCAAAAAGCCATTTGCCGAACTTTCCGGACAAGAAGTCAAGGAATGGGTGGCCGAACTCGGAAACCGACCCGCCATTGCCAAGTACTGGCCACAACCGGTACGAAAACTCATGAAAGCCGGATGGTCCACCGATATTGAAGCCAGACCTACCATGAGACAAGTCAGAGATACTCTGGCGTCTCTTGTTGTTGTGGAGTAGACAAACAAACAGACAGACACAAGCAGCTATCTTCAATCATGACCATGACGACACTAGAATGACATTCATTTGATTCCGAAGAACCGGAGAACTAGATCCTGTACATTACTACATGTTAAAACTACTATAAAATCATTCCATCGAACAAACCAGAAAGATATCTCTGTACCGGTCGGTAGGTAAAAGTGCAAACACACTCATTCCCACTTGTGCACGTTCAGAAGATAAGGCCTTGCCAAACCGCTTCATCTTTCGTACTGCAGCCCTTCAGTCTCCTGACGCGTGTCCACATGTCCCTGGCGGTAGCAGGGGGGTTGTTGAAGTGAGATTTTAAAAGCACTCACCAAGGGGCAATTTAGCCACTACCTGGTAGCTAGCTTGGCGGATCACCCATACCGGTACCGGTGGTTTATCAACAACAATGCTGTATTAGACCATTCAATCTGGCGCAATCATACTTTTTTTAGTTTATCTCTGCTGCTCCAATGTGAAGTTTCGTCACATGTTGAAACTCCAATGTCACCTCAATCTCTTAGTCATCGCCTGATGTCATGCTTTCCAGGGCAATGCAAACACAAAGAGCCAAACCTTCATCCACTCCTTCACTAATCTCAATATAGTAACAGTCACGGACAGGAGCAATCCAGTTCTTGTGGACCTTCACTATTTCATTGCCATCCTCCTCAATGGTAAAGTCATGTTCCAGGATGGATCCTTTGATGGCCCAATCAGTGTCGTCACGCACCTTGACCACAAAGTTGTCACGGAGAAGACCAAGCACCTTTTTCTTAATCTCTGCAACCTTGTTGCCATCTGCATCTTCAATGGCCATGGCATCACGGGCTCTCAGCTTGCGTTCCTGAATCTGATACAAGGTTTCGTGATCGCTAGTCTGAAGGTTGAAGGTTTCACGAAGGCGCAACACCTTGTTGTTGGCAATAAAGGCAGTCTCACCCATGCCACGGCGACGATGCATTTTGTTGATGTTAAAGTCATCTCCAAGGCCCAGAAGTAACTTTTCGCGCATTGCATAGACCTTGGGGCCATCATCTTCTTCCTCCTCTTCACGGCGCTCTTGGCGACGTTCTTGACGTGCTTGCATGCGGTCGCGGATACCCATTTTGTTTGGTTGTTGTTACGCTTGGACCAAAATACTGTAGTTGTTTTTAGTTGATGTTTTTGATTGTTGTTCTGTTTGTTTTTTGTGAGATATCAAAGTAGGATTCCTTTTTAAAAAATGTGTGCGTGGAGATCGATCCCGCTGCGTACCGTGCGGTATCGGACTAGTGCTGGTTGCTACAGTAGCTAGCTAGTAGTACAGTACGGGTACGCTGTAGATTTAAGTCAGCGGGAGCTGCGATACCTCGGCAGAAAGACAGATAGAAGAAGGGGGATTATGTTCGGATTGCACCCATCTTTCAAGCTAGCCCTGGCGACAACACCGGACTACGTCGTGTGTTGCCGCCCGGTATCATTCATTCCCTCATTGCAACCTTCTTTTTATTAAGCTAGCCCTGGCGACAACACTCGACTACGTCGTGTGTTGCCGCCCGCTACTCTATAATTTACCAGCTGCCATTCCCTTATTGTAACTCTAACCTTTACAACTCTTGCTGGCTTATTGTGCTGTTGTGATGATTGCACTAACCTTGAATAATAATAATTTATTCCTACCCCTAACTTGTATTGAACCATCAATGTTCAGTTTTGTTGGCTTATGACTATCTCTATCCTTATACTTTGGCTTCACCGGAATAGGAAATAGGAAATAGGAAATAGGAAATAGGATATAGGAAATAGGAAATAGGAAATAGGAAATAGGAAATAGCATTAAAGGGGTTGAGAACTCAGGCAGTTTACCTGCCGAGGTAACTGGCATTGCAACCCGCTCGATCGTTCACAGTTCACGTCGAAAACCCTGTCTGGGGCCGCCGGCGGGAACACACTCATTGCTTTTTTTAAAAAACAAGCGTACTCCAGGACCCTTGGTACGGTACTCTCATGTACCGGTACGGCATGCTGCACGCGGTGACAAAACAACTCCAACAGCTCACGAGCAGCCCGGTGATGAAGGGGGGTTTAGAGTACCTGCTGGGGAGGTTATTACTTGTACGTAATGGAACCATCGCGGGTGACTGACTCGCTGGTTTGGGCAAAGAAGGCGGAATTCAGGACTCAGGGCCAATTTGGGGATACTATTAATTTTTAATAGTAGACCATACGGTACTTGAGTGGCTTTATCTGCACTCTTGACACATGCCAGATTTTATGGCTCGCGGCGCTGGGCCACTGTGCGAGGGCACAGATCTGTGCCCCATATCTCTGCGCTTTTGACACCTCCGGAGAACCAGATCCAAAAAGAGGGTAATCGAACTCAACCAGCCCTCGCGAGCCAACTACAAAGAATCTTCAGGTTTTGGTACTGTATGGGACTATAAAATTATAAGTTACGGATTTTGTAGCTGCAGTAAGCAGCCATTCTAAGACATCCCTTCCCCGGGCAAGACTCATTGTGAGCATGAAAGAGTGAGAAGAAAGCTGGATACATCTTGATATGATTGGCATCTGAATGAATAATGGACAGCCAATGTACCAATCAAACCTGCCTTTTCTCTCGGCTATATCGTAAACCTGGTCATGCTGTGTTCCATCTTCTTTAGGCGCTTTGTCAGCCTCTCGACTTCTTTTTTCAGTGCTGCGTTTCTTTCGCGAAGAACCTGCGTTGACTTGGAGGTAGACTTCTCGGCAAGGTGAGCTTCGAGCTTCTCCTGCAATGTCCTTCGTTCCATGGTCATGTCACGAATAGTTTCACGCAGCATTTTGTTCTCTGCCTTCATGATCTCTACATCACTCTGATTGCTAACCACTCTCTTTGGAGGGGCTGTGCGAAGCTCTTCTTCCAAGTCTTCAATTCGATCTTTGAGCCGCTGGAACTCGGAATTCCGGAAACCGTGCTCCTCCAATTGCATCTTCAGTTGCTGGATCTCCCTTGTTTGGTTTGCTGTCTTGGTGGTGAGAAGCAAAAGCTCTTCTTGCAGATCATCCATCTCGTCCTTACGAGAAGTCGAGATGCTATTCATACTACTACAAATCTGCTCTCGTTCCTTTTCGAGCTGGTGAATCTCGTCGTCTTTCCTTGCAAGCTGATACTGTAGCTGATGCAACTTCACCTCCTTCTCTTGAAGTTCCTTGCCCATTTCGTTATGCATAGCATCAAGCTTGCTTTCCAAGTCATTGACCTGCTTCGCGAATTCCATCTCCATTTCCGCTTTCGACATCTGGTTCTTCGTCAGCTCCACCTTCAGGGTGTTGACTTCTGCACCAATATTTCGATTGGTTCTCTTCTCGTACTTCTGGACATCCTTGAGCTCAGAGTCGTGAGCGGCCTGCATGGTTGAGATCATCTCCTTCAGCTCTTCCACATATGTCAAGTTTTCACCCAGCTCTTGCTGCAAAGCTGCAACTTGCTCACGAAGTCGCTTCGCTTCCTCGTCGCGTCCAACATTGGCTTCCTCCTTTGCCGCCAACTCCATCTTGAGATCCTCAATTTCCAAATGCTTCTCCTGCTCGTTCGACAGACTCTGTTTGACAGCAATCATCCTCGAAGCGTCAGCGTCCTTCACGCATCTTTGAAGCTTTTCCATCTCTTCCACATTGATGTCAAGCGCCTGCTTGGCAACCTCCAACTCGGACTTGAGTCGTCCGATCTCTTCTCTGTCCTGCTGCATTGCAGCGTTGGATTGTTCTTTGGCGTGTTCCCCACTGCCTTGCATTCTCTCCAGTTCATCCAAGCTCCGTTCCAGGCCCATTCTTGCCGCGCCTAGCTCTGTCTGCAGTCGTTCAATGAGTGCCTCGTCCTCTCGCTTGCGATTCTCTAGTGTCTCATTGGAAGCCTTGTAGGAAGAAACCTCTTCTTCGAGTTTTTGGCTTTCCTTTTGGCTTTGATCAAGCGTCGTGCCGAGCTTTGCAATCTCAGAACTCAGCACCTCCATCTCTGATCGCACATCGAACAATTTCCTCTCGTAGGCCTTCTTCGCTTCATCTGCCTGAGCAAGCTCCCCTCTAAGCCGATCAGTCTCAGATTTGTCCATTGCCGTCGTTTCCGCGTTCGACAGCAGCACTTCAAGTTCTCCAACTTGGAATCGCAGCCGCTTGTTTTCTTGTTCGCTAGCAAGGACTTGCTTTTCCAACTTGGCGCGCGAGGCTTCAATTTCATCCATCCTAGAGAGCTCGTTTCGGAGGGACGAGACAAGCCCGGATTCTTTGCTCAAATTTTGCTGAAGGCCATCAGCCGAACTCTGCTCTTGCTCCAACTTGTCAGTCAATGCGTTCAGTTCGGTTCGAAGCTTCGCAACGATCCTAGTCTCCTCGTCCAGTTGCTCGTGAAGCTGGTTTGCCTTTTTGCTTTCCTCTTCCAACACAGCATCTGTACGGGAAAGTTCATCGCGCAAAGTGGTTACAACTTCAGATTGTGCCTCAAATTGGCTCTGCAGATCCTGATGAGTCATCTTTTCGTGCTCCAAAGTTTCTTCCATGCTTGAAAGTGTGTCGCGGAGATTGGAGACAAGAACTGTTTTGGTGTCCAAGTTGCGCTGGAGATCCCTTGCTCGCGTTTTCTCGTTTTCCATTGACTCGTTTGCGTTTCCAACTTCTAGTGCCATGTCTTCGAGCTCAGCCACTCGCGAACGAAGTCTCGCGACTTCAGCTTCGCGTTCTGCGAGAGTGCGTTGCAGCTTGAAGCGATCTGTTTCGCTGTTCTCCAGCTTCGAGATTTCAGTTTTTAGTGTTGCAACTTGCACCGTTTCCGCATTTAATTGCGTCTGGAGATCCTGTACGGTTATCCTGTATTGTTCCATGGCTTCATGGATGTCACCGTAGTCCATCAGCCGATCCTCCATTTCTTTGACCATCGCTTCCAGACGTGCTACGTCTTCCTCGCGAAGTTCCAGTGCCCGCTCCAGCTGTTCTCGCATTGCATCGGCTTCTTCCAACCGCGACAGTTCGGAGCGAAGGTTTTCGACTTGCTCAGACTCGGCCAGCAATTTCCTCCGGAGATCTTGCGCTCTTGCCTTTTCTTCCTGAAGTTCACGTCGAGCGCATGCGATTTCCGATGAAGCTTCACCTTCAGTGCGCAGTTTGCTTCGGAGGTCCTGTACTGCGGCCTTCTCCTCCTGCAGTAGACGTCGGACGCCATTGAGCTCACTAGATGCTGCCCCCTCGCTGCGCAGTTTGCTTCGAAGATCTTGCACTGCGGCTCTCTCTTCTTGAAGCTCTCTTCGAAGGTCGTCTACTTCGGTGGAGACTGCTCCCTGTGCCTGCGGTGTTGGTGCAGACAGACTGGACATGCTCTTGTGGTTGGCTTCAGCCTTCATCTGCATCTGGGCAGCTTCCAACGAAGACAAGCTGCTGGATCTTGATATTCTTCGCTCAAAGCTTTCCACGATTCCCCTGACAGGAGTGCGAGGGCTTCCTTTCTTTGTCGGTTGCTGTGGTTTCATCAGCGGAGGGCTCAAAGGAGGCATTTGAAGGTTGGAGGGAGGAGGTTCGGTAGATGCTTGAGGGCTTGGAGCCCTCGGGCTTGCAGGAATTCTTGGGCTTTGAGGCACCCGTCTTGGGCTCGGGCTAGCGCGGCGCGACACTCGTCTGGGAGGAGTTGCAAGGGTATCGCCACCACGTTGGCGATTTGTGGGCTGTTGTGTTCTATTGTTGTTGTCTCCTGCCGACACTAGCTCTTGCTTCACTGCCTGCAATTCCTCTTGAAGTTCCGCGTTTTGTTTCCTGAGCTGTTCAAGTTCCAGCTTCATATCCTGTTGGAAGAAGGGGCTGCTGCTGCGGAAGGGGCTGCTGCTGCGTTTGGGCGACGAACTAGAAGATGAAGCATTTTTACTTCGGAGTTCAGATACCTCTTCGTCCAAGGCCTTCGTCTTTTCGCGGAGGTTCTCCAACTCCCTCACTTGGTCAGCATGCAGTCCATTGGCGCGTTCTCCCAACATTCTATTCTGCTTTCGGAGGAATTCCAATTCAGCAGGGTCGACATCACGTGCTCGCACTTTCAGCCCGTCGTTCAGTCTTGCATTTTCCTTGCGTAGTTTTTGCAAGTCAGCTTCCATGGCTTGGATCTCACTTCCGTCAAAGCTGCTGCATAACGAAGCATCGGCTTGTCGTTTGTTGGCAACCTTTGCTTGGGACAACTGAGCTGCAAGTGACTTTCGGATTCTCCGTTCTTCGTTGATTTCTACCTCCAAACGCTGATTCTCTCGATTTCGCTCCAATATCTGCTGTTCGGCAAGTTTCACCTTTCTATCTAAGCGTGCCATATCCGTCTGGTAAGAGTTAAGAACCGTTTGAAGTTCTACTTGTGCATTCTCCAGCGCCACAGCATCTGATTGGCGGCGTCCAGAACTGCTCTGCGTCTGCGACTCAATGATCTCTTGTTGCTCCGCCACGGTCTCTTCCATTTCCTTGGTTTTGGCCTTTTCTTGGGAAAGCTGATTCTGTACTTGTGCCAGCTGACTCGATAGTGCTTTCTTTTCCCTTTCCAGAGTCGATACTTTGCCGTTCACCATACCCATTCCAGATTGGTTCTTGTGCAGGCCGCGGTTAAGTTCTTCGTATCGCTGTTGGTGCTGTCGTAGAGACAATCTGAGCTTTGAGTTGGTGCTTCGTTCCTGGTCTAGAGTAGCCTTTAGCTTGGAACATTTCTCTTGCTCGCCCACGCATTGTTCGTGAATGGCAGCAATTTGATTCGACAACATTTCGTTTTCGCTTCTCAAATCGCCTCTGTCTTGGCCTTCTTCAAAGTGCAACGCGAGTTCCTGTTCCAGCATATTGCATCGCTTCTGGCTTTCGTCTAGAGATGTCCACAGCTTGTCATTGTTTTGAGTCTGTTCGTTGAGAGATTGCTCCAGTGCCTGATTTATGGCATGTTCCTGCTGCAACTCTGCCTCGAGCTTTGATACACGATGTTCGAGTCGTTCCTTTTCCATCTCCAAAGTGCCAACCTGGTTGTGCAGCTGTCCAAGTCCCGACTGTTTCTTGTCAAAGCCCTGAGCAATTTGCTTTTCAAGCTGGTTGCAGCGTTTCTGATAGGATTGTTTCAATTCCGACGTTTGTGCTTGGTGTCGTCTCTCCACTTCTGACAGATTGGTCTTGTGTCGGATTTCCATCTCGGCAATCAAGGACTGTTTGTCACCATCCAGCATTGTCGATTGCGCTTGCAAGAAATCAATCTTTCTTGCGGCATCCTCCTTTTCTGCCTCCAAAGCATGGACCTGTTGACTGAGTTGTTCATTGCTAGATTGCAGTTGATCCATGTGATTCCTCATGTCTTCAATGTCTTGCTTGAGGGTTGTATTTTCATGCTCAAAAGATTCCCGCTGATCCTGTCGAACATCCCGCTCTTCTTCTAGCGCTTTACGCATGCCTCGTTCCTCATTGAGTGATTTTCGCAGCCGAATGAGTTCCAGAGGTGTATTGGTGGAAGATGGGTTGTTGGGAGTCCATTGTTGTTGCTGCTGTTGTTGCAGTGATTCAATCAGCTTTTCACTCTGTGTCAATCTGGAGTGTAGTCCATCAATAGTAGTTTGGTTCTCGTAGGCTAAATTCGACATTTGATTCATGAGCGTGAGTTCCATTTCAGCCTTTTCCTGTTCCATTTTGGAGAGTTGATTGCGGAGTTGGTCTACCAGAGCGGATTCTCCCTGAGGAGGATCCCGTTCGGCAAAGCCCAAAAGTGAACGTGGACGGTTCATGGCATCTGTGGAGTTGTCTAGTTCTCGTAGTCTCGATCGTAATGTACTGATTTCGTTGATGAGTGTCGGTTGGCCTCCTCCTTGTTGTTGCTGCTGCTGTTGCTGTTGTTGCTGCTGTTGCTGCTCTTGGAAAAAAGGAGGCCGCCGCTGTTTGTCGTCATAAACAGGATTAATGTTGCCGTTTTGCTGGGAGGAAGAAGAGGACGATGATAGTGCCAATGAAATATCCCGCATTGTCTACTACTGAGCTATCGAGGGCGACCGATAGATCTCTTCCAGACAGGACACAAAACAACCCCCTCCAGCACTGTCCGTCTTTTTCTGCCAGACTCAACCCAATGCTCCTGCAGTTTGGTTTGGCTTGGTGTGTTGTCGCCTCCTCCTCCTCAGGAACCAAGATTCGGACTGGAGGACCGCAAGCTGTGGTACCGTCGCAAAGGCACCTAACGCCTGGATCCGGGCTGTGTCCTCTCTCTTGAATGATGATGGGTCCAACCTCGTTCTCTATTTCAATTGTTTCATCTCTTTCCCATGCCGCATTGTTTGTTCTTGTATGTGGTAAGCGAGTCTTCGGAAGGAAGTTGGCGACTGTCGTTTGTTTACTGCGCAGCGCGAGTTGATGCGAGTCCCCTCATTATTCAGTTTTCATTCCCCTCATTTTTCAGTTTTCATTCCCGTTTTCGGTACCGGTGGCATGGTTGCAGATGGCCCGTCACGGAGCCGGTGCATGCAGGCAATCGAGGAGCTTCGAGGACAGTCAAAGACTTCAAGGAGCTACAAGAGCGAGTGATGATATCTACCTAATGATACTGTTCTACTAGTCCCTTTACTCCTATCTAAATGCTAGTACAACACCGACAAAATCTTTCTTGCCTATCTATAGTTGAGCTCTTTCTCCTCCCTGCAGGTCATCCATCTGTATAAACAGCTACCATTACAAATAAAGTTGTCTCCTGTACATCCCCGTAGACAACGATTGACGGCTTCAAGTTTCCGGAATGGCTTGCATTATTGGATTTACAAGGTCATCTTCTCAGCCAAGCAACGAGGCCACTTTCATCGAAGATGCGTCATGGAAGTCCCGAGAGACTTTGCAAATGCCTCCATTTGGGCTTGCAGTGCCTGCCGTTCTTTTGTCACGTTTCTCACTCTTTCACGAAGACGAGTGTTTTCTTTTCGAATCGTTAGCTGCTCGCCCTGGTCGTGCATGATGGATTTTCTCTTGGCTTCAAAGAACCGCTCTCTCCCCTGTTGCAGAACCTTGATTTGCTCTTCCAGCGAGCCATTGATTCGCTCCTGAACAATCGTCTTCTCGGTGAGTTCCTTAATTTCCACCTCCAGCTCGTGCCGAGACTTTTGCGAATCGTCATCTCCAAAACGTTCCCGCAAGTTGGCGATTCGTTGCTCAAACTCTGTGACGACGGTGGAGTGCTCGAGCTCCTGAGAGAGGAACTTGTCTTTGAGCTCCTTGCATCGAGCTTCCATTGCAGTCTTTTCAGCTCGGCTTTTCTGCAGGTCCTTGCGGAGGTCTCCAAGTTCGTGCACCAGCTGTTGCGTCGCTTTTTTGCCATAATGCTGCGATGACAAGGCTCGACGGTGCTCCAAATCTTGTGCTGCCTTGGCCTGTTGGGCTGCAGTTTCAGCAGCAGCCACGGCCTCGTCGCACTTTTTTTGTAGACTCTCCGACTCGGCCTTCATAGACTGAATCTCGGCTTTGTAGGTTATGACTTCCTCGATATACTGCGAGGCTGTCAAGGCTACCTTCTCTTCCAGGTCTTCTACTGTGGAACGGAGCTTTTGGAGTTCTTTGTTGCACTTTGCAACAGTGGATCGCTCTTCGGTGAGATCAGCCTTCAATTGGTTGATTTCCTTTTGTTCTTCCATTTCCAGCATCATTTTTTCGATGCGATCGGATTCAATATCATCCAGACAAGTTTGCAACTTTGCTCTGTCGACTTGAATGTCTTTGAGCTGTTCTTTGGTATCACTTAGCTCTTTGCGAAGATTCCCCTCTTCCCCTTGAATCTTTTGCAGATCTGCGGCTTGTTGACCCTTGGCTTCAGCATCCTCCAAAGCTTGCTTCAGTGATGATATCTCTGCTTGCAGCGACTCGCATTCCTCTGCCCTTCGTTTTGCCAGTTCCAGCTCGGAAGAGAGACGTTGAAACTCGTCCACAGAACCGACGCCAGACGCCCGAATCTCCGCACGGAGCTTCTCATTCTCCTCGAGCAATCTCTGTTCAAACTCTTCCACGCGAAGTTTGTACTCTCCTACTTCTCGTTTGTAAGCGAGCTTTAGCTTCGACTCACGTTCCAGCTGCTTAGCAATCGCCTCTTCCATACGCTGTTTGAACCGATCCGCTTCGATCCGCCAGTGCTCAGCGGCCCCTTTGAACGATTCAAGCAGCTTTCGTGACTCCTCGGTCTCCTCTTCACCGGCAGCTAGACAATCTTGAAGTCTTTCTACCTCCTCCAGGTTAATGGCAATGGACTTCTTTGTATCGAACAACTCAGTCTCCAGTCTCTCAATCTGATTGCAGAGTATTTGGTTCTTCTCCTCCTCGTCCTCCAAGAGCTGGGCAGATTCCTTGATCTTCGATCTCAACTCTTCTACTTCATCTAGTCCCTTCTCGAGCCATTCCTTTGTACCATCTAGTTCCTTCTGCAGGTCGGCCAACTTTGCGGCCTCCTCGCTTTCCTTGGCATCGGAGCTTTCTCGCAGATTGTTGATTTGCTCTTCAAGACTAGAAGCGGCGGACTCGGCTTCCTCTAACTTTTGTTCAAGCGTTTCTATGGTTTCCATCTGAACAGCACATGTTGCCTCTGCAGTCTCTCTCAGGGCTTTTTCTTCGGCAAGGTCCACTTCAAGTTGCTCCATATTCTTCCTGGTTGATTCCTCCGGCGGATCTTGCAGCTGAGCTTTCTTCTCGTCAAATTCTGCAACAAGTTGTTCCTGTTCATTCGTTGTTGATGCCTCAACATTGTGTTCTACCTTCGATGCTTCCTCAATCGGATCTTGCAAGTCAGTTTCAACCTTCTCATCATTGGGGCCAGTGCCTTCATCCTCACTCCCAATGCTGATGTCATTGACATGCAATAGTAAATTGTTGTCAACTATAAGAGGTTTGTCCCCGCCTACCTGCCCTTGTTGCAGAGCTTTGAGCTGATCTCGAAGCTGCCTGTTATTTCGTTTCAGGATGTCAATTCCAGAGACGCAAGGACATCCCCCGTGGGCTGGCGTACAGACAACCACATCGCTCAGTGATACACTGCTACCGGTTTCCTCGCTTATTTCGTCAACTAGCAAAAGCTTTTGTAGCGCAATCTGAGAGGGCACGTCGCTGCTGGACTGATCAGATACTACAGCTGTGGCCTCTTCTAGCTGATTGCGAAGAGCTTCGATTTCAGATTGCAGTGCTTCCCGTTCTTTGTGGAGTACAGCAATAGCGTCGTCTTTTGACGTCTGTTCGTCGAGAGTGGCCCGAACTATCGATTCCATCTGTTGTTCCTCGAGCGATGCCTTTGAATCTGGTGCAGGTAACAGCTTTTGATCCAGGTTGTTTTGAAGATCACTTATTTCATTCAGGAGAGCCCGTTTCTCATTTTCTAATTCGACAACCCTTTCTTCAGTTTGCTTCAGCTCGTCCAACTCAGTGCGGAGCTCCAAGTTCTCTTCTTTCAGCGAAGCAAGCAAAAGTTTCGAGTAAAGATCTTGGAATATTTGATCTGGGTCGTTTCGTGCTTCAGTATCTTCCTCTTGGGTTGCGATGGGTGCCTCTGCGTTCGAAGGGTCTTGAAACACTTGACCTGGGTCATTTCGTGCTTCAGTATCTGGCTCTTGGGTTGGCATGGTTGCCTCTGGGTTCTGACCAGGGCTAGTTGATTCTTTTTGCTCAGCAATGCTGGTCTCGACTGCTGCGGTGTCTTCCAGCTGCTCCTCGGCAAGTTCTGGTGTTGGACAAATCTCGTTTGTAGCAACATTCACGTACCTCTTTTCGGTTGCCGACAAGGCAAGTTTATAGCTATCCGCTATACTCTGGAGCTCAGAATTATCGCTTCGAAGTTTCTCTACCCTTGCTTGAAGCGTCATGTTGGCTATTTGTTCACGTTTGACCCGAGAGCTCAGCGACGACGCCCTCTCTTCGTGCACATCGACCAACTTCCGTACTGACTCGAGCTCACGTGTTTGTTGTTCTGCTTGCTCTTTAGCCTCGAGCAATTTTGCACTCGTTTCGTCCAATACAGTTTTCAGCTTCGACTTAGCAACTACTATTGTATCGAGATCTTTGGACTGTGCATGAAAGCGTTCTGTGAGGAGGCGCTGCTCTAGCTCGAGCGCGGAATTTGCTCTCTGTGAACCTTCGAGTGATGCTTTGAAGATGTTTACGAGATGAGACTGTTTTTGTGCCTGCAGTCGAAGTTCACGAGTTCTATCACGGAGAAGACACAGGTCCTTCTCATCTGCAACCGCTTTCTCGTTTTTCTGCTCTTCCGATGCCTGAAGCTCCGCGAGGGAACATTCAAGACATTGACGAGTTGCTTCGGACTCTTTTAGCTCCTCTTTGAGGCCGCCAATACGATTCAGCAATGACATTCTGTCGAGCTCAAAGGTTTTGGTAGAATTCTCGGCATCTTTTTGCAAAGTCTGGCAACTTCCCAACGAATGTCTGAGTTCAGCGTTAACCTCCCTTTCCAACTCGACAGTAGCTCTGAGAGGCTCAACTGCGGCATCAAGATCTGCGTACTTTCTTTCGAGTGAATGATGGATTTCATAACAGGTTTTCGTTTCTTCCGTCAAAATCAAAATGTCGCGTTCTTTTTCTTCTAGCAAACTTTGCAACTTCTGAAGTTGTCCCTCGAGTTCCCATGCTCTCTGGTTCGCTGAACACCGGGCCTGCTCTTTCTGTTCCAAAGACTGCGTCAGCATCGCACGAGCGTCTTGTTCACGTTCAACTTCTTCCCGGAGTTCCTGAACTTGGTTTTCTAGGAGTTCCTGCACTTGGCTTTCCAATTCTCCTATGTCACTTTCTCTCTCTTGCAAAGTGGCTTGCAATTCTGATTTTGCTTGTTTCAGAGAAGACTCCGAGGAGATAGCATCATCAAGCTTCTGCATAAGCTCCTTGTTTTTACATTGTATCGTGTGCATGCGCTGTCTCAAGTCTTCGTTTTGTGAGTGAGCCCTTTCAAATTCTTGTTGCATTGATGAACTCAATTCTTCATCCTTCTGCTGAGATGCTCGCAAGTCGTCATTGAGCGAAATCGCTTCTGCCAACGTTGCCTCTTTTTCTACAAGCTTAGATTGTAGATTCCTAACCTCAGCTGACATCACTTCCAGTTCAGAAGTACACCTATCAATTTCACCTTGCATGGCTGAGCGAGCTTCATTGGCCCGTTTGTCGACAACTGAATAAGCGCCCACCGACTTTTGCAAGGATGCGTTGGCGTCTTTCTCTTCGTCTAGGAGTAGATTGATCACGTCGATTTCTTCTTGGAGCTCCGCGCATTTTGTCTCCAGCGTTGCTATGGTAAAAACGTGCTCGGCGGTGTTTGCCTCGAGGTCGGCAATACGCGACTCGTACGTCGCTCTCTCTGACTCGACTTGCTTATCCAAATCATCACTTTGCGGCTGACACGTTGAAGCGGAATCCACGCGTTCCTTCAACGTAGTGTTGGCGGACATCTCTTTTGCTAGCTGAGCCACAAGGGAGTCGATTTGCTCCCGACGTTGCCGGAGCTCCTCTTCTAGGGTTTTGACCTTATCGCCCTCGTGTCGACTCTTTACCTTTTCCACTATGTCCTCTCTCAACTCTGAGCTGGTGCTATCATTCTGTTCCAATGATCCCAGAAGCCTTTCATTTTCATTCACCGTATCGGATAGCAGCTCTTGCAGCGATGCGACCTCGTTTTCAAGAGCTGTTTGGAGCTCCTCCATTTTGGAGTGCAGGGATTTGTTTTCTGCTTCTTTCTCAATTAGTCTAGTCGAAAGAGATGTCACATCCTTTTGACATAGCTCTAGTTCCGATGTCCGTTGCTCCAAGGATTCTCGTGCTTTTGATTTTTCAGATTCGGCCGCAGAAAGCTTATCGGAAAGCGCTTTCACCTCAGTCTGGCATTGCTCTAGCTCAGATGCTTTCTCTTCCAATGAGTCTTCAAGCTTAGATTTGTCGTATTGAGTTGTGAACAGAGTATGGGAGAGAGTTGCCACTTCAGCCTCGCATAGGCCTAACTCAGTTTTCTTTTGTTCCAAAGACTTTCGCAGTTTCGAAATTTCAGATTCAGCTGCCGAGAACTTGTCAGTGAGATCCATAACCTGTGCCTGGCATACCTCAAACTTGGATGTCTCATGCTCCAATAGTTCCTGTTTCTTTGTTTGTTGCATTTCATATGTGGACAGCTTGTCTCTGAGGGTTGTCAATTCAGATTGCAGAGTGGTGTTTTCAGCTTCAAGTGTGGATAGGTTATCAGAGAGATCTGTGATCTGTGCCTGGGATACCTCAAACTTGGATGACTCAAGCTCCAAGAAATCTTGATTCTTTGTTCGTTGAGATTCATATGTGGACAGCTTGTCCTTGAGGGTTGCCAATTGAGCTTGAAGTGTGGTGTTCTCAGCTTCAGCTGTGGATAGCTTATCAGAGAGATCTGTAATCTGTGCCTGGCATACCTCAAATTTGGATGTCTCAAGCTCCAATAAATCTAGGTTCTTTGCTTGTTGAGATTCAGATGTGGAGAGCTTGTCCTTGACGGTTGCCAATTGAGCTTGAAGCGCAGAATTTTCGGATTCTGTCGTCAACAGCTTGTCCTTTAGATCTATCAAGTCAACTCGCAGCGAAGAGCTCTCCGATTCCGCTGTCGACAGTTTGTCCTTGAGAGTCGCCCCATCCTCCCGAAGTACCCTGATCTTTTCGTCGTAAACCTCTTCTAGTGCAGCCTTGCTTTCCTCCATTGATGCTGAGAGATCCAAATTCGTAGTCTGCTCGTTGAGTAACTGACTGCTCAATTCCGTGACTTGACACAATAGTCGATTGTTGGTATCATCCAGTGAATCAATCATATTCTGAGTACTGGCAAGCTCTTCCTCGTGTGCCATCTTGCTTTCTTGCAACTGTTCCTCGAGAGCTTTTGTTTTGGCCGCTTGTGCTTCCAGCCGCTGCTCGGCTTCTTTCAAGTCTCGTTGGTACCGTTGAAATAACTCGCGCTCCATGTCTGCAAGCGTCAATGTTTGCGCTTGTTTCATTTCCTCGATACGCTCAGCCTCTGCCTTTTCGATCTCCTCCAAAACTCCTGCATGAGACCGTGCCAACTCTTCAATACGCATAATCGTTTCGTCCTTGACGGTTTCGAGCTGTGCCTCGAAATCTTTCTCCATGGTGGTGAATTGTGTCAAAAAATCCTTGGCTTCCTTTTCTTTTTCAGCCTTGATTCTGTTGATCTCTGATTCCAACTCTTCCTTGCTGTCCCTTAACTCCAGCACTTCATCTTCCAATCGAAATACTTCCAACTTGGCATCACCCGTGGAAGAGAGGCGGTGCTGTCGAATACTAGTGCGAGTGTCGAGATGGGCTTGTTTTTCGGCCTTGTAGCGTTTCTCACTCTCCAACAATTTTTCCTGCAAACAAGTCACCATGGTCTCCTTATCAAAAACAACCATATTAATTTGGTTGAGCAGTTCCTGTTCGAGACTAGCTTTGTCATGCTCAAGACTGGTCACTTGTCGTTTCAGCTGATTGATCAGAAGCATTTGGTCGTTTGGACCATTATTGCCGCCGCTGGAAGCATTGTTGGCAGCAGCAGCAGCATCCCCTTTGCTACCCCTGCTTAGAAACGATCTTTCTCTCCGACCTCCATTTTTGGTGGAAGCGGACGACAGGTGCACTTCAAAATCCGCCACTGACGTTGGGCTTATCCTTTTCGCGTCGGCCTCAGTGTCAGAAACATCAAAGCTGGTTCGAAGCATTGTCGTCATGGTCCTTTGCTCATCTGGCAACAGCTCCGAACCCTTCGACGGGGAGGAATGGAGGAATGAACGAATAAGTGTCCGTTTCTTCAAAATGTGAGACACATCAATTCAAAAATTTAAACTCCGTAAAGATGCATGTTTCAATGTCACTGGCGCAATGTTACCACGGGAGTGGCTGAATCACGCAGTGCTGTTCGTCATGGATCTCGATACTAGCTAGTACAGTACTGGTACCTGGTACTGCTGGTACCAGGTACTCGTGGTCTACTATTAATAGTACCAGTAGCTCTGCTCGAGCTCGCATCCCCATGAATCTGAAAAACCCGCCTCTCCCTGCCATTTCCCAGCAGATGTTCTCCTCTACCTTGCTTTGCTTTTAGCCCGTTTTGCTACCTAGCCTGACCATCATCAACTACCTTGCTCCTTCCTAGCGATACAGTCTAGGAGCGAGAGCTCTGGATTCCGTCAGAGATAGCTCCAACAGCTATGCTGGCCTACAGCTCCAGCACCCACAGCTGGCTTATCTCCAGCCAAAGCAGCAAGAAAGGATCGTCCTTTCCATCATAGTTAAGAAAATAGTACGAAAGATTGAAACCGATCCTGATTAGCTTGTAGCCCTTTGATACCGCAGCAGTTGATTCCTATCCTGTTGAGGCCGGGCAGAAGCAGTAGGAGGTAGCAGATAGTACTGTTCCCAGACTGCCACTGCACGATTGAATAACGAAGGCTCCCAGCTCCTGAGGAGAGCTGGCCCAAAAGGGCCCAGCAGAGAGCTCTGCTGGCCCTCCTGTCTGACTAACAGGGTCAAGTCCTTGGCTTGGTGCCTACTGGAGGTGTTGGAACACTCCTGAGGCACGACAAGGCTCCCTGAACTGCCTGACTACCGCTGTACCTGAGGAAGGGTTTCAGCGAGGTCCAGTCCACTACTTGAGTACTGGAACTGAAACTTATTGGATTAACAATCAGCATAGATTTGAAGGCAGTTCTTAAGGGAAGAAGAGACCTCCTTGGCGAGAAAAGGATCTCTTCGAATTACACTACAATATATTGGTCTACAGTTGATTTCATTGGAATTGGTGTTGATTTTCAAGCCTACTTTTGAAGTCCTAAGTCAACAACCTTCTGGTCGATTTTGATAGTTCCAGCCACCACCACAGTGACAGGAGCCTTCTTGTTGACCATCTACCAATACAACTACAACGCCAACAGACATACCATTGCCTTGAGGACCTATATTCTGACAACCTCAGCCACGACGCCATTGCCTGATTCTTCCGATACGTAACTAACCATCAAACAGCATCAGCCAATTCGCTCGAAAGAAGAAGCTGCAAGCGCAACGTACCCCTGTGGAGTCTCCGAGTGAAGTCTAGACTAATTGTTTTGCACTTACCTGGCCATCGAGCAACGCTTTTACGGTTCGAGGATACGGGCTTATCGCTTTGCAATCCTCCATTGATTTACGTGCTTTATTGGTCAAGACCGAGGCTTATCTCTTCAGCCTGTCCGTGCAGTTTTCGAGTGTCACGAGTTTCCGTCGCGGAACATTGCAAAAGAAATCCACGGAAGCCGCTAAGGCAATCAAAACCTCCGTACAGTATTCGATTTATACGGTACTTATTTGACGTGCTTTGAGTCAGTTTGCGAGTTCCATTGCGATCCCGGAGCTTCTGGTACCGCTCGAAGACTTATACGTGAAGCGTTCCCCCGTTCCGAAAGCAGGCTCACCTTACGTAAGCTCGCTGCGCTCACATTTTAAGGTGTTCACGTGGTCGAGTCATTGAATTCGGCACGACGCCGGTGATCGCGATCTTCCTCTACGGAGCCACCGATTTGGGTAACTCGCAGAGCCACGGAGACACCAAGAGGCCGATTCGCTTGGCTGAAAGTGTCACCACTGCAACCGCCACCCTTCCATTGGTCAGTGGATATCTCACCTTGAATTTTAGGAGCTTTTGTGGGGAGATTCATTGATCCCAGTAAGCTAGCTTCCAGTGAGGCAAAACCTCCACAAACCAAGCCAGTTCCCAGCACCACAGCAATTCAGGAAGCAAGTCCCAGCCCCTCTACACTGGCTACCTTATTCAACTACACCTAGATTGAATTTTCCAGACCCATAGTAAGGTTCCTGGAGGTCATCTTTGTGGATTCCAGATTACAGTTGAGCCAGCCTTTATTGCACTGCAACAAGAGCTGAGATCCAGTGTTGCCACCAAGTACAGCCTACACCTCTTCCTGTGATAGACAACAAGAGGCACCATGTTGCACTACGCTAAAAGCTAGTGTAAAGATCTTTCGAGTGTTTTGAGTTTGAGAGAATGAAAGTTATGAGAGGATTAGAAAGCTATGAAAACTAATCAACGAGAGAGATCCACAATAAAAGATCGTAGATCTGAACTCCGCGGGAGACTGTAAGAGTGTGATAGAGTAGGTTGCGGTAGCAATCCTACTCACTCCACGATCAAAAACGGAACGCGTGGAAGATTCGTCTACATTTATCTAGTAGCGTGGAAGTACTCCACGCTGGCTTAATATCTAGAGCGTGTTTCATCAATCAACCTAGTAATGACTAGGCGGTCATTGAGAACCCTGTCTAATAACTATTCACGAGAGCTCAGTCATGAGTCGAACTCAAACCCTATCTAGGATCGGAGTCGCGAATAAGGCTAAGAGCCGTGTATTGCTGCATTCGCCCCCTGACAAGGGTCACGGAAGGCAGGACATCAGTCGGACAAGGAGAACATATGAATTAAAGTGCGGGGCACTCTCCGGAGATTGGATGTAGAACTGTGCGTCGCACGATGGCAATCCTACAAGGGGATCAGGCCTTGTATGGGTGTAAATACCTTATGTTCCAAGTCTGGTAGACTGTGCCGCTACTGGCGGTAGTATAGTCGAGCCGTACAGTGCCATTGTATTTGACTCGTCTGTTGTGTAAGGACCTTGTGCGTTGGCTGACCGTACTAACGGTTTTGATACTGATGAATCATTCTGTATCGTTGACATTGTTGTATGAGGGACACGTGTCTGTTCTCCTTATCGGTTTTTTTGGATAAGTCGTTGGCGACGTTCTTAATGTATTTCCGGTTTTTTTGAAACGGATGTAGTGAGCTTGTCACGATTGACGCGCGTGAACTTGCGAGAATTCCATTTCATCCCGGAGAGTCTTCTCGACCTCTGCGGGACTCACGTTCTCTGTCCATGACACCGGTCATGGATACTGGGTAACACACGTCTGTTTCAGAACGGTGGTTACTCCGTCTGCTGTCTTAGAGCAGCCCTTGGTAGTTCGTTGGTCCAATGAATCTACGAAGTTCCTTCCTGTTGTGTAGGAAGAGCAATAGCTGGATCACATCTGTTATCTTTTTGTTAAGGTTGGATTCCTTCTCGAGTAGTCCAACTGTCTAGATACTCCAGTTCTTCCTTTCGAGGAGGCCTTGTAGTGTTGATTTCAACCCCGACTTCTTGAAGTCTTTGGAAAGGCATCTAACTATTCAACGCGATCTGTCAGATCGACGTCAGTTAGGATGAGTTATCATCAATGTATGCACGGACATTTTCTAAGTCATGCATGCTGTGTTTTCATCTTCCTTTGGAAGATGTCGGGCTATTACATAGGCCCATTGGCAACCTCTGGTACTCGCTTTCCCTCGGAGTGCAATGGTACGTGTTGCTTCGAGTGAGGTGATAGCTCGATGTGGTAGTGTCCCTGTTCAGGTCTAGACTAGTAGCGCACTTGAACCATTAGGTTCAAGAGCATGTCCTGTATTTTTGGGATAGGATAAGGCTTCGCTCGATCCTTTTGTTCAGTTCCCGAAAATCAGAGATGAATCGTACAGATCCTCTTTCTTGGGAATGATAAAGTTGTGCCGCCCACTCGGAGCGATTCACCTTCTTGAGTATCTCCTCGCAGAGACGTTCAACCTCCTTCTTTGTTGGGTCTAATAACACTGCAGCTACTAGTAATATCAAGGTTAATTTGTTGATTTGGGCGAGCTGTGAAGAAAAAGTGATCTTTCTGGCTGGTCGCTTTGAAGTCTGGATCTGAGAATGCCAGTTTCTCTTAAATTCCTACGGTGGTGCGGTCTTTTTCTAATCCGGGTCCGCTAAATATCTAGACCGGCAACACACTCTGCCGTGTTCCCTAATGGATCCACGGAACGATTAAAACTAAACTAAATAGGAGAGATGCCCCATAATAAAAGCGCGATGCGCATGGAATAAGGGCACCTTGAAGGGGCTTCGTGAGAAAGTCCCCGTGCATGTCCTGTGTGGGACAAACACCACTCGTACATTCTCCCTGCTTCACTTGGTGTGAATAAAGAAGAAACGCAACATTCAGAGCACGAGTACGCTTACCGGCGCTGCTCTTACCATTCTCAGCGAGAATATAGCACTCTTGTTGTCTGATAAAGGATGTTCTCCTAGAACATCAACACCTTGAGCCTCCAGAAATAACTTGTCCACAACAAAGGCTCATAACATCGTCGGCTCCAATGAGTTCGGCGTCGGTACTGCTGCGAGCGTTGAGCTTCTCTTGCTAGAGACAGCAATGGGTCACCGCGGCCGAAACTGACACTCCTCCAGTATGGGATCGATAGTCGGGATGAACAGCAAAACTCGCGTCAACCCACCATCGATAATACGAACGTCGTCAGCATGGAGGATGAGCTTGTCATTCAAAGTCTGTTGAATAAACTTGAGGCCTTGGAGAAGTTTTCCCAATCGTTCTGGTTCGGCTGTTTCACTCGAGTACAAAGGACGGTAGTCAATGTCTGCATGTCTGGACGAGCACGTTTACAGGCGAAGAGTAGCTTGCTGTATTCGTGTGGAAGGTATCCTTCGTGTCAGTATCCTTCGTGCAGGGTCCAGATTGTCACCTCACCCACAGAAAACAAATCAGCTGGGGCTGCACTCGGAACAGTACGAACATGATCAAAGTTTACAGGGAACTCTTCGAGCACCTTGGTCAAATAGTCAATCATATCAGATCTTGACTTTGCCAGGCTCCGAAAATCAATCGTCATCCCTAGATAGTCGTGCTTGGGTCCTCTGGTTGCTTTGACAGCACCGTAGGTACCTA